TCAGATTTAACCAAATGACAACTGACTGATGTTAAAACATTGATTGAGTTGACAGAAGGATAAATGAAAAGGTCACTAAAGTGTTGACAGGTATTCACGATATTATTGAGCTTCAATTTTTCTTGTTTGCTTCTTGTTCATAATGCCTTTCAATGCAACATTGCATTGTATTATAATAAGGTTCAACTTTTGTATTTTTAGATACAATATCAATAGTCTGGTTAAATATGAAGGTAAATAGTGGATGGATCAATGAAATTGCCAATTATTGAGTTTCTTTTTCTTCTATTTTTAATTGTAATTGGAATCATCTCTCAACTCTTTTTTAATTTAGTTTTTTCAATTTTGCGATCGATAAAATTTGCTAATTTAATGAGCAAAATTTGAAAAGATTCTCGTTTTATTGAACATTGATTATTTAACTGAGTTTTTGTAGTCAAAAGCAGAAGAATGGAAGTTTAAATGGAAGTAAAAAAAAGTTACTCAAAATGTTAGACTCAGAGAGATGGGATAAATGATGAAGCGAATGAAGATGAAGTAAAAAATATAATTTAAGGATGAGAATGGAAAGATTGGAAAGAGAAGGAAAAATTGATGAAACAAATGATCGATGAATGATTGGAAGATGAAATATTCTCATCGTTTTTTTACTCTTCCATGTTCCTATTATGCTACTTGATGAAACATGTATGGACATGTAACAATGGGTTGAGCTGAAGAAGCTACATGAAGATGATTATGATGTTCAGGGAAAGGCAAGTGAAGACGCTTGAAAGAGTAAGCTTTTAATGATAACATTAAGGAAACAATGGGAATCAGTGAATAGTGAATTCTGGGTTAATTACTCGACGATGCATGAGTCGATCCTTGAGGCCTTCGATCAATACAGAAATGTGTATTTGGTGCTTGGAATTTTGTTGAGATTTTTTTGGCCATTTCGATGTTATCCATTTAGAGCGTGATTCAGTCCAATGCTACTCAATGAAGCTACTTGAATGAACCTCAGCGTATGCTTTGAGAATAAATTACTTCTGTCTTTCCCTGTGAGCTTGATAAATGGCTTTACATTGAAAGAGATGAAGATGTTGTTGGGATTGTTATCGTTTAATTTGTATCAATTTGGAGGTTAAAAAGAGATGAGATTTACTTATTAACTTTCCCATTGACAATCAAATCAAATGTACAAGTTGTTACTTGTTCATTCCAATTGTATGTTATAATTGTATTGATGACGACTATTGATCAATGCTTTATTCAATTGTATATTTGATTGCTCAGTCTACCAATCCAAGTAAATTAGATTATTATCAACTTTATTTTCTAACCTTTTACCTCTTTCAATTCCTGCCTTCAATCACTCTATTGATATTGTTCAATATTGCACTTCATTTTAATAATAATAAATTTCAAGTTTGAAATTCAAAAAGAATATAAAATTTTGGAAAATTTTCTCAAGTCCATATTAGTCGAGTTCCTATGAAAACATTAAGATTGGATTTTAATTATTTATTTTGAATATGAATAAATGATGAAAACAAAACGATAAATCATCAATTTCCATGCCAATTGACTCCAGCATAAATTAATACACAATTTTGTGATCAGTCTGGTATCGACCAGAAAATGTTAGGCTTTTAATGTCAACTCGAGTCTGCTTTTGAGACTTTTTTATTTATCAAAATCTATTTCTCTTTGTTTTTAAGCTGAAATTATCAGCTTTGGATATTTCAAAGCATGTAATGAATTGAATTTTGAAAGGAAAGTTTCAATTCATTGGTAATGAACATCAAATGTTGAGAGCTTGGATCGGACTTGGATAAGTTGTTATGAATGTCATTTTATGCGGGTTTTTATCTTGTTTTTGCTTGTTTAATTGGACAAGAAATTAAATTTTGCTCTTCATGAATATATTTCATGATTTACTGTACTGAATCAACAATGAATCAAATTATTACATCAAATGTTTTCCAGCAAATATTTTTACTCTTCTTGCTTCATCATCATCTTTTTTTTTGTTTGCACCAGACTTTGGATGATCGTTTTACATTCATTTTTTACTCACATTATCATGTATGAATATTAGCAGCAGAATTTTTTTATTCTCTACTTCACAATATTCACTATACACAGCTTTACACATACTTTTTTGCTTCTATTAAGTTCATTTCAATTCCAAATCACCTTGTATACATCTTGAAATGATTAAATTTCTGTAACCTTTTGGTTGCTTTCACTTGATAAGGCAACATGTACATGTAAAGTGTATCAATAAAGAGTAAACAAATCTCTTTCTCTTCACACATTTTGAACCATTTGAAATATTACATATTTTTGTATATTCAATAGTATATACATTGGTGTAAAGTAAAAATATTGAAAGAAAAGATTTGATTGTAAAATAATTGAGAAGTTAACATTATTAATGATGTTTAGATTGACTCTTAACCGTTGAATATTTTTATATCACTGTTGTAACAGTTGTTTGGTTGTTTCAATGAATTGCTTCAAAATTGTTATAAGAATACAGTTTGTATCAAAAGATTTTGGCTTCCAATTTAAAGTCACAGATTGTTTACTTAACTAGAAAAGTTGACTGAATTAAATTAATTATCACAATGATAAATTGTAAATTAAAAATGAGTTAACAGTGAATTTTGAGCTTTTAGTTTATTTACATTTACTGTTGTTGTATTAACAACTTTTCGGTAAAACGATAGATGGAGGTACAGTTACAGTGATAATTTAATGAAATCTGATAAGGAATAATTCATTAGGAATTTGCTTGTAATTAATTTTGAAAGCTTCAAAAAGCCTGAGAATAATAATTATTGAATGAGTTGATTCATTCTTAGGAATATCTAAGGAACCTCTAAGATAAATTCACAATTCTCATTCATCTGTAGGCGTCTAAAAAGCTACCTGCATTTGTACGAAAATTAAGCTTTGGTTTTGTTATTTGGCTCATTAATATTCTAGCTGAAGTTGTTAAGTCCATTTTAGCTAAACCATATGAGGCGAAACCATGAATATTTTTCGAATTTACTAAACTATTTATTTAAATCTTCATACCGGGCGTTTTTTCCATTTTAAGCCTTCGTGCAGGCATAACTTACGATCGGTTAGTGCTACAAACCTCAGACTTGAACAGTGAGCTAATGCAGATTACACAACCATAAGTTCCAAGTCTCAAAGTTATTCAAGGTCATTTTTCTGACCCGTTGATGAGAGACACATGTTAATAACTCATACCATTGCAAAGAAAAATGTAATTTTTCTAAATGCGATTGATTAACTGAAGGGTATGGAACCATTCATATCTTTTAGCCAGTATGAGTTATGAACATGTGCCCTGCATCAAAAATAGCAGTCACAAAAATTTTGCGAAAATGACCTCCCAATGTCAAATAAATAATTGACCTTGAATAACCTTGAGCCTCGAACTACTGGTTGTGCAATCTAAATGAGCTCACTGTTCAAGTCTGATGTCTTTAGCACAATCGATCGTAAGCTATTCTGTATAGAGGTGTGAATTGAAAAACGCCCGGTATTGTGATTTAATTATCAGAGATCTTGAGTCTGAGGTCGAACACTAAAAAATGTCAGTACTGTTTTCGACGGCTCCCTGAACAATTCTCAAATGTAAGCATCTTCATAATTGCTGTCTACATCTTTTTCATCATTTTAACTCTCATTTTCTTTATGTTCATCAGCAAAAATGGCCTTGGTTTATTTACACTACGAGCGTCATACTTTACCAAAAGATCCACAAGCTTATGATGACAACGATTTAGAGCAGTGTTGTCTCCAATCCTTCGTCATAATCGGATTCTGAATGATTTTTTACGTTATTAAAACAAATCAACATTATCAAAGGGCTTACTGGCCTGGATTACAAGCCCAGTTCAGACGAAAGAGGCTTCCAATTGAGAATTGTCGGAGGGAGCTGTTGGAAACAGTACTGACATTTTTCGTGTTTATTTTCGACCTCAGACCAGATCAATCCATCTTTTTAGAGCAAAACAAGCACTATAATTGGATATGTTTGGACAAGTGGAAATGAAATCGTTTTCGTTACAGATTCTGGTGTTGAATATTATGAAATTAATAGAACAAGAAATTGCTGTAGACTTCTTAAAAGTTTTAATATCACTATTAATTGGTTTATCTACCAGCCTGTTTCATCATTCCTGATACTCTCTTCAAGTCAAAATGGAAACTTGCTCCAACCATTTCATTTCAAATCTTCAACTATGTATAAATTAACCAAGTTTGAGGTAGAATGGTCAGCTAAGCTGAAAAATCAGCTTTAAGTCTTGAATTTTGCTTTTATTAATCAATATGTTTGTCTGCTAGAAAACGCATGTACTTCGATTACGTCTGACCAGTCGATTTGCTATTAACATTGTAGATAATCTTGTCGTCGTTCATCACAAAGTATCATAATGTTTGACATTAAATCTCCCACCGGTCAAATTCAATCTGGAATAACTTATCTTTCACCGATTCCGGTTTTTTCCAAAACTGCCTGTTCACCGAAAATTTCTTCTTCTCTGTTTGATTTGGTTATATTTTTTTGTATATTTAATAGCACATACATATGCATACTAATTGAGAAGTTAACATTATTAATGATGTTTAGATTGACTCTTAACCGCTGAATATCATTTATATCACTGTTGTAACAGTTGTTTGGTTGTTTCAATGAATTGCTTCAAAATTGTTATAAGAATAAAGTTTGTGTCAAAAGATTTTGGCTTCCAATTTAAAGTCACAGATTGTTTACTTAACTAGAAAATTTGACTAAATTAAATTAATTATCACAATGATAAATTGTAAATTAAAATTGAGTCAACAGTGAATGTTGAACTTTTAGTTTATTTACATTTATGTTGTTTTGCATTAACTTGTCTAACTTTTGGGAAAAACGGTAGATGGAGGTACAGTTACAATGAATAAATGTGATAAGATGACTAAAGAAGAGAGTAAAGAAGACTTTCTCTCTTTTTTCTTAACTTTTTAGGTTAGGTTGTTTTTGGGCTGTTTGTTGGTTTGCCTTTGCTGGTGATAATCGGGTTTTTGATATGAGATTGCTTAGCAGATGCTTAACAGTTTACTTATGGCTTTGATAACTTAATCTATCAAAAACTGAGTTTCATTTTTTTCTGTGATTTTTGTTTTCTAAGTTTTTATTAAGTATCTTTTTTCTTTCATCATCATCTTCATCCTCATCTTCACCATATTCATATTTCTAATCAAACCTTTTACCATGTCACCGGTAGTGTTCTTTTCTTCACCTTTTCTTCTCTTGACTATTTTCTTAATTTCATTTGAATCAACATTTGCTCAAACAAGTGAACAACAAAATCCGTGTGTATCTCGGGAAACCTGCCATGAATGTATACGAGCTGATCCTAGTTGTGCCTGGTGCACACAACATGGTTTCTCTGATGAAACCAACAAAGCTAGATGTGATTTTTATAAATCTCTAATTAATGAGGGTTGTGATCCTAAGAAAATACATTTCCCTCTTAGTGTGGTTAATGTGACCGAGTCAAAAGAATTCTCGGATCAAGCTCTCTCACCTGACTCTGCGGTTCAACTTAGACCTAAACGGATAACTCTTAAATTACGTCCCAATGATACTCAGCGATTTTACACTGAATTTAAACAAGCCGTTGACTATCCGGTTGACCTTTACTACCTCATGGACCTTTCCAAATCTATGGAAGACGATAAAGATAAATTGGGTCTACTTGGTAACAGACTGGCTGAAGAGATGCAAAAAATAACCAGAAACTTTAGATTAGGTTTTGGGTCATTTGTTGATAAAACAGTCATGCCATACATTAGTATGGTTGAAGAAAAGTAAGTAATTATCATCATCCACATCACTCCCTTTTTTACATCGTTTATAGTATACAAATTTTCTCTATGTTTGGCGGTGAACTTCATTTCCTTTCAAATCTTATTGCTGTCTATAGAAAAAAAGGCGAGAAAGAGCAGAGAAAGAAAGAGAAAGGGAGATAGTTAGATGAGTGGAGGAAGATGATGATGAAGAAACAAACGGATCTGGTGATGCAGGCTTGTCCAGACCTTTAAAAACCATAACCACATTTCTCGTTGTCATCTTCACTTCACATTTGAAAAACAGAGACCATTGATAACGATTTCTCTCTTTCCTCTTCTCTTCATCTTGAAAACTTCTTCTCTTTTCCATTTCTCCTTCAAATCAACTTTTCTTTATATTCTCTTTCTGTTTTCAAAATGAAAAATATTGAGAGGGACAGCAATGAAAGAAAAAGTTCACTGTTTCAGTCTTCACTTTCAATTAATAAAATTAATCTAAAAATATACAAACAGATGATTCATTTCATTTTTTATTTAACTTGACAGACGACGAGAACCTTGTAAAGGATGTGTTGCGCCCTATGGATTCCGTAATCATATGCCTCTAGCTGATGATAGCGAAATATTTGTGACTAAAGTTAAAGAAACCAATATTTCTGGTAATCTGGATGCACCGGAAGGTGGTTTTGATGCTATAATGCAAGCAATTGTTTGCACCAAAGAAATTGGCTGGAGACAAGATTCTCGTAAACTTGTCGTATTTTCAACTGATTCAAGTTTCCATTATGCTGGAGATGGAAAGGTAATAAAATTTGCATCATCATTTAATAGCTTCTCAATCTCATTTAGACAATTTTTCATGCTTTCAATAGTCAATGAGACACATTGAACAAATTATTTGATCAGATTTTTATAACTTTCTCACATTTACTTGTTACTTTTACTCAGCTTGGCGGTATAGTTAAATCTATGCCTTTGGGTCCTTTTTTGCTGCTCAGTTTTCGGTACTTTCTTTCCAAGCTTTTCATGATTATCTTTAAACTTTCAGTCTTCATTGAAATGTCACTTTTTATCGGGTTAGCGAAATTAGCTTGTGTCAAAGCAAAGCAACAGAATTTTTTTTACTTTGAAAGGAACGAAAGAAAACCCAAAGTTGAGTTTCAATTTTGCGATGAATTTGAAATGGAAAATAAAATTTTTCTCTTTCATCATCTTCGACTCTCATTGTTTTCAATATTGTTATCCTTTCTCATCTAGCTTCAATCTTTTCGCCATTTTATTTCAATTTAATTTTCCCTTGAAAAGCCAAAATAAAAAGTCCTGAAACCCTTGAAAAGTTTTTACCTTTAAATGTTGTCCAAAAGTCAACAAAGCCGCTAATCTTGTTCATTGTTGACCTTTTAACAAATTTTTGACCATTGGCTTATAGGTAACTCAATCTTGTCGGTTTTTAGTCCATCAACAATATCTCAACCTTGTTTATATCAATTATTATATTAGATCACTAATTGAAACTTTACATTTTTTTCAATCAATTTTCTCAAATATTCTTTTGTCTCTCTAATAACTAATTTGTCTCATTTTGTCCCTTATTGTTAAATTTTCTTGCACTTATTTTACTTTCTCTCAATTTGTTGACAAATATAAGATCTAAATGAATAATTACACGATCCTTTATCATGACATGATACTAGAATGAACAATGTCATTAGATGACTTCTCAGTCTGACTTGTCATCTTTCACTATTCAGTTAATATCTTAAACATTTTTTGCTCATTCAATTTGAATGTTGTTCCGTTTTACGGCTTCCGTTTTCATTCATTCTAATTGATTTTTCTTCTTGGCGAAAATTCTTTTCTCTTCCCTCTTAATTCCTCTATCTCTGCATTTGAATTAAAATTTAATAGCTTCTCAATCTCATTTAGAGAATTTTTCTTTTCTTTCAATAATTCAATGAGACACATTGAACCTAATGATTTAATCAGTTTTTATAACTTTCTTTTTTTACTTATTTAGCTTGGTGGTATAGTTAAACCTAATGATGGTGAATGTCACATGAGACAAGGTGAATACACGGAAAGTGTTAATCAAGATTACCCATCAATCAGCCAGATCAATCAAAAAGTTATGGATTATTATGTAAATCTCATTTTTGCTGTCACTGCCAATCAAGTTCATATTTATGAAAAATTAAGCACTTTGGTGAAGGGTTCATCCACAGGAATGCTTAAAAATGACTCTTCCAATATTGTTGACCTTGTTAAAGCTGAATATCAAAAGATTACTTCTTCTGTTGAGCTTATTGATGATTATAAAGGAGATGATATTAAACTGGAATATTATTCAAAGTGCCTTGGTGGTAAACTTGAGAAAACTAACAAATGTGATGGACTACGAGTTGGTACCGAAGTAAAATTTGAGGTTCGAGTAACAGTCAACAAGTGTCCCGAGCTTCGTAAAAACTGGAATCAAACTATCCGAATTAGTCCAGTGGGGCTTAAAGAAACTTTGGAATTGGACGTGGAAATTATTTGTGACTGTGAATGTGAACAAGAATGGAATAAAGAAAAAGGAAGTGATTATTGTGGCGGTCATGGTACCTACGAATGTGGAATTTGCAATTGCAATGAAAATTATTATGGATCCAAATGTGAATGTGACTTGAAAAATGGCGGCATAGAAGATGAACTGTCTTGTAAAGCGCCAAATGACACTCGATCATGTACAGGTCGAGGTGAATGTGTTTGTGGAAAGTGTAAATGTAATGACCCCAGTAGTCCAGATGAAAGGATTTACGGTAAATACTGTGAATGTGACAACTTCTCCTGTGTCCGTAAGAATGGTAGAGTCTGTAGTGGCTTTGGTACCTGTGATTGTGGTAAATGTCGATGTGACCCAGGCTGGATTGGTGATGATTGTAGTTGTTATGATTCAACTGAAGGTTGCCGTGCTTCACCGGATGATAAAATATGCTCAGGTCATGGCAATTGTATCTGTAACTCATGTCAATGTCACTTTAGTGAAGACGGCCAACCCTACACTGGACAATTTTGTCAACTTTGCCCAACCTGTCGAACCCAATGTGAGAAGCTTAAAGACTGTGTTCGTTGTAAAGTCCATAAAACGGGTCCACTAACAAAAGAAGAGTGTGACTTTGGTACTAACGTAACTAAGTGTCCTTGGTCCGTGGTCGTCGTCGATGATTTAGAGGTAGATGCAGAAAAGGGCGAAGTTCACTGTACCTTCATCGATGAAGATGACGATTGTAAATATCAATTTAAATACATGATTCATGGTGATGAAGATAATAAACGAATTGAGTTAACTGCTCAACGAACCAAAGATTGTCCAACACCAGTTAATATACTAGCCATTGTAATAGGAGTAATTGTTGGTATTGTACTTGTTGGTCTTTTATTATTATTGGTGTGGAAATTAATTACGACGATTCATGATAGCCGTGAATATGCTAAATTTGAGAAGGAACGACAAATGGCCAAATGGGACACGGTAAGTGTAATTTAAACAATTCAATGTTAATTTGTTTCATCTATTTGTCTAGTTTCTATCTCTATATTAATTCACTTCTCTCTCTCTCTCTCTTTCTGTTTAAACTTTCGTTTTCTATTTCAGGGTGGAAATCCTATTTACAGAGAGGCAACAACTACTTTTAAAAATCCTACTTATGGTGGAAAGCAATGAAATCGGGAATACAAAGATTGACAAAACTAAAGAAATGAAGAAAATCTTATTTTAATTTACTAATAGCCTAATCACAGTCTGTGAATGAACTTTTACGATGATTCTGCTATTGTATGGCCTTGTACAAAAGCAATTTTCATTCACATTGATCGTTGAATGATGGTAATCATCATTTATTATCAGAGCAAAGGTTTATGAGAATATTTTGCAACAAGAAAAACAAAATGTATGTCAGAAACGTATTCTTGTAAAATTAATGCCAAACACAGCCAAACCAAAATTATGCATCGATATTTCTTAAGTGTAATTGAAATTAATAGACGAAAGCAATGCACAGCCTTAACAAAACGCCATTGTTCAACAATCTACTATTATCAACTTGTTTCTCAATCCTTTTTTTTAACTACTAAAGTTGAACACTGGCAATCAAAGTATTTATTGTAAGGTTGTACATTAGTAGTCTATTAACGATTATTACAATTTGCTAACTTGATCAGCTTAACTCCTTTTTTACTGACAAGCAACAAAACAAAAAACAAATCAAATGTTTGAAGCAGCTTAAAAAGACCTGAAAAAATATGTGAATATTTAAAAATTATAATTATAAATTTACGAAAAAAAAACAATAAATTTACGTGTACCAATAAATTACAATTTAAATCAATCATACAATTAATCTGGTAGAACAGTGAGACAATTATTGACTCAATAATCATTTTCCTTGACTCTGATGATTACTCTGATGATTTGATGATAGTTTGATGATGATGTATTGCCTTGAATTAGTTTTGACAAAGAGAGACAAAAACAAATGGGAAAATAATTTCCTTATGAAAGTGCCAATTGTGTCTATACCTTTTAATTTGTGCCTCTTATTCATCCTCTTCATCCACGATTGTAACCACTTGAAACTTAATTTTGGATAAAGAATCAAGCCTGGATCATGAAATCAAAGGGTGTCAAATAATAAACCTTGAAACTCAGAGTGAGAAGGAGTCAAATGAAAAAAAGGAACACACTCAAGCCATTGTAAACAGGAAATAAAAACCTCTCTGAATTTTGTGCTTCCAAAAGTCTCTAGGTGTTGTATACCAACATTACTACATCTACTTATCGTCATGATGATTACTTTCTCCTTCATTCTCTCTTTCTCTCCATGAGTGTTCATGTACTTTTTTGGCCAACATCCAGATTCCAAAGAGATTGAAATGAGTAAAGAGGTACTTTCTTGGTTTCACAAAAACATGGATGAAAAAAGATGGAAACAAGTTAAAGCTGATGATGTCTACCCACAGTTTTTTTATTCATGCTTTTCCAGTTTATCTTTAAAAAGCGCCAACGAGAAAATGAGGTCATCCCACAGAGGCAATGATTGATCATTGGTTTCAATTTTCATCTTTTGGATAACATGGAAAACATGGAGATTTCAGTAAACTTTATGATGCAGTTAAAGGAATCCTCATCTCTAGTTTACACAAAACCAAAATCCAATGACGAAGGATAAATTTTTACATCTCAATGTTTATAAATTGTTCAATTGTTTATTCTTGCTGCCCATTTCAATCCAGACTTTTGCTGATGGAAAAAAGCAGAGCTCTATAATTTGGCGATTATCATTTCCTTTTCGCTTCTCTCCATTTTCTCCATTTCATTACCTTTTCTGTTTCTTGAGCTTACTTGAAGAGCAAACTGACGGAAAGTGTGAAAGGTTATTCACGGTTACTCAAAATGCTTACCAAACAACAACTAAACAACAACGTCCTACGCATTTATCATCATCATCATCAGCCTCAGCATTCTTGGCTTCAAGTTTTCTCATTTTCTTTTATTTTCTTCTTCTCCTTCATTGCCTCTATCAATTGATTTTTATCTTTCTTTCTCTCTTTTATTATTCATTTCTCTTCTTCATATTAACCTTTTTTTATGTATCTCAAATTAGTGATGGCGATGATGATGTCAGATAAATTAAGTGAAAAATAGGAACCAAGTGAGACAAATAAATCTCCACAGATTTGACTGAATCTTTTGGCAAAAATAGGATCAACAAGAAATGGTGGAAAATGTAACATGGACTCCAGACACTGCCAAAATATTTTTTACCCTCCAGCCAAGATTGAAATAAACAAAAAAGAAACGCAGAAAGATGGGAAAAAGGCAACTTCTTTGGCCCACTTTTGAATCTATTTGATTTTTTAAACTGAATCGATAACTAGATCATCATGGAAATCATCAGCAAGAGCAAAGGAAAAAGATACCTCAACTTTAACTACAAAAACTCAAAAGGAATACAAATTTTCACAAAGCTCAACATTAATTTGCTTAATGGTTATCATTTACTCACTTTGAATCTACTCATTGCAACCTCGGAATCAATGATATATGATGTTTAAGGAAAACAAGGAAGATCGGAAGCTAAAATTATACTTGAATTTGACTAGGAACCTGCAACCTTTTTTTTACAATTGAACATGAAATCATCTAATGATTATCTGTTTGCTGTTAATCATGATTCATAACGAATTTGGCTTCAAGATAATTTCCTTTTTCATCTTTTCCATTCCTGTTGAATCGTTATTTGTTAAAGATTACAAGATTTTATAAATTTGGTTGTAATCTGATGAGTTGCTGGAGTAAACGGTAAAATTTATAAATACACCTAAAGTTAGATGGCTGCGTTGAAACAAGGATCAAGAGGAGAAAAGTTGAAATGTCTCAGATGCAAAAAAACGAAAAGAAAAGAAAAAATGAAGGAAAGTCAGATGAAGAGAAAGAAAAAAAAGGAACAAAAGCAAACAAAAAGAAGCCAAAACTTCCTTCACCTAAGCCAAACACACAACTCTTCTCACTTCAACTTTATTTTCTTTCTTTTTGTCTCTACTCTGGTCCTACTTGTTAGATTCATGTTGGCGTTTAGTTACACCGTTTGAACAGTTTCATGTAGGCGTTCATGATGCTGATAATATGCTAAAGAAAGTTTGATTCATTCCTGCTGTTAATTCTCAAACCTTTTTCTCTTCATGATTCTCTCCATTCTTTCACCTTCATTACATTTTAAACGGATCAAAACGAGAACCAAATTTTCAATGAGACTTTCCTTTCATATCTCACTCATCACAGCAATTGAACAAATAATATGCTAAATATACAAGATGAACATTGTTTAATCATTAGTTGGTACAATTATAAGTAACATGAAAAAATAGTGGAAACAAATGTTAACAAAAAGCTCTATGGTTAATGCCAGCAAAATCAAGACTAAACTTATCCACTGGAAATCGGATTCTCAGGGTTAAAATCAATTATCTTGCTGGGTTGTTAAATCTAATTTACAATTCAAGCTTATTAATGATTCTGCGTTTTTTTCAAAATTGTTTCCTTTACCCGGTAAATTTTTACCTTTACCTACCATGTTGTATTGACTAATCTTGATCTTACGCTATTAGCAATCGTTAAAAAGCTGATTTACCGGTTTTTCATTCCATTCCACGCGTTTATCCATAATTGATTAATAGATTATCATTGTGATTCTTGTCTAGTCTAAATTTGTTCCTCTATTGATTTATCATATTTCCTCCTCCACAATTTTGTTCACCGGAAATTATTATGATTATCATCAAAAAGTGAAATAAAATTAGGATGTGACAGAGATGATCAAGATGTGTGTGTGTGTTAAAAGGGATGTATGTCAAACGATGTCATAAATTTGAACCAGCTTTTACACTCACGCAAACAACTGACACACCAAGAAGGAATTGAGTCTGTTCTTGGCTTCCATATTGTAGGCGAAAGTTGGTTAATTAAAGGACAAGAATAAGGAATGATTAAGGAAATCAAATGAGAGTTTATTCCCACGTTGATGCATAATAAACCGGATCAGTTAGAAAACACCCAAAATTACCAAAAATATTCACCAAAATCTGATTTCTTTTTGGTAGTCCATTCAATTTGTTGAAAGTTATCCACCCAATTGTCCATATAATTAGTTACACTTTCCAATTAACCTTTGCCCATTGTTATTATCCGTGAAAACCTGGTAGCAATTTTATTAGCATTTCAATAATTTACAAAGTAAACAAGAGATGGTTCAAAAACTGGTTAAGACATGGAATAATTCTAGATTTTTAATTTACTCTTAATTTTACACAAATTTAAGTTATAAAAAAGGTGTATTTAACTAAAAGGGAAATTTCGTAGTGACTTTAACAAAAGATAATCGTAACAAAAAAACGAAATGAATAAGCTGAAATTGCACAACAATGATAATTGTGAAATGTTGAGGGTTCATTTGGGATAAAGAGATTGATTATTTCAAGCTTGACTGTATCGGCTTTGGCTTGAACAAGATCAATGAAATTATTAATTTGATAATCAATTAGATAATCATTAACTTTAAGTCTTGTTTGAGTTTCAATCTAGATTTGTCCTTTAGATTTGCGCTTTTATTGGCCAATTTGCTTGCTTATTTACTTCGGCGGTAGATTTTCTTGAGCAACCAGTGAAATACATCGAGCGGGACTTGCTGAGGATATTCAAATTTCTCAATGAGAGATTTAATTTCTTGATATGATTGTTCCTCGTAATCTTGATAGACTTTTCTCATGTTCAACTGATCATAAATTTCTCTGACTTTGGCGACATTTTTGACATCCTCAATAGCATAATTTTCCAATAATATTTTCTTTTGCTCCTCGTTACATAATTTTAATGCGGTTACAAACAGCCAGCAACATTTTCCTTCTTCAATATCTCGGCCAATCTTTCCGATTACAGCGGGATCTCCATAGCAATCAAGGAAATCATCTTGAACTTGGAAGAAGTGGCCAAACTTGAGCAAAATCTCTTCAGCTTTTTCATGAACTTCTTCTTGGACGATTCCAACTAAGTAAAAAGCCAATCGAATGGGCAGTGAGAAGCTATAAAAGGCAGTTTTGTATTTCACGATGGCAGAGTATACATCTTGAGTAAAGGCGGAGGGATTCTTCTTCATTTCAGGCGTTGAATTCAGCATGTCAAGACATTGACCTTTAATTGTTAAATCGGTAATCTACGAAAGTAAAAGAAAAAGAGATTAATCAGTTTTGATAAACTAAAACAAAGCTAGAAAGGTGTGAGAGCTTATCCATTCATCATTATTGCATTAACAATTATTGGGTATTTATCAAAGAGTAATTGTTATACTCTTTGGTATTAATTGACATTGAATAAATCGCATGAAATCAACTTTATTCAGAATACAACAAATTTCTTTGTCTAAGTTTGAGGCTATCTGCTTGTTGTCATTATTTTGTTGACAAATTTCAAAATTGATCCTCTAAGTTGAATAATTACCAGTTACTCAAATAGAATGCGATGACTAATTTGAAAAAATTTAGAGCATTTTGACAGAAATTAATCTAAATGTCTTCAATAGCTATACCTTTACAATTTTTCAGTTCATATGATGATCTAAAATTGAGAACAAAAAATTCTCGTAGAAAACTGTCTTTAAAGGTGTAGAGCACTCAAAATTATAATATAAGAAGATTTCAAAAATAATAATTGATGTATCTAAGAAACACCCAAAATAAAAGCTTCCAAGAAATGGTTAAAATTATCTGTTGCGGGATTTTGCAGACACAGACATCTTTACATGGATAGTTAAGTAGTTGATTATGAAGTCCGAATCAACATCTAAAACTCCACAAGGACTGCAAATCGCAAGTATTTTCAAGACTAAAATAAGAATTGCTGATCGCACAAAGACGAGACAAAGCACTTGAAACATCTTAAATTAACCGCAATTTTATCAAAAATGAACTTTGTTTTCAGAGTCCATAGTGACTTTGTGGCCTTGAAATTTTCCTTTCCATACTCTGAATAGCTCTTTGAACAATAACAAAGAACGACTAGATTATCTGAATAATCTGATTGTTCCATATATTCATCGGTATCCTCACCTCATGGAAGAGATGCATTATTTGTAGATAAGCAGGTTCTTTTGAAAAATTTTCCCTGAGAAGGGAATAAATACAACTGTTCAGAAGAATACCATCGTTGATTGCGATCAAACCGACATCTTCCTGGAATAAAAAAGAAAAGGGTTTAAGTCAATGATTATATTTTGATACAGAAAAAGATATATCAGCAGGAATCAAGAATACTCTCGTACATTATAAGTAATCTAAACTAGACGGATTAATAATGATGAATACACGTGAAAGTAAAATGAAAACAAGAAAATGAGGAAAAAACACTCATAAACATGATTTCAAATAATTTGAAACTTAAAGAACCTTTTTATAGTATTTTCAAACATTAACCCTTAAAATTGAAAGATGGCTGAGAAGCTTTAATTTTTATATGAATATAAACTTTTCAACCATATTTTTGCTAGAAAACTTGTCAAACTTGACAAATCAAAGAAACAAAAATGTTTAGTAAACTATTTCAATATAAATGATAGCAAGAAAATTTCAATGATTTAAGGGTTAAATAAAAATTGAAGATTAAAAAAACTCAAGTTGATTGAAATTCATCTGCGGTGAGCTTTTGAAGGTTATGCTTTGTAATCAACATACAAGTAACAAAAATATATCTTTTCCTGATGATCATTATATTTGATCAATTGAGAGTATTTACCTTCTTGTACCAACAGGGTTGACCGCGACGGGTCAATGATTGATCCATTATATCATCATGGATGAGGAAAAAAGCTTGGAGTATCTCAATGCACCAGCCAAGTATTCGAGCTTGATAAGATTTGTCTGAATCCAATTTCTTGTTCTTTTTCAATACTTGATAGGCAAGAACTAAAGCCATTCCTCTATTTTTTTTACCGTGAGGCACATTGTAGACGAGAACCTGTTTTCAGTCAACAAAAGTAAATTATTGTAATCAACCAAACCAAATACATTCCAAGAAGCGAAGATGAGTAAAGATTGAGACAGGTACAGATGATGGGTGAGTGTTTGGAGAGAGAGAGAATAAAAAAATCAAGATCAATGATGATGGTCAACATAGTATCATTTACTTTTACAGTTATCTGATTAAAACAGGGCACAGTAAAAGAAGATGTTAAGTAGAAAAGAAGTTTACCTGTTTAAGCCAGGTTGAAACTCGTCTCAAGTCCGGGTTAACGTTATTTGTTAACTTTTCCGTTATAACATCAAAGGTTTCGTTGAAAAGAGTTTCTTCCCGTTTTTCCATGTCCTCAATACCAATATTTACGTGAGGAACTTGACAGATTTTTGGTTCATTTTTTGGTGCACTAAACAATATTTGGAAGAGAAAAAATTATTTAAAATTTGAATAAGACAATTGTATAAATGTTAGTCGTGTCAAAAGGTAAAGGAGAGTTAAGCTTTAGCGGTAAGTTTCTCTAAGCGCAAAAAGGTTAGGCGCATCTATTATACGAAGTGTTCAAAATGACGAGGGAGGAATATAATTGTGAAAATTTTGATGAATAATCATACCTCTGGGCTCTCTCGATGCAATTCATATTCAATTGTCTAGAGTTAATATGCAACGGCAAAATGTTAACTTGGAACAAACAATTGAAACTAAAGGGATTGATTTACCGAGATAAATTTAAAGGGAAATCAATTTTTTACTGAAGATACAGAAAATCGTGTAGAAAAGGACGTTGATAGTTGACAGTTTCAAAGCAATCTAAAATGCAGTGAGGATAAACATAGAAATATGAAAAATAAATTAGTAACAGAAGGAGGAGAAGATTTGAGATAAAAGATTCAATTAGAGCGATTACTAATTATTACAGACAAAGCAAACAATGAATAGATATTTAAGGACAAGACAATTAAGAGGCATAAGGAAAAACTTGAATTCCTTTGGTAAGCCGGCTAGGATTGTTTACATTGAAATTAGGTGAATAACTTGAGTTAAAGGACAAAACATGGTAATTGGAAAACACAAGTACACATAAACTGCTAATGGAATAAATCATCAACTCATCATCAAAGAAACATGTTGACAAAAAATTCTATTATTAAGATAAGTCGATTATCTTGGAATGATAAATGACGCTTAATAGTTTTAAAAAAATGGATTTTGCTGTTAAAAAGCAATAAGTCCATTTCCACTTGCAGATATCCATGTGATGTTGAGTTGGTGAGCTTTTTCTGGTTTGATTACATGTTGACACAACAATAAGGAGAGGTTTACATTGATTGATACAAATTGACATGTAACTTACCTGGTAGTGTAGTTGATCTTATAGAAGAGGATTGAACGCCTAATGTGTTTAACAGTTAAATTAAATCGAAAGAACAATTTAAGCATCAAGGTACATTTATAATCTCAACATAAGGAGTTTATGTTTGTGTTGGTGAAGTGGTTGTTGTGGTGATGTTTTATGCACCAGATTATTCTAAATAACGCAATGGTAATTTGTAAACATCACTAGTTAATATAAAAAAGATGGATTGTCGTTAAATGGGTCTATCATTGGTCAACTATTGATACGTTGATTAGTTTTGATAAGTTAATAAAAATAAATGAGAATAAACATGAAAACAGGTTACCGGGTTGTAAGTGCATAAAGCAAGAAGCAAAACATAAACATGAAGGGAAACACACACAAGAACGCATAAGCAAACTGATGACTCTTTTTTAAACTAACATCATCTTCAATGTAACTGGTTTACAATTTCTGGTTTATGGTTTTAAATATAACTTTATTTATTAACTAATAATCATTATTCACTAATAATATTATTAATAAACAGTCGATAGGCATTAAAATTAATATTATTCCAGTTGATGATCAAATATTTTTATATTTCATATAATCTGATAAATGATTGAGGAAAATTGTCACCGAAGATTAATATCACTGATTTCCTAGACAAAATTTCAGTAGAAAAGTAGTTAATTCAACTAAAATGAACTAAATTTACCCAGAGCAATTCAAGTGCAAATAAAAATTAGCCATCAGATTATGGTAATCATTTTCCTTCTATTTCATAGGAATACGTTACTTGGAAATTGACTACCCATAACAATCCATAACATTGTTGACAAATTGTAGATTCTGTTGATAACTGATAGCATGATGAATTGTCACGATTATCAAAAATTGTAGATCTTTAACAGTAACCACTAAACTGGTTAAAAACTGGTAAATTTTAAATAATTGTGACTAACATTTCAGTGTCAGCAATTTGGTTACAAAAACTGCGCAAGTTCGGTTCCTTTTAAGGACAATTTAGATGAACATTGGTATAATTCATGAATAAATCACTTAAAAATCAACTTTTTAAACAGCATTAGTTAATTGGGAAAGATAAATTATTCTAAATTAATGATAGCTATGTTTAAATATTTCAGTTAAAATTTCAAATAAAAGGTTAATTTATTTTATTTGAATGTAGCGCTATAGTTTGAGAGATATTGTTACTATGGCAACATTTTTTGTGCAATGGTTTTTGTCAAATAAAATTTGAATGAATTTGTAACCGCCAAAAAGTGAAGTTTCATCACAAACGCTATTCTTTATCGTCTGTTTTTAATTTGTTTGTTATTAATTAAAATTTATTTTGCTATACATTGTTTGGTGTAATCCTCTAGTAATGGATTTTTCGTCGAATAGATCGCGTATACCTGCTTTATCTGCGGTTAAACCCAGTAATAAAACCTTATCATCCGCTTCTGAATCTATGTTTTCTTCAAAATCAGATACAAGCTATCGATATGGACTTTTTAGCACTGCTAGAAAAAGTGCAAGTGTTTCACGAACAAATAAGTATTCAAATTGTCATTCTGCCATTTCATCTAAACAATCTAAAGGTTTATTCAGTCAAACACCTAAAACTGACAGGTAATTTAATTTATTTTCTTAACATAAGCATGAACCAATTTACAGTTTTTGTTTATCCTTTACAGAGTATCAGTTTATGCTGCCTCAGCTTCTGGTCGAAGAAGCAGTATTGTTGGCGACCGTAATCGACAAAAGGATTGTAGACCATTGGCAGAACCAAAATACCAAAATGACTGTATTGCGAAGTTAATTCGTTTCCTAACTGAAAATGGTTATTCGAGTCCAATCCCTTCAAAATTTCTCAAATCACCCTCAAAGCAAGATGTTATCAGGGTTTTTGAATTTCTTTTTTCCCAATTTGATCCTACGTTAGTAGTTACTCCAATCGAAGCAAATGTCCCCGAATTGATGGTACAGTTTGGATATCCTTACTATATCACAAAATCTACTCTAGTTGCAGTTGCGGGACGTCATGCTCTTGGAAATTTACTTGGAATGTTTGAATTTCTTGTTGATCTTGCAAAATCATCGAATGACTTCTTTGCTGATGAAGAAGATTTGATTTGTGCTCCTTTTGTTGCTGATGAGGTTTTTATCAAGTCACATATCATGAATATTGTCTCAGAAGACATTGAAGATGTTGAACCATTTTTCAAGGACATGGCTTACAAAAAATTGGGTGATAACGAAGAAGAGCGTGATAGATTAATGGAAGCTCTGAACGAGGATACCGCTATGTTGGAGAATGTTGAAAAGGATATAGAGTATTATAATGCCATGCAAGCGAGGATTGTCCAGTTTGAAAATGCATTTGAAGAATATGAAAAATACAATTCATGTATGGAGGTAAGGAATCTCAAAGATGCAGAAGAATTGGCCGCGGATGAAGAAGAGATTCTCACACTTCAGAAAACTAAAGCTATGACTTGTGAAGAAGAGAAAGCATTAGAGATCATTATTAAAGATCAACCTTACCAGATTGCCGATATCCAAACTGAACAAGATAAACAACTTCAAATAGAAATGGAAACCAATGAAACTCGACAACTTAGTAGAAAAGTTAAGCATGAAATTAATCAACTTGCTTCAGAGTTGGCTTCACTGAAAACTTCAATAACCAAGAGCAATTCCAACTTTGTGTCCGCAACTAATGCCGAGATGATAAATCTAAACTCGCATCCTATCAAAAAATGCACACCATGGGTCATTGAAAAACTTCAATCAACTGATCTTCAAGATATTCTAGATTGTTTATCAAGACCAGATGCCATCAATAATATTGACGAGACAACGAAACGTGCTAACAAATGCATGAACGGATTTGTCAATTATTTCATCGAAACCTCGGTTGGTTTATCTGCTAAGCTCGCCAGGATTAAGGAGAATAACAAACAGCATGATGCCAGTGTTTTTGATAAGGAAAGAGAATTAGAGGAACTTCAAGAACAGTTACCCTCTGCTGAAAAAGATCTCCGTGAATTTAAGAAACACAATGAAATGGAGAAAAAGTTAATGATTGAAACTAACGAAGGGTACAGAAAAATGATTGAGGAGTTTACTCTTAGTGCCACAGAAAGTTCCAAAGAATACGAAAACCGTTTATCACGCGCAGAGCAAGCGTAAGTTTACCGAAATTTTTGAATGATATGTTTATCTACATATTTATATGATATTATATTTTTAATATTTAAACAACTTCTTGTTAATTTCAGATTAACCCATGAAAAGGAAGCAACTCAAGCGTTGATTGAACAGGATCAAATCGGACGAACAAAACGTAAAGAAGCTTTCAGCCGAGTGACCCAAAATTTCTACAAAATTGTGTGTACAATAGAAGAGGCGGAGAAGAGGAAAATCGCAGATCTTGAGGAAAAAGTTGCCGGAGCAGAAGCTGCTCGAAAAAGGCTGCAACAAAAGGTTTTGCAAACTAAATCAACTTGAACGAAACAATTGAAGTGTATCTTTCTCATCCTCATTGTTACCCTTTTTGTACATTATTTATCGCCATGTAAAACATTAATCTCAACCAATTTTATATAATACAGTTATGAAAGAAAATAATTTTCATGTGTAAAAACTCCCCAATCATCATCAATTGATTTTATTCAAGCTTATTATATCCATCATAACAAAGTGAAATGGAAGTTATATATTGAGTCATTAAATCGTGATAAAGTCATGAAAATTCAAAGTAAATTTTGGGTAAAGTGAATATCCAAAAACTCTGAGCAAAAAAATCATTTATTATTTCAAATTAATTGAACATGCATTTGGCAGATCGGAAGAGTTAATTGATCTGTACTTGAAGTGTCAATCAGTACAAGATTCACCATAATTTTATAATTACAAATTTTAGCTTTTTATTAATTTTTTTGTTGGTCTATTAGGATTGTCATTTGCATGCGATGAATGAATGCATGATAATTATACAAATAAATGTATTCTTGAAGCAATCAAAAAACCAAAAGGTTTTTGACAATATTTGACAATAACAGCAATTAATGTTTCCTTAAATATGTAATCGTTGAGAGGAAGCGAAATATATCAAACAAAAATCGATTGATCCGATAATCCAAGATGCATTGTATAATAGGCAAAGAATGACAATTACAGGCTTAATATTTAACCCACAATCAGCTCTGTTTGAATTATATTTTGGATAAATTATTGAACAATCATCGCATTATCAAGATAACAGTTTATTTGATGTTTCCTTGCTTCAGACTGGATATTGATAAATCAAGTTGTTGAAAATGTCCAAACTTGCTGTGACAATACAAAAAATGTATCATCTTTGAGCGAATAATTGAAGGTTAATTAGTTAATTGTGATTCCAAGCTTTTTTACATGAATGCTGTTGAAATAAATGATGATTTTATGTTGATAATGGTAAATCATTAATCAATCAAGTAAACGGGAAATTTTGTATCACAGAATAATAGTAAACACCTTTTTTGTCAAACATTAGATTAATAAGACCAGGATGATATTGAAATGTTTAAATATTCCCTTACAATTAATTATTGCCTTCAATGGTTGATAAATTAACTTGGTTAACTAAGCTTAACTAAATTAAATATGTTTTAATAGCTGAAATGAAGAACGGAGCAAAAATCACAAAACAAGGGAAATATTTGAATATTACAATTTCTGGTTTTTCATTCGTTTTTTTGTCCTTTTGTAAGGATAAAATTGAAAGATGAAGAAATACATTTAGTTGCACAAAATATGTTCAAATGATTAACTAATCACTTAATTGTTTTATAAACATTTGAATATTGCAATGTGAAAAGATACTCTCAAAATATTGTCAAGATTACAATAAAATGTAATACAACATGATATCTGTGATTTCACTTTTTTATAGCTTTTTTCAAGTATTTTAGGCGATTTATAGCTCTGAGCTGATTTTCAATCAAACAAAGAAAAATATTGTCCCACAAACATTGTGTCGAAAGAGAGGAAGAAGAGTATAAGATGATGATGACGATGATAATATTGAGATACACAGGAAGATGTGAAGATTAAGAGGTAAACAGTTTGGAGAAGTTACGTCGTTAGCTGATAGTAAATTGAAATATATTGGGATTTGCAGCATTCATAGAACGAGAAGAGTTAATTTCCACAGTTAATGAGAAAAAGGAAAACAAATTTTCATGTTTGACCAGCGACTATTGACTTAGCAGCACTCGATGGGTTGATTGGGTGGATAAGGAGCAAAATATAATATAATATTAGAGTGAAATTAAAATACAGAAACAAGACAACATTAGTGTTTCTATTTTTCAGAAGGTATTACGAGGTAATTGACAGAAATAAGAATTGGCATAAGAATCAATGATCTCTTGTTGAGTGCATCTATGGTTATCATGCAAAGTGTTTTAGTGATGAAAGCGAGTGTTCAAGCCGAAAAAACAATGAAAGTCTTTATCGAAGATTTGACCAGAAAAATCACATTTGTCAAACAAATCTCATTGTGAACAGAAAGTTGACCCACTAAAATAGATAATCTTTGGGGAAAGATTGAGAGATATTAGATTCATCCTATAAAAATTAAGTCTTTCCATACAGATTTTATCCATAGATGTACTCATGATAGTACAATAGTGAAGAGAATAAGATGACGAGAAGAGAGGAAGAGATCAATAAATATTACAATGATAGTGAATATTAATAGATGTAAAGAAGAAGAAATAAACGAGAACAAAATGAGCACTCCAAATTGAAAAAGGCTCCATAACATGAAGGGTATGGATCAATTGGTTGATGTTGATTAAATTGATAGTTTCCTTCCATATGTACAATAGGGTTTGATGAATGTGATTGAATCTCTCCTCTGCATTGCTTTATTGGTTTAAAAACGAGAATAGGATTTGTCTCCATCAAATAAAATTGTCACTCGATGTGGTTTTTTTGTATACAGGTTATTGACAAAGCATCTTTTTTTGGTTTTGTTGGTTGTTTTTGTTTGTAGTCTTTATAAAGTCATCTCGTATCCGAAGGAAAAAACGCAAATTTTCGCAGGCAAAACAAACAATTAAATATCAAGGACTAAATTCGAATAATATGATTTCATCGGCGTAACATTAATTTCAAAACTAACATCATAATGATCTGAAAAGAAAAGTGGAAAAAGAAAAAATCAGTAAATGAAATAAATAAACTTGAATGATTATAATGTTAACCAAGCTAATGTTATGCAAATTATCATTAAGAGAATAAAACCAAAGGGGAAAATCATAATTATTAGTTATAATTCTTATTTCCGTGTTACTAACATTAATGACGTATGAATCAAGTCCCAAAGTAATAATACTTGGAGACAATCGGGTTGGGAAGTTGTAAAAATTGTCAATTGTGCAGATGAAATTGAGAAAAGGTAGTAAATTAGTGAATCTCTGGATTATTACTGGCTTGAGATTTTGTCAAGACTCATGATTATCTGAGCGGTAATTAATGATTCTGTTTTGATAAATAAGAGATAAAAAATATGAAACAAGTAAAGTGTGATTTGTCATACCGAAAGTGTCATTGTTGTCCAATCGGTACCAAAACTTGGACATAACTAATTGGAAAGATTCCCGTTTTTCCATTTATCGTTCCTTCAAACCAGTTGTCATCGAGCTTTTGGTTCAATTGGATGATATCACCTTCTTTGAATTCCAGTTCCCTTGGATTTTCAGCATCAAAATCATACAAAGCTTGACAGCAAGGGCCTCGGTTGACCGGAGATCGAGCTGGAGAACGAACAGGTGATGGTAAAGGAGATGCTAATGTTTGAATCAATAAAATAATAGCAAAGAGCACGATGCAGAGGATAATGAAGGTTGGAGGGTAAATGGGGCGATTTTAGGATGGGTTGGATGAATATGATTGCATGCAAATTGATTGATTGATCGATTGGATGGAGATAAAGAGAAAAGTCAAGGGATGAAAAAAACAGCGAGTAATGGATGAAATTAAAATAGACAAAAGTAATAGTGAATAACGAATTTGAAACGTAACATCGGCCAGGTGAGAAATGACAGAACGAAATTTAAACGGAGTCATGATTAACGTTGACAGCAGGGGATAGGTGAGAAAGAGAAGAGAAAGAGAGACAATACATGTTAGTAGGACATAAAAGTAATTATTAATATTTGTTAGAATATTTTAGACTAGAATTGATTGATATATTGCATTGTTTAAGCAATGAAATTAGTAATTGTTAAGCTATTAGGCAAAATTTGTTAGTACCGTTAGGAGATTTAGAGGAAACTCCGTTAGCTGGGCTGGTCAACAAAAGCGAAGACGGTTTCGTTGGTGATGTGGCAGGAGATCGCGCAGGAGAAACTTGTGCTGAAAGTCGATGTAGAGTATCGTAATAGTAGAAATTTGGAGAAGTGAAGAGAGCAAAAATACAAGAAGAAGCGAAAGCAGAAAGCATGGGAATGGAAGCGACAGAAGGAAAAAGGATGACAAATGTTAGTATGTGAATGATAACAAGGTAAGGACATGAATTAAATTGTTCACGCTCACCGTAAAGCCGACACCAAAATTAACAAGACAAATATATGAACTGATTTAAGATGCCAAAAATCATCGGTTAAGAGTATTTACTCTCGACTTTTCTTTTAAGTTATTTGATTCATTTCAACCAAAATAAAGATTGGGATAAATCAAATAACCTAATTTGTAAGTAAATTTTGAATTGTTATAAAGGATGGAAAGTGAAATGATAAAAATGGTAAAATAATAAAAAAATTCAAATTACTATGATTGTTGGTTGCGGTTTTACCGTTCTTAAAGTGAGCAGAATAATTATTGAATTGAGAATAGAAAATATTTGAACCATTGGTGTGCCCTGGCGTTTCTCCTACAGGAGTAAGATCATCATGATGTGGAGGCAGAACTTCCTCAATTTTTTTCGGCACATAAGGTTTAATTGGTTGTTCAGCGGAAATCCGTTTCCTGTAATGCATTTCAAAAATATTGATAGTAAATATTATTAGGTAAGAAAGAATAAAGTTCAATATTGAAGAGAAAAAAAGATTGATGAAAAAAACATAAAGAACAAGAAAAGAGTAGGTAGACCATGATAAAGACATTCTGATTGCATGATAGTTCTTTGATTATTGATCTTGAAATTTTTGATTGAAAGGAAATTTCATAACTTCATGCGATTTAAATAGTTAGAAGCAAATGTAAACATACTGATCTGCAAGCCGAGATGATAAACTTTCCAAGATTGAAGCACACTGGGAATGATATTCAAAGAGTGCTTCGGATAATGCCACCAATTGAGAGATTTGCTCAGGTTCATTCTGTAGTAGATTGTGCATTCCCATTGATGCAAGATTGAACGATTCTTCGAATTTCTCTTCCGAAGTTTTGACCTCTTCTTCCGTAACATGTCCACCTGATCGCTTTTTCCTCTTTTTACCATCAAAATCCAAACGGCGACTCTCTAATTTTTTACGATGATGCTGTAATTTAAAAGAAATGATGTGAAAATTAGAAATGGAAATTTAAATTGAACATTTGGATGAGAATCCTGAACCGATTTTCTATAAAATCAAACAATTCGTAAAGTTATTTCAATGAAATTATAATTATTGTTTAATTATATAATAAGACATAATTTTAGCAATTATATTTTCATTAAATTCAATCAAATTCAATATTATTGATTTGTGTGAGGAAATTACAATTCAATCTTTTTTGGTGAGACAAATAAAAAGATTAATCATCAATATTATATTGAATCGATAAAAATATTGATTGAATTAAAGTTTGAATTAGTGAATGGTTGTAAGACGTCAGCCTTCTTTGAACACTCAACAGTCAATTAAAAGAATTTTCTGCCTTTTCATCAATTTTTCGATGACATGATCAATTATCTGCAAAATGTGACTTTACTAGTAAAATGATGTTGATAATAAGTCAAAGGTTCAAAGTATAAAAAAGCATTTCTTGAAACATTTCAATCAAAAATACATAAATAGGCAACAATAATGAAAAGATGAAAACATAATGTATTTGCTTCAATTTTGTTTGAAACTTGAGCTCATTGATTGCTAAAGGATAAAAATCAATAAACAGTTGGATATTAGGATAAAAGCCAACAAAGTGATAAAGAAATATCTAGCTATTTTTACTTTATATAAAAATCTATACCAAAACAGCTGAGAAATGTAATTAATATAGATAAAATAGAACTGTATTTAACTTTAATTTGGGAGACTTTTTTCATTGAAATGTCGGAAACAAGAGCAATCACTTTTTTCATTTATTGAAACTCTTTCTATATTTAGATATGAGGTTCTGAAAGAGACAAGGAAACATAAGAAGTAAAATGTTGAGGAAAAATATATAAAGTTAAGGAAATTACTATGAAGGAGGGAAAATGCATGACATTGTCAATCTCAGGTGAATGGAACAATGGTTATTAATACAATGACAAAATGATTAAATAACAACTATTATAACTTGGTAACTCTATTTATTCAGGGTCAGCTGAGGTGTAAAAAGTGATTGATAGAGGCTTTCAGTTTAATTGAATATTCTGTTTATAAGGTTTATTAAATTTATCCTGGATTATCATTGGTAAGCAATTTAAATCAATTCAAGTGTTTGCTTCAAGAAAAGCGAAAAGTAAATAGGAAAATTTGAGCAAACGAAAGACTTTTTTTGGTGAATTACAACGACATTTTATCGAAATTTTCTTATTGATTCGGTTGACTGTAAAAGCCAAAAGTGAAACTTTATCCATCCCTGTTATTATCATCATCTCAGTATAAGTCATCATCAGCGATGAAAAGAGTAAAGTTCAATTGAAATTCTTTTGGATCATCAACATTATAATGATAAGGCTCATACAAACATTACATGCATTTATATACACATTTTCGGAATCGATAGTGAAAATGAACTTCAATTGAGTCGATGCATTGAACAGACAAACAGGGGTTAGAACAATAGACTACTAGTGTGTGTGGATAAAGTTGATCAGAACAGGTATAATGCATGATGATAAATGTAATTTTTGTTTGACATCTAATTGTAGTGGATCCAAGACTAGGTCATCATTCATTATATGAATAAAACAGTAAAGGTTTACAGTGTGAAAGTGGGTGAACTTTTCATGAGTAAAATGAGCTAACAATGGAAACCTTGAGAGTTGAATTAAGTTCTCGCTATAACTTATGCTACCCATGAAAATAATAACTACATGACCAGGCAATTCATTTAATTATTTGTCACACAAGGGATAAATTAAAAGCTAACAGAACAAAATTTTAGCTTTGAGACAAACAGATAAACTTGAAAAGCGATATAAGTAACAAATATTGGTTGAGACGCAAACAAATTATCAAACAGATAAAGAAACGACAGGTTTACAATGTGATACAATACTAATTACGTAATAGTCATCAGAGACATTAATTTTATCATACAAAGTGATACTTTGAAAGACTATTGGAACTCTGGAAATGATCAAATCATGTTTAATGTGAGGACAGAAGATGAATATGAAGAGAGGAAATCATGCTTAGCCGAAAATTTGAAAAGTCTGACAAACTATTGTGAGAAACTATTTTCTTCCTGATTCTTTATTCTGTCTTTCTTGTGGCTTGTTGTCTAAGGGTTGGCGAACCTTTAATCCAAATCACGAAAAAAAATTTTGGGAATAGCAAATGGAAGATGAGGAAAAGATGTAAAAGAAAGTTATGATAATGATGGTTTGTGAAGAGAAAAGTTTAAGACTATTTTTCGATTATTCTGAAAAGTGTCTGGTTCTAGTGATGGAAAAATTCTGGCTCAGTCACATCTTTTAGGTTCCAAATAATCAGTCACAGTGAAGGAAAAAGCAATTTGCGCAAGACAATTTCAATTCAATTTCTAACGTATTCTGGTTTGTATTATTTCAAACTTAGTTTCTGCTTTGTCATCTTTCTTAAACAGATAGAAGACAATCAGAATATTTAAATTTAAAAATCATACATCGCTGAGAGCATTTCATAATTTATCGGAGATACTTTACATCAATCAGCTAAAAGCAAAATAATGGCTTGTAATTGATTTTTTGTCAGAAAAAAATGATGAACGACAATACATAACAGCGTGAAAGATTTCATGAGGAGACTATAATTGATATCCATGTCATTATAATTTGTAAAGAATATCAATTTTGCGAATTCTTTGTGAAATCCATTTTTCAGGAAGCTTTTCATTGGATTTGGAAATTAATGTCATAATGGATGAAAGTGTAACCTTACCATTACATCTCTAATATCTTTTGTTTGAAGGTGCGTTAAAGGTTCTAAGAAATTTTGTTTAACATTGTCTTCCAAAGCAAATTTGACTTCAGACATTTGTCGTAAAGCTTCACCCATCTCAATAAGACTTTGGCCTAGAAAAATAAAAAGCATATATCAGTATGACTATGTAAATTCAGTGGGAATGGTTCAATTCATTATAATTGAAACTAACCAAAACTATTATCCTCTCCTAGTTTACGCCCATATTTAATCATAGACTCTCCAAGGATCCCTTCTGGTTGATTGTATGCATGTCCTTTCGAGGACTGTACCTTTGAGGTAACCGTGAGTTTGGCTCTAGTGGCTTGATAACAAAACATGATAAATTGAAAAAGATTAAAATAAGTATTCTAGATGTTGATGATAGGATTCAAATGAACCGGTAGTGGAACGCACCAGGATTAGGTTGGAGATACTCCTTAGTTTTAGAGATCATTTCATCTACTAGCTCAACCGTCGCATCAGTTTTCTGTGAAAAAAATCAAAATAAAAATAAGTATTCAATTCGATTATGAAGAGTCAAAGTCATTTACCTTTTCCATTTCGTGGTACTCGTCAGTGAATTTTGTGCCCTCAACGGCACCCATTTTTTCACTAACATACTGTAATAGATTAAAAAAGATTAGCATTAGATAAATTATGAATCATGTGAAGATAAAAAAATGAGATAAGCGTTAATCAATTTAGTTGAGAAATAGAGGGTTAGATCTTAATGAGATAAACTCTGCATGTAAACGAAAAAATAAAAACATAAAAGGGGTTAAAGCAATCAAAACATCTACTCAGTTAACTTATCTAACCTAATTAACTGGAATTGTCGAAAAAACTGAGAGAATATGAAGAAAATTCTTTACAATAAACTTATACCAGAGTTATAATTAAGAAGCATGAAAACATGAAAATTACCTGATTAGCTTTATTGATTTGTTTCTTTAACCCAGCCAAAGCCATGGTTGCGATTATATTTCAACTAATGAAGTTATTTCAGTTAACGATGATAGGCTTACAGATGATTTGAGAACACACTGAAAATTAGATAACCTTTAAGTTGAACCACATTAAACAAATAGAATTGAACAAATAAAGATTATAATTAAGATCTTTGGATTAGACAGCAACAATAGAATTATAAATTAAAATAGATGAATTTCTGTGAAGAAGGAGAAACAAGAAAAAATAGTAATTGTGAGATCCCAAGTCAATAACAATTGGTTGAGTAAGTAGGGAAAAAAATTCATATAGTCTTACCTAGATTTAGGATTAATTTGGAAACAAGTTTGGACACCAGTGACTTTAATTGTTGATAATCGAAGATAAAATAATTCAATCAAACAATTTAGGTCAATTAGTTAACAGCTAACAGCCAGCAGCGAAGCAAAACTCAAAGCTTGTTTTCATTTCATCAAATCAAACCATAAGATGTGCTGGGTTTTGATCAATCGAAAATCGATTTAAATCGAGAATCGGCTACTCTATTTCAGATCGATCAAGAAAATGAAGAGATCGATTTAGTTCAGGATATTTTCTCGGTGCAAAAGGATTTTCTTGGAATTGCTCTAATTTTAATTGATTCTGAACTATTAATTTGGGGAATTATCGCAGAATTTTTCAACTATACACGTCCGCAACCAGGTAAAATATAAAACAATTCATAATTCACTCTTTTTTCAATAAAAATTATCTTTACAAAAATTGCAGGGCTAGACCCTTACTGAGTGTAGAGGAAACCTCTAAATGAGAGCAGGGTTTAACCCTTACCGATCGCAGGGCTTGACCCTCAATGAGCGTACTGAATTTTTATACAAATACAAGATAAATATAACCCTGATTTATACATCGAATTGCGCGGGCCTAGCATAACGTGGCCACTAGAGGAATGGATTCTGAGCCATTCAGCCATGTTACACTGGCTCAAAAGACACACTCTGTGGTGTCGTCATACAAAAACTTGTTCCAAATTTGTTTTTTAATAATTTGACAAATCAGTCACTCAGTTTGTTTTGCCAGAACGTCACTTATCAATTTTATTGGATAAATTTTCAATTGTGACTGGTTAGGTTTTTTAATTGAATTTATTTATTCTTGAAATATCATGGCAGGATCACCTTTGCGTCGTTTAATGGCGGAATACAAACAATTGACCCTCAATCCCCCTGAAGGGATCATAGCTGGACCAACAGGTGAGCTTTTAGATTGTTTTCATCACTCAAGTTATATCACGTTTTGGTAAGAGTAATGTTTTACGGACTAAGGAGGGGTAACATGGGACATTTAAATTAAGATCCAATCAGGTTAATCTTTAAAATTAAGTCTAATGGTTATGATGGTAATTGAACTAATTGTTAGTTACTAATCTTGTCTCAAATCCATGGACAGTGAAAGAGGAGCAGAGAAAATTCTGATTAATCATTAATTTCATATGAAAAACTATTAAATTTCAATGTTCACCTGTTTTTGTACTAATTATCAATTTTAACATTGGTTAGCGAAAGTGTGTGATTTTTAAGTTCCGCCTTAGTCCGTAAAACCTTACTCTTACCCAAGTGTTGTCCTAAATCCGCAATTATTCTTAGTTTTCTGCTCGTAATAGGTATTTAATTGCTAGCAATCGAAGTGTTTCATCGTTACTTTACTACCGGTCAGCTGTTTTTTATTTAAAGCTTTCCCAATGGCTTGAAGTGTCAATCATAAAAACAATATGATCTATTGATTAATTATAACAACTAGATGTTTTCATGCAACTTATTTGTAACAAGTTTTATTAATTTGCTTGCATTTTTCATTCCACTCCAGGTCCTGAAGGAACATGCTTTGAAGGTGGAGTTTTTCCTGCTAGACTAGTATTTCCTCCAGATTATCCTTTAAGTCCACCAAAAATGCAATTTACATGTGAAATGTTTCATCCCAACATCTATCCAGATGGACGTGTCTGCATTTCAATTTTACATGCTCCTGGAGATGATCCAATGGGCTATGAATCATCTGCTGAACGTTGGTCTCCAGTGCAAAGTGTTGAGAAAGTTTTACTCTCAGTCATTTCAATGTTAGCTGAGCCCAATGAAGAATCTGGAGCGAATGTTGATGCTGCTAAGATGTGGCGTGAAGATAGGAATCAATTTTATGCGATTGCTGATAAACTAGTTTGCAAGTCTTTGAATATTCCAGTGTAAATTGTTCAACTTATACAACCTGCTTGTCATTTATATCGTTAAAATTTAAGAAATCTTCAACTTTTTCGTCAATATTGGACTTTTCTTTGACTACACTCCACTATTCTCTTAAGGCAACGTTTTTTACTCTTTCTTTCTCGACTATCTCTTACTTTCCCTCTTACTTTTTTAGAAGAAAGGTTTCCTTAAGAGGGTAGTGGTGTGTACTCTCAGAGAAACACTCATTGGAGCTACGAAATAGTCTTCCATCTTTTCTTTAGCATTCGCCATCACAGCAATCTTGTCCTGTGGTTCAGATTTGTCTTCTTGAAGATACATTTTCCACCTTCGTCAAGATGATACAATGGTTTCCACATCGTCACGTTCACTCCATCCAAAATTGAAGCATAATTTGATGGACTTCTTCTACTCGCGAATAAGGTTGAACATTCATCCGACTAGTCTATTTTCTGAGCTAAGCCATTGCATCTGGTTCGGCTTGAGACTAGTCGCAGCTTCGGCAAACTATAAACAAATCTTGACTTACTTACTACAATGTCACTGATCACTCGCTTATCGAGCGTCGCTTATAACTGATGCTCATTAAGTATTTTTAGACTAAAAAAAGTTGTAATTAGCAAAAAACAATAAGATTACAATGGAATAACAAATTGAAGCAAATTTGGATACGTTCCCTCAAAATGTGCTGTCATCTGTTGTAAAAATTTTGCCAAATTTGCTTCAATTTGTTATTCCTACAAGACGGATGAATGTTCAACCTTACCTAAAAATTTTTTTAGTAAGATTTTGAATTCTTGTTTCAACACAAGTTGTGTTAGTTTTGTTGTGTTTTCAATGATATTTTAGTTCAAGTTTTATATTAATCCCTTGATTGTAACAATTTTCTCTATCTTTTTATGTTAATTAAGGACAGTTAAAATGTCTACCACAATAAAAGTAAGGCATTCGGATGAGGATTATCATGAGATTACAATTGATTGGGCAAATGAAAGTTTCGATTACAGGAAACAATTGTTCCATCAGGTAAGTCAGAAGAAATGACAATGAAATTAATAATTTCTAATTCACATTTTACTTGCATTTATAGTTATCAGCATTCACAGGCATACCATTCAAATATCAAGCGTATGTTGCAGTGGAAACTAATGAAAGAACATCTGTCGATTTGCACAACATTGAATTCTATGATGAGTAAATGATTTATTTATGAATTTTAAAATTTCTGCTTTTTTAAAATTTAAATACTCTCTAATTCTTTAGACTCTTCTTTAGATGATAAAGAGCTTGCAATGGAGCAAATTCAGGATGGCGCTTGTTATTTTTTAAAAACACATTTAGGCCTCTTCTATCCTAATCTCGCCAGTATTTTCTGCGTCTATCAACTGATTCATCGTGATCTGGTCAATGAAAATGACTGCAACTTCTATTATTGTCACTCTTTGGGTAGTCGTTTCTTCACGAAGAAATTTTCAGAGATGATAAAATCCGAACACTTGCAGACACTTCTGGATCGAAGACGTGAGGGACAAACATGGGAAAGTTTAACAAGAATTAAATTAAATCTGAATATTGAGCACCTTACTGACCTATCATGCCATCGATATTTCGAATCTTTAGGACAATTTGAATTTCCGTTCTCTAATGACTATTTGCGTTATCGAGGTTGATTAAAAAGCTTTTGCAGTTCATTATCAATCAAATAAACTGACTATCAACTTTTTGCATTAAAAGATGAAAATTTCAAAAACATTTAACTAAATGGTGAATTAAAGTGTGGAATCAGATAAATAGAAGAGTATATTTGATGATTATATTATATTTTGTTTTCAATAAAATTACATTTTGCTGATGAATTTTTTATCAAGATTCATTCTTTAGACTTATCCCGTTCAATGACAGCTTGACCAAATTTTATGATGAAAGTTGTCCCTTTGTGCCAATGAACTGTCACTTTAGCATTCTATAAAAATAAAGAATGATGTCAATCTTGAGATGAAATAACCATTTATACATAAAATCTACGCTTCTATGATTCCTCAAATGAACGATGCACAATTTAAACTTCCTTTATCCCTATAAATGAAAAATATGAAATTATTGAAATGGGCCTCTGAAACTTAGTCGAGAACATCAAACTTGCAATCAAGAAAATGCTGGACCAAACCCTCTATTGGATGATATAGAATCGACTGACACAATAACCAACTTGTTTACCAATATGTTTGAAACGAGAACTGAGTCATTCCTGGTTAATGGTATTCAAGTTATCCAAGCTCTTCTGGAATATCGCCACTATCGTGCCAATCTGTCGCCAAAACAACCTCCTGTTGATGAAGAAACTGGCGCAGAAAGTAAAATTGAAATCGGTGATATTGGCACAATGGAAAAAATAGTTTCATACCCAATGTTTTCTGTCAACGAAACAGCGTTACCAGATTTGATGACACCGCTCGATATTAAACGATTAACGAAAAATGTGCGTCAGGTTCATGCTGCAATCGTGCCTCGCCTCGAAGATTTTAATTCCCTGCTCACCAACCCGTCAGAAAAGAGTCCAGTCCGAACTACAATTGGTTTAATTGAGAAACCGTTCGGTGCCACCAGAGTTGAGGTGGTTCATCTCATCCGAGCTTTATTAAGTAGCAATAATCCGACAATCAACCGCAAATTAACTACTCTAAAAACATTGCCTGTTTTGATGGATCTTTTCTTCGCATATCCATACAACAATTTTCTACACACTCAAGTTGAGCAAAGTATTAATTGCATTCTAGACAATCCAAAATCTACCTCACCTGTAACTTGTTTTTTGTTTATGTTTTTCCATCATTGTTTATTTGTTCAAGTGGTTATTTAAAATGCCGATGAAGTGGTTATTTGGCCGTAAAAAGTCTCCGGAGGAGATGGCTTTGGCTTGAATGGACACTTGGCTTTAGATGATGGACATGGATATTTACTTATACATTCAGCAAAGACTCGGTCACATTCACACAGAGAGAATCCAGAGATTATCCTTTGATTGTTCATAATCAGTTAGAGCTGAGAATAGAAAGAAAATCATTATTGTAGCAGAAGATAAATTTAATTGTTGGAAACTAAACATTCTGTATGCTTACCACAATTAGCATAACCAGGAGCAACACAATCCAAACTGTATGGCATTAAATAGAGAAGTAATTGATGACAAGGCGCCATTGCATAACATTGATCATGTTAAGACAACATCTAAATGAATGAGAGTAAACATTTTAAGGAACGATTTAAAGAGGAAAGACAATAATCGACTAACTTGTCAATTGGGTCAACAGGTTTTCCTGATCCAAAGAGACCACAGAAACAACCATAACCTTTGAACTGAAAAGGTTCACAACCAGAGACGCATCTGATCATAGAGGCTAATTGTATTAAACCTCGTTTAATACAATAATAGAAATTTTAGCAAATCAACTTTTCGCTTCGTCATAATAACATTGTTTCAAATCACAAATAAGGATTAAAGGTTATTCCAACCTCGAAGTTGTTCAGAAAAAAACAAAAATAAATCCAAAAATCATCACAGATTAGATGAAAACCGTAAAAAGCAAATATTGAGTGACTTCAGATAGAGATCCTTACTATTCCTTAGGCACTTTTGTCACTAAAATCCAGCGAAAATAACAGATTAATTAAAGTGAAAAACATTTCTGTGAAGACGAAGCAAGAAAATAATGAAATAATAAATAATAAAATGTTACACTTTCATTTTTCATTTAACTCGTTGTTTCTTGTGATTCATTTTGCCGCGATTGATGAACAGGTGACAAATGAAAAAGAAAATAAAAAAGTAATATTTTCACATTTATTGGCTGCAAATAATTCAGTCTAAATTGAATCTTCAATTTTCCGGTAATCAACTTAATTGTTCATTTACTCTGCGAATCTACATTTGTTACAGTTTGCAGCAAAATGTTTCAACTTTTACTTTCAACTTCACGCACTTCACTGTATCTCCTAATCTTTGTTTGGCCTTCCTACTTTGCGAAGTAGCTCTCACTTTCAAATAAACGGCAACAAATTAAAGGGGAGGAGGTAATAATTATATTAACTTAATCAGCTATGAACTTTTTCTTAGCTTAAAAACTTTACAAACCAACTTGAGAAAACTATGTTTAAGCCTTTATCATTTTTATTTGTCAATGTAATTAATTTGTTTTTCCTCTCAATACATTATTATTGGCTAAATAAATAATGTATCAACCAAAAAGTCATAATTTTTATATCGAACACAAAATATACTTGACACCCTAATAATTCAAATTTTTAGTTCGTGAGAGTTACCTAGGTAACATTCATAGAAACTAGAATTATTCTTAACTGCAAACTACGGCGGGATTTCCGAAAACTGGTTTTGAGCAACAAAGAACAAAGAGTCTCTTCAAAGACAACAAGTGATCTACTTTTGGTCCACCATTTTTTGTGCTTAAATGAGGATTTAAATGTTCATCTAATGAATTAACTTATTTATAAATTATACTAAAAAATAAAATTTTTGTCTTAAAATGAATGAGAATGAAAATAATAATAATACTTCTGACAAAAGTAAGTTTCGTTCGTTTTTCAATTCAGTTTCAAAATAAATGTTTCTCTATGTTTAGTTACAATAAAAGTAAGGCATTCGGATGAGAATTATCATGAGATTACAATTGATTGGGCAAATGAAAGTTTCGATTACAGGAAACAATTGTTCCATCAGGTAAGTCAGAAGAAATGACAATGAAATTAATAATTTCTAATTCACATTTTACTTGCATTTATAGTTATCAGCATTCACAGGCATACCATTCAAATATCAAGCGTATGTTTTTGTAAAAGCTAATGAAAGAATATCTTTCGATTTGCACAACATTGAATTCTATGATGAGTAAATGATTTATTTATGAATTTTATTCAACTTTTTTGAGCTTTTTTAAAATTTAAATACTCTTTAATTCTTTAGACTCTCGCTTCCGGATGATAAAGAGCTTGCAATGGAGCAAATTCAGGATGGCGCTTGTTATTTTTTCAAAACATATTTAGGCCTCTTCTATCCTAATCTCGCAAGTATTTTCTGTTTCTATCAACTGATTCATCGTGATCTGGTCAATGAAAATGACTGCAACTTCTATTATTGTCACTCTTTGGGTAGTCGTTTCTTCACGAAGAAATTTTCAGAGATAATAAAATCCGAACACTTGCAGACATTTCTGGATCGAAGACGTGAGGGACAAACATGGGAAACTTTAACAAGAATTAAATTAAATCTGAATATTGAACACCTTACTGGCCTAATATGCCGGCGATATTTCGAATCTTTTGGACAATTTGAATTTCGGTTCTCTGATTACTATTTGCGTTACCGAGGTTAATGAAGATATACACCTTGTAAAACTTAGAACCTAGGTTTTTGCGTTATCGAGGTTGATTAAAAAGTGCTTTTCAGTTCATTATCAATCAAATAAACTGACTATCAACTTTTTGCATTAAAAGATGAAAATTTCAAAAACATTTAACTAAATGGTGAATTAAAGTCTGGAATCAGATAAATAGAAGAGTATATTTGATGATTATATTATATTTTGTTTTCAATAAAATTACATTTTGCTGATGAATTTTTTATCAAGATTCATTCTTTAGACTTATCCCGGTCAATGACAGCTTGACCAAATTTTATCATGAAAGTTGTCCCTTTGTGCCAATGAACTGTCACTTTAGCATTCTGTAAAAATAGAGAATGATGTCAATCTTGAGATGAAATAAACATTTATACATAAAATCTACGCTTCTATGATTCCTCCAATGAACGATGCACAATTTAAACTTCCTTTATCCCTATAAATGAAAAATATGAAATTATTGAAATGGGCATTGCAATTATTCGCAATTAATTAGAATAATAAAAAATTGAAATTTAGAGTTACCTGTTGTAAGAGATATATCTGTTAACAATCGGGTCACTTTCAATTATATAATCTAATGATGGGAGAGACAATATAATTAATATCGCAAATCGTAGTGGACACTCTAACTTACAGGTGGTCGGATCATCATTAGAATGCTCCAATTTATCCGCATCTTTTACAAAAAGCGTCTTCCACAAATTTGTCTTGATGAATATTAATATTTTTATTAATTTCGTTTTTCTTTTGTAATTCTTCTCCCGAATAAATGTCAAATCAACCAATCTCTGAACAACATGGTACCCCATTTCAGATAATCTAGAAGATATAAAATAAATGCATTTTGATTAGATGATTAAGGCCGACACGATATCAAATACAGTAACCTGCCAGATAATGGGACAAACTGAAAATAGCTTATTTTCACTATTTGTTGAACAGACCATTTCATGATTTTCAATCTTCCTTAATTTATCAAAGGACAATGTCCAAAAACTTTGATTTCACCGTTAAGAGTTGGGATTTAGTGAGTTTTTAGGGGTATAAAAACTGAGTCTATCAGTGCTATTAAAAATTTGTTTGAGTCGCCAGTTTTCGATAAAATTGAGGTCAAAGTTAAAGCTTCGATCGCCTTTATTTCAATAATAAAACCAGATTTTTTCATGAAACTCATTTTCCTGGTGTAACTTTTGCTGATTAACCAGAAAATGCAGTTATTTTCAATGAAAAATTCTCTGTTCAGATCAAACAGATCACTTCAATTTTCAGTTAAATTCGAAAAAATTGGCTGATTCATTATGTTCACCCATGAGTTTTGCAGGTAAAAAATGAGTTTCAGATCTCTAACTCAAGCGGTTACAGAAAGCGGTCAATTTAACTGAAAATTGAAGTGATCCGATTTTGATCTGAACAGAGAATTTTTCATTGAAAATAACTGCATTTTCTGGTTAATCAGCAAAAGTTACACCAGGAAAATGAGTTTCATGAAAAAATCTGGTTTTATTATTGAAATAAAGGCGATCGCCATTAATTCACCATTTAGTCAAATGTTTTTGAAATTTTCATCTTTTAATGCAAAAAGTTGATAGTCAGTTTATTTGATTGATAATGAATTGCAAAAGCTATTTTAATCAACCTCGATAACGCAAGTAATAATCACGTAACCGAAAACAACCTAGATTCTAAGTTTTACAAGGTTAATATCTTCATTAACCTCGGTAACGCAAATAGTAATCAGAGAACCGAAATTCAAATCGTCCTAAAGATTCGAAATGTCGATGGCATGATAGGACAGTAAGGTGCTCAATATTCAGATTTAATTTAATTCTTGTTAAATTTTCCCATGTTTGTCCCGCACCTCTTCGATCCAGAAGTGTCTGCAAGTGTTCGGATTTTATTATCTCTGAAAATTTCTTCGTGAAGAAACGACTACCCAAAGAGTGACAATAATAGAAGTTGCAGTCATTTTCATTGACCAGATCACGATGAATCAGTTGATAGAAACAGAAAATACTTGCGAGATTAGGATAGAAGAGGCCTAAATATGTTTTGAAAAAATAACAAGCGCCATCCTGAATTTGCTCCATTGCAAGCTCTTTATCATCCGGAAGCGAGAGTCTAAAGAATTAAAGAGTATTTAAATTTTAAAAAAGCTCAAAAAAGTTGAATAAATTCCTAATTAAACCATTTACTCATCATAGAATTCAATGTTGTGCAAATCGAAAGATATTCTTTCATTAGCTTTTACAAAAACATACGCTTGATATTTGAATGGTATGCCTGTGAATGCTGATAACTATAAATGCAAGTAAAATGTGAATTAGAAATTATTAATTTCATTGTCATTTCTTCTGACTTACCTGATGGAACAATTGTTTCCTGTAATCGAAACTTTCATTTGCCCAATCAATTGTAATCTCATGATAATCTTCATCCGAATGCCTTACTTTTATTGTAACTAAACATAGAGAAACATTTATTTTGAAACTGAATTGAAAAACGAACGAAACTTACTTTTGTTAGAAGTATTATTATTATTTTCATTCATTTTAAGACAAAAATTTTATTTTTTTGGTATAATTTATAAATAAGTTAATTCATTAGATGAACATTTAAATCCTCATCTAAGCACAAAAAATGGTGGACCAAAAGTAGATCACTTGTTGTCTTTGAAGAGACTCTTTGCTCTGGGTCTCTCTAAAAGACCAAAATTGGCCAAAAATGGCCAAAATTGAATTAAAACATTTAAAACATGTATATTTTATATTTTTCAATATAATATAGCTTATCAATGATGCTCATTAAGTATTTTTAGACTAAAAAAAGTTGTAATTAGCAAAAAACAATAAGATTACAATGGAATAACAAATTGAAGCAAATTTGGATACGGTCCCTCAAAATGTGCTGTCATCTGTTGTAAAAATTTTGCCAAATTTGCTTCAATTTGGTATTCCTACAAGACGGATGAATGTTCAACCTTACCTAAAAATTTTTTAGTAAGATTTTGAATTCTTGTTTCAACACAAGTTGTGTTAGTTTTGTTGTGTTTTCAATGATATTTTAGTTCAAGTTTTATATTAATCCCTTGATTGTAACAATTTTCTCTATCTTTTTAAGTTAATTGAGGACAGTTAAAATGTCTACCAATAATTTAACTCGACTGATTCCAATGTTGGAGAAAGTTTCCGCTCTTACTGTTGCTAATAATCCGGGTTTGATTGCGCGATTAGAAGAGTCCATCAATTATGCTTCAATTTTGGATGAAGTGAACGTTGACGGTGTGGAACCATTGTATCATCTTGACGAAGGTGGAAAATTGTATCTTCAAGAAGACAAAGCTGAACCACAGGACAAGATTGCTGTGATGGCGAATGCTAAAGAAAAGATGGAAGACTATTTCGTAGCTCCAATGAGTGTTTCTCTGAGAGAAGTCAAAGAAAAGTCCAATATTGACGAAAAAGTTGAAGCTTCGATTTAACTAATCAGTTTTCTACTGTTTTTTTAATTTAGTGTTAGCATAATTAGTATATATTTGTATTACATCTTCCATCCATTTGGTATTCAGCTTTAATTAAATCATTCTACGTCAATAGTTTTATTGATGCAATGGGTGATAATAATTGTTTATTTGATATTTAATCAGTAATCACTACATCACTAAATTGTTATAGTGATTATCTGTAAAGATAATTGATTCACTTGAAATAATTTGATAAAGATTGATAAATTGTATGATTTCAGCTCAAATTAATCAATTTAGATAAATATAATATAATAAAATTGATCAAGTTTGATTGATAGAGATTTCTTAATTTTAACGGTATAAATGACAAGCAGGTTGTATAAGTTGAACAATTTACACTGGAATATTCAAAGACTTGCGAACAAGTTTATCAGCAATCGCATAAAATTGATTCCTATCTTCACGCCACATCTTAGCAGCATCAACATTCGCTCCAGATTCTTCATTGGGCTCAGCTAACATTGAAATGACAGAAAGTAAAACTTTCTCAACACTTTGCACTGGAGACCAACGTTCAGCAGATGATTCATAGCCCATTGGATCATCTCCAGGAGCATGTAAAATTGAAATGCAGACACGTCCATCTGGATAGATGTTGGGATGAAACATTTCACATGTAAATTGCATTTTTGGTGGACTTAAAGGATAATCTGGAGGAAATACTAGTCTAGCAGGAAAAACTCCACCTTCAAAGCATGTTCCTTCAGGACCTGGAGTGGAATGAAAAATGCAAGCAAATTAATAAAACTTGTTACAAATAAGTTGCATGAAAACATCTAGTTGTTATAATTAATCAATAGATCATATTGTTTTTATGATTGACACTTCAAGCCATTGGGAAAGCTTTAAATAAAAAACAGCTGACCCGTAGTGAAGTAACGATGAAACACTTCGATTGCTAGCAATTAAATACCTATTAAGAGCAGAAAACTAAGAATAATTGCGGATTTAGGACAAAACTTGATATAACTTGAGTGATGAAAACAATCTAAAAGCTCACCTGTTATCAAAGCTTCCCATTCAAAGAAGTTTTCTTCGTCTATGGGTCCAGCTATGATCCCTTCAGGCGGATTGAGGGTCAATTGTTTGTATTCCGCCATTAAACGACGCAAAGGTGATCCTGCCATGATAATTCAAGAATAAATAAATTCAATTAAAAAACCTAACCAGTCACAATTGAAAATTTATCCAATAAAATTGATAAGTGACGTTCTGGCAAAACAAACTCATTTTGTTGGTAATTCACCCTACAGGTGGCACTAACCGAAAGCGCGTAAATAATTTGAAACAAAGGTGGCGCTTGTACAGCTAAAAGGCGGAATTAGGATGTGGTTTAAAAATTCAAAATGAAATAAGCAAACAGTTTTCTTTCACATCTTTAAAGATTCTACCTTTAATTGGTTATACTACTCAACAATTGTTTTACATTCATTTAATTATTTGTTGTTCACTAATATTTAATTTGTTTTTGATTCAACTATTACCCATTTCATCTACCAAAATGGTTGTTTCGACTCCTGGTAGAACCTCACCGTTGAGGCGGTACACAAGTGTTGATGACTTTTACCGTGTAAATGCCACTTTGAACAAATTATTGGAAAAAGAAAGAACTGAGCGTGAAAAAATTGACCGTGCCGCTCTCAATTATCTTCAAGCTGTTAAGGAAGATTATGAAACCAAAATAATGACCTTGAAAGAGGAACTGGAAAAAGTTCGTAAAGAGTCTGATGGAGTATGCAAAAAGGACTTTCAAAATGTTAAGTTTGAACTAAGGATTGCCCAAAGGGATATTAAAGAACAAAAGTCTCGGATTGAATATCTTCGTGACGCTAGAAAAGAAGCGGTAGACAAATTGAGTCAAGTGGAAGCAACTCTTGCTGAAAAAGAAGCAGAAATCGAAGAATGGAAAGTCAAATTTGAAAATTTGTCTACGGATGTCAAGAAACTTATGGATGATAAAAGTACCTGTGAGGAAACCTGTAAAACTTTGGTAAAAGAGAAAGAAGATTTGATTGCTTTGAATGAAAAATTGACAAACTCCAATGAAATTTTACGATCAACTTGTGCCTCTGTGGAAAGTCAAGTCTCCAAGTTTGAACAGGCTTGTAAAGTACAATTGGACATTAAGGTTAAACTGACTGAAGAGAAAACCAAAATGTTGGAAAAGATCAACAATCTGGAGAAAGAGCTTGGGACAATGACATCCAAGTATGAAAATCAAATTTTGGACATGGATAGCAAAATTAAATCCCTTGAATCTACTGTTTCAGAGTACAAAACTAAATGCAAGCAGCTTGAAGAAGAGATACAAGAGACTCAAAATGCCTTGGAAGAAGAGAGACAATTCCGTGTATTACATGAGGATCAATTACCCGCTTTGTTAAAAGAAAATGAACTGAAACAACACACCATTGAAGTTCTTCACACAAAATTTGCAGATTATGAGAAAGAAATATTTTTTTTAAAGGAGGAAGCCTCTAACCACATAACTAGTATTGCCCAGCTTAATTCTAAAAACAAACAACTCACTTTAGCTTTGGAAGAAGCTTTAGTCAAAAATGATACGCTTCAGAAAAGGATTGAAGTTATTGTTGAGCAGTTGGAGGATGAGAAACTTGAGAAACTTAAGCTCAGTCAAACAGTACATCAACAATTTAAAGCCATTGATTTGTTGCAAGATGAAATGGAAAAATCAAAAATGGAAAAATCAAAGAAGGTAGAATAGTTGTTAAACAAAGAGTTATTATTTATTTATTTATTAAACCTTACTTTCTCGTTACTGAATCTCACTTACATTTTATCTTTACACAGTCTTCGTGGTTTGGACATGTTAATAGCCCAGCCAAGGATGCATCTCCAGCATTTAGAGTGTCCCATATGCGAGAATTAGAAGCAGCTCTCGAACGCGAGAAGGCCAAAAATAAAACATTGACAAGACAAATTGATGAAACTAAACAGGAACTTCGACGGTATAAAACTGAACGTGAGTAACAATTTCTTATAATTTCCGTTCATTATCTGAATCTGTAATCATAATTTAAACTAATATTTTTCACCTATATAGTTCGAAAATATGATAAAATAGGAATTACTTTTCCTGTACACGAAGGCAAAGGAGACGCGCCAAGTAATATGTCAAGTTTAGATCCTAAATACTCGAAGGAAATCGCCGTGGAAGTAACACCGTCATTAAGCTCAGAACCTTCAGCTCCTTATCACCAAGATGTTGACAATTTAACTTACTCTTCTGCAAGTACAAGTACGACTGATAATAATGATACATCTGAAGTAAGTAAAAAGCTAAATATTCAAGTTTTCTCGATTCAGTGGTTTTCTCGATCGTCAAACGATTGACCACCATTTTTTATATCGGTTCTAATTAGTTTTCTTTTATGTATTTAGGAAGAGAAAGAATTCATGTTCAATGAATCAGGCCCCTCAGAATTTGCTCATCAAAAAACTTCCAGTGTGGGATAAATATTCGTACTGTTAATTTCTTACACAATATTTAACAAGAAAACATTTCATATCTATCTTCATGACGTTAATATTTTATGTAAATTGGTATTTTTAAAAGTCTGCAAAAATATTTTATCATAGATTACACCACGAAGATCCAGTCCTGGAACTATTCTCATGTTCTCCATCTATATCCAAGCATGATAATGAAATTAAATAAAAAAAACAAAAGTTAAATGACTACAAAATGGACAAGCAAAAAACATCATTACATTTTCAAGAGCTTATCCTTTCCACCACTGGCAACTAGTTCACCATCAGGACTCCAGTCAATGGCGTAAACCTGTCAAAAAATGTCGATTATAAATCTATTTCATTGAATGATTGCCTTATTGTTATCAAACCTCATCAGCGTGTCCTGGGAGATCTTGGAGTAACTTTTTTGTTGACATATCCCAAACTTTGACTGTTGAATCAGCGCTTCCACTAACTAATAATCTACTATCAGCTGACCAAGAAATTTGATAAACAGCTTGAACATGTCCTCTTAACGATGTGATATATCTTTATGATAAAATAGAAACGAAAAAGACGTGAATATAGGAAATATGATCCGATTCTTTTTCCTTTCCAGATAAAAAATCTATTATGAATACCCAAACTCAAACGAAATTCATTAAAGGCTTTGTATGTAATCAGCAAAATATGAAATCAACTTACTTTCCTGTTTTACCATCCCAAAGTTTAATTGACTTGTCAAATGATGCACTTGCTATGTAACGTGTATCCGGAGAAAACTTGACATCATTGATTAACTGTTGGTGTCCTGTCATTCTAGCAATATGTTTTTTATCTGATTCAGGCTCCCAGAGAAATAGAGTAAAATCGTCAGATCCAGAAACAAGTCTTTCTTTATCACCGCGAGCTTCATTGTACCTTTTAAGGGCTTCATCAGATAAATTGTCAATTTTGTTCAGTTTCTTTTTATCAGAAGGTTCAAAAGCTCCAGTTCTCATGACGTAATCAGTGCTCAATGCCAATGTGTTGAGCCAATGACCATGTCCCTCTAAAGTTCTGCAAAGTACTCCCTAAGTAATATGAAAAAATATTAATTTGCTTATCTCAACATCGCCCAAAAACGGAAAGATATTAACTACTCACATCATTATCGCGCCAAACTCTTAAAGTTCTGTCTTGTGAACCACTGTAGATTAACCCAGTACCTCCCCATCTTAAACAAGTAACTGATTGATTATGACCGCAAAGGGTAATTAAACATTGATTCAAAATTGTATCCCATATTTTGATTGTGGTGTCTTTCGATGCACTGGCGAGCCTTTTGCAATTACCATCTCTGAAAAAAAACAAAAATTTAAAATTAATTCAATCCTAGAAATGAAGCTGTTGATTGCATGTTTGTACCTATGAAGAGGTTCCCAAGCTAAAGCATTAATCCATTGTTTGTGACCTCGCAAAGTAGCACCGATCTGCTGTCCTGTTTTAGCATCCCAAATAATTATTTCTCCATTTTTGCATGCTGAAGCTAATTTAAGTCCATTAGGAGCCCATGAAATCACCAATACCCAATTACGATGACCACGGGCAGTTGTGTGTGGTGTCTGAGTTGCTACGTCCCAGAATCTGACGGTTGTATCACCAGAACCTGAAGCTAAAGAAGTACCATCAGGACTGAATGAAGCTGAAATTACTGCTTCAGCGTGTCCAGGTAAACTTGCGGAACATCTTGTTACAGGTCGTACTCTAAAGACAGCCTGTGGAGCAAAAGTAATATGAACGATTTTTTCAGATGACCAGTTTTTGTCTGAGGTTTCATCAATTGTTTTCTTCAAAGAATCTTTGATCTCCACGTCATCGATAAAAAACGAATATGGAACTGGTGTTGCACTGCTGTAAATAGTATTCAATAAAATAGATAATTTACGGGAATCGACGTTGATTGGTAAATCAAAAGGAGAACCTAAAACTTCACCAGATTCATTCTTGAATTGAGCTAAAACTCGTTCTACAGTTTCAGTCATTTTTCTCAAGGAAGGATACGGATAACAATCAAATGAGCACAATAAATTCCAAACTCGTCAGTATAACAATTATTAAATCATTCATAAAAATTCGGTATACTTGATAAAAACAGAAAAAATCACAATTTTGAAACTGCATGCTACTAAAAACATGTGGAAATTAGCAACTCAGAATGCGCGGGATTTTGAATTGTAAAATCCACCTAAATGTCATTTGAAACCTGTATGATAGTTGAATCATTATTTACGAGCTTTAGGATTTTGTTTTGTGTTTTTTATTTACAATTTACGATTAATGGAATCAATTCAAAAAGTTCCTGATGAGTGCAGAGAAACAGTGTTGATTGCTAAGAGTCAAACTTCAAACTAATGTTGACCCAAACCATCGAGATAACTTATGATGATTTTCAAATGATTGGTTTTGTGAAGTTGTTGCTCTTGATGTTTATTTAACAACTGAACAGATAAGTTAGTTAATGAAATTTATCAAACAAATATAGTTTCATCTTTTCTCTTTTTCTGTCCTGTAGATGCTCCTGGTTTATGTTGAGCATCAGGGTGATTAGCTAATTCAGGAGGGCAAGATGATACTGGACTTTGTTGCAACAGTTGTTTGAGATCATAGAACAGGTGAGAATCGTCTTTTGTACAGAAAGAAACAGCTTTACCCGTTAAACCAGCACGACCAGTACGACCAATACGATGAATATAATCTTCAATACTTTTAGCCATATCATAATTAATGACAAGAGTAACATTTTTAACATCCAAACCTCTACCTGCAACATCAGTAGCTACAAGAATATCTTTCTCACCAGATTTCAAAGAAGATAAAGCAAATTCTCTCTGTTCTTGACCTTTACCACCATGAAGAGTACAAGCATTGTAACCAATTTTTTCCAGACTACGAGCCAATACATCAGCTCCTTTCTTTTGATTGACAAATATCATGATTGGAGGTTCAACACCAGCTGACAAAGTTTGCATGAGTTTCTTTCGTTTATCTGATTCAGCAACAAGATATACAACTTGTTCAACTCTTTCAACAGGTTTACCAGCTAAACCAATGGTGACCATTGCAGGACGACGTAGATAAGCTCGTGCCAATCTTTCAACACTTGGAGGCATTGTTGCTGTAAACATGACAGTTTGTCGATATTTATGTTTTGAATTAAAATTGGCAATCAATTTATCTTCATCTTCAGCATCATCAGTATCTGGTTTTAAATTTGTTACAGGCATAAAGTCGAGAATTTTTTTCAAATCAGGTTCAAAACCCATATCAATCATACGATCAGCTTCATCGAGAACAACATAAGTACATCGGCTTAGAACCAAATAACGATTTTCAAGTACATCAATTAATCTACCAGGAGTTGCAATAACAATTTCACAACCTAATCGCAATTTGAAACCTTGCTCTTCTCGAGAAGAACCTCCAATTACTGAAACAGTTCGTATTTCTAATGCTTTAGCAAATTTGAGAGTTTCTTCTTCAATTTGTTGAGCCAATTCACGAGTAGGAGCTAAAATAATTGCATATGGTCCTTGGTCAATCTCCTCTTGACGGACTATCTTTGGTTGTGCAGTTATCCAAACAAGCAATGGAATCAAGAATGCAGCAGTTTTACCAGAACCAGTTTCAGCAACACCAATAATATCTCTATTCTGTAATCCAATTGGTATAGCTTGTCTTTGAATAGGAGTTGGTTCTTTGTATTTAAGTTCATTAATAATTTCTATTATTTCTTTAGGTAATCCTGATTCATCCCAATTTCTTATTGGATTCGGAATTTTTCCACCTTTAATTGCAATATTGTAATCTTCTCTAAATATTCTCCAATCTCTTTCTTTCATTTCAGTTAAACCTTTTTGAGTCCAATGACGATCATCCCAAGTTTGTTTCTCTTCCTTCTTTTTCATCTTTTCTAATCTATATTTTTCTTGTTCTTTCTCTTCATCAGTTCGTCGACGTTCCAATAATTCACCATAAAATCTTGATTGTTCTTTCTTCTGTTGTTTAAAATCAATACCAGCAATATGACCTCTTCCATACAATTGAATAGTATGTCTATCTTTATATATTGGATTATAATCATCACTTGTATCTTCACCAGCATCCCAATCAAAGACAAATTTTCTTTCATTTAATCGACGAAGTTTCTTTTTCTTTCTTGCAGCACCAAGATATCGTTCCTTGATTGCATCAACTTCCCGCTTTTTATCCTTTTCCTTTGGTTCATTGTCATCATCATCAGCAATTCTTTCTCTGTCTCTGTCTCTATCTCTATCTCGTTCTCTTTCCTTTTCTCGATCCCTGTCACGATCTCTACCACGTCTATCATCTCCTCTTCGATCTCGTCTATCCCTTGAATCATCCATTCGATCATCTCTCATTTCTTTCCTTAATTTTTCCAAATATTGTTGTCGTTGTCGATTTGCTTCCTCAATCTTTTTCTTCATAGCAGCAGCCTGTTCTTCTCGACGTTGAATTGCCAATTTTTCACGTTCTTCTCTGGTTAAAAACTTAGGTTTAATATCAACATTTGGAGCTAATTTAGATGCTGTTCCTTGTTGTTGTTTTAATTTATCCTCTTCAGATTCGGTTAGTGTTGCAGCTGCCGTAGCCATGATTGATGATGAATAAGAACACAACTATGATGCACAGTAAACAATGATTACACTTTCAATAAATATCGCACAATTTTGATATGATCACTCACAATTGACAATAAACTCAACAAAATTAAGTGACAAACATACAAGCAACAAACATGTTTCACAGCTGATAACCCAAAATTACCCAAAACTGAACTCAACGCCATCCATTGGAAGAAACAATCACACAATAACCAGAAAAATCAGTAAGTCAAGTCAATAAATTATTTTATTTAAGAATCACCGAAGAATATTTTCCAATGTAAAAGTGAAAATCAATTGTTGAAACAAATTAAGCATTTATCATAAATTTCAACGTAAGTCTCAAGATAAAAACAAAAAATGAAAGCAATTATAAAACTTCTTTTCTCAAATATGTATTGGCCCTGAAAAGGGCCGTTTTTTGGTTATATGAGGTAAATTAGGTGATCATGATGAAGAATGAAGGATGATGATAATTATTATGATGGAATTGTTTATTTAGATGAAGTGTATTTGGTGACAGCTTTGGTTCCTTCTGATACAGCGTGCTTAGCCAATTCACCGGGAAGGAGAAGTCGGACAGCGGTTTGGATCTCCCTGGATGTGATGGTTGATCGCTTGTTGTAGTGGGCCAATCGGGAAGCCTCAGCAGCAATTCTTTCGAAAATATCATTAACAAAGGAATTCATGATGGACATGGCTTTGGATGAGATACCAGTGTCGGGATGAACTTGTTTCAACACTTTGTAGATGTAGATAGAGAAGGATTCCTTTCGTCGCTTCTTCTTCTTCTTCTTGTCAGTGGCTCGTACAGCTTTTTGGGCCTTACCGGCTTTCTTAACAGCTTTACCTGAGGGTTGAGGAGGCATAATTACTAAATGATAAGTTGATTAAACTTGATTCAAAAATGAAAGCAAAATTTCAATAATACAAATTACTATGGAAGTAATTTTACACAAATTTCAAAAGATGACCAACTGATGACAACACTTTACTTTTTATACTTCAGTGTAGAGTGTTTAACTATAAGTTTACCTAAACGAGGACTCATCTTTACTCCTATTGGTTGTTGCTATAACTACGCTCATTCTTATTGGTTGGTGACTTAAACACCTTTAGCGTAAAGTATATAAACTAACTTGATGTTGTTGTTTTCACTCAATCTCAGCTGTTAAAGTAAATTCATTCTTACTTTTACATTTTAACAAATTTATTATCAAATTTTGTTTCATTTTCTTTGTGAATTTTCACTCAACTCTATTCAATAATATTAACTAATCATGTCTGGACGAGGTAAAGGAGGAAAAGTCAAGTCAAAGGCAAAGTCACGATCATCTCGTGCAGGTCTTCAATTCCCTGTTGGTAGGATTCATCGTCTCCTAAGAAAGGGAAATTATGCTGAACGAGTTGGTGCTGGTGCTCCAGTTTACCTGGCTGCCGTTCTTGAATATTTGGCTGCTGAAGTTTTAGAATTGGCTGGTAATGCTGCCAGAGATAACAAGAAGACTCGTATCATCCCCCGTCATCTTCAACTTGCCATCAGAAACGACGAAGAATTGAACAAGCTTCTTGCTGGTGTTACCATTGCTCAAGGTGGTGTTTTACCAAACATTCAAGCTGTTCTTTTACCAAAAAAGAGTGACAAGAAAGCTTAATCACCTTTAACAACCATCATAATAACATAATCATCATCCTCTTCATCTTTCATTATGATCATCCTTTACATTATATACTTCATATAACCAAAAAACGGCCCTTTTCAGGGCCAATACATATTTGAGAAAAGAAGTTTTTATAATTCTGTTTAATTTAATCTTGTCTTTAATTTGTCTTTGACTTGTATTTGATTCATAATCATCATCATGTCTTGTCTTATATATTTCGTTAATAAATTTATTTATTAAACATACATGTAGTTGCTCTTGTTCTTTGATAAATATTAGTAAATAATATAAGAATTCAAATTATGAGTTGAAATGAGTGAAGAGATAAATGAAAAAATGAATGAAATATCTCTTTTTATACAATTAAATAGTATGTCCATCTTTATAAATTGGATTATAATCATCACTTGTAACTTCTCCAGCATCCCAATCAAAGACAAATTTTCTTTCATTTAATCGACGAAGTCTCTTTTTCTTTCTTGCAGCACCAAGATATCGTTCCTTGATTGCTTCAACTTCCCGCTCCAACTTATCCTTTTCCTTTGGTTCATTGTCATCATCATCTCGATCCTTGTCTCGATCTCTATGATGTAAACAATGATTACATTCTCTGTGAATATTCTTCAATTTTGATAGTTAGTCATTAACAATTGGCTAACAAAATATACTCACATGCATCGAGCAACAAGACTGTAAATGTAAGAACCGAGAGTCAGAGAAAAGAAAAATTAACAAGTAGACTTCAATGAATATTTATAATAAGTAGACACCTTTATTAATTAAAATATACTTTATTACTCACAATCTAAAATATGATCTTGAATCAATGTCAATGTAATGTCATTTTATGTCAATAAAGTCAAGTTGTTTAAAAAATAGAAACTGTTATAACAATCTTTTAACAAATAAGTATTTGGCCCTGATAAGGGCCGTTTTTGTTTTATAATGAGATCAAATGAATATGATCATGATGAGGAAAGGTGGGATAAATGGATGAGAGAGGGTGAGAGATGAAGGGATAGATGAATGGATGTATGAGGAAATGAATCAGTACACTTAAGCACGTTCTCCTCGGATTCGTCTAGCCAATTGGATGTCCTTTGGCATAATAGTAACTCGTTTAGCGTGGATAGCGCATAAGTTAGTGTCTTCAAAGAGACCAACCAGGTAAGCTTCAGAAGCTTCTTGCAAAGCCATAACAGCTGAAGATTGGAAACGAAGATCAGTCTTGAAATCTTGAGCAATTTCTCTCACCAATCGTTGGAAAGGTAATTTACGGATCAACAATTCAGTTGACTTTTGATAACGACGAATCTCTCTCAAAGCAACTGTACCAGGTCGGTATCGATGAGGTTTCTTAACACCACCGGTGGCTGGAGCAGATTTACGAGCAGCCTTGGTTGCCAATTGTTTTCGTGGAGCTTTACCTCCAGTTGATTTACGAGCAGTTTGCTTGGTTCGGGCCATTTTTCACTAAAAATGAGTAAGAAGTTGAAACAACTTGAATAAAAATTCAAAGACAAATATGATTTGATGAGATTGATTAACAAAACTAAAGTGAACTCACAAATTTTACATTACCCGCTTAAATATCAAACTAGATTGTTTGTTTGACGCTTGTTTGAGTCCTCGTTGTGGTAAACTCTATTCTTATTGGTTCATTCACAAACAGCTTTTTTTCGTGTTTTTGGGTTCAAACAAGAAAATGCGGCAAATTTGAATTCACTTTTCTTTCTTTTCTGTATTGTTTATAATTTTTATGATAATCCCAAACATATGACTTTTTGTTCTCTCTAATTTCTTCCAACTCCTTCTTTTATTTGCATTTTTTTTAATTAATCTTACATTTTCTCTCTCTCTTATACTAGGTTTTATGGATAAAGAATCAATTGAAATCATTGTTGATGAAATTAGTGAACAAGAAAAGGCTGTTATGAAGACAATGGGTTTACCTTCACATTTTTCATCATCTAAAAAATATGATAAATCAAAGAAAAAACAACAACAACATGGAAAGGTAAAAAAAAGTCTATGTAAATATTGGCATCAAAGATATCGTTTATTTTCTCGATTTGATCAAGGTATTAAACTTGATAAAGAATCATGGTATTCAGTGACTCCAGAAATGATTGCTTTACATATTGCTTCAAGATGTGTTAAAGATGATAATTACAGAGTAATAATGGATCCTTTTTGTGGTGTTGGTGGAAATATTATTCAATTTGCTTCATTTTCAAAAAATGTTTTCATTATTGCCAGTGATATTGATCCAAAAAAAGTATCAATGGCCAAACATAATGCTACAATTTATGATGTATCTCATCGTATTGCTTTCATGGTTGGCGATTTTTTCAATATCATTAAAACAATCAAAATACATGTTGATTGTATCTTCTTAAGTCCTCCATGGGGTGGACCAGATTATTTAAAACAAGATAACTATTCGTTATCATCTATGACACCAGATGGATTCAACATTTATAATGCTGCTAAAAAATATATTACTCCAAACATTGCTTTCCTTTTACCAAGAAATATTGACAGAGATGATTTAAATTCACTTTTACAACCTGGAGAATTCATTGAAATTGAACAAAATTTAATTAATGATAAACCCAAAACAGTTACAGCATATTTTGGTGATCTTGCCAAACAAGATTTGTTGCAATCCTGATACTTGATTCAAATCAATGTTTCATTTTTCGTCGTTCATCTTTCATAACATAATTGCATTATTATATCATTTTATGATTGTTACATTATCCATGTCCATTTTTTATTACCAATCATCTTGTGATATTATTCATAGATGTTATTAATTAAATTCACTTCAAAACAGGTACACTTTTGTTATTTATTCAAATCCTTTAACCTTTTCTTAACTCTCATTGATGAACTTCATTTGAACACTTTTAAGTTTTCTCTGTTTGTTTTTATTCAATTCAAATTATCTTATTTCATATTCCTAATATTTATTCTTGCTCTATTTTTAGTGAACTTGCTATCAACTGCTTTTTGGTGTAAACTAAACGAAGTGAAATCGAACCATGAGGAAACAGCAGCAATCAAAAAAGTCGCAATTTACAATCAAATAGGGCAATTAAGGTGACACAAAAGGGGGTCAACGATAGTTTATCAAATTAATGAGAGCAAAAAAGTATCGGTTGACAAAAATCATTGAAGCTTGTTAAGTAATGACAGCAATAATAAAATGATCTCAAACAAATTGGTGGAAGAAAGGAGTAAATGTAAAAAGTAAATAGTGAAAGAGAAAGTTACAATCAAAAGTTAACTGTTTACTGTAAACATTAATCAGGCTAAATTGTTGGAGAGAAGGCAAAAAAATATGATTTTTGGTGCTTGGCTGTTATCATCAGCACTTTCATCATTGTCGTCCTCGTCAATTGTTAAGGTGAACTATTAACTCAGTTCATGGTAATCATTTGAGTTAACCTAACTCAAATTGCGCTAAACAACTCTTAACCAATTGTAGCTCTGTTTTATTCCAGTTGGCTCAATTATTTACCCTGAGAATAAAAATTTATTTTGATTTTAAATCAAATTCTCCATTTCATTTGCAAATATTACTCCTGTGTTCATATCAAACCAATGGATATATTAACCGTGTTTGTGTTTTCATTGATCTCATCTCTTCTCCATGTATTTATACTCGTAGGAAAAGTTAATTGTCAGACTGATGACATTTCACTTGTTAATACAATCAACCAATTGTCTCTCTCCTTCCTACCAGAATCATTACAATCTAATGAAAATGTGATCTTCTCTCCGTTAAGTATTGTAATGGGACTTGGCCTGTTGGCTGAAGGGGCAACTGGAAATGGTCAGCAACAGTTGATTTCATTTCTAACCAACACAAATCAAACTATTGATAAATCAATTGCTCTTCAACAGTTAAGGAAACAATTTAAAAGTGTAAGTTATCCTTGGTTTCATAACATCGTTCACCGTTAGTCAGTTGAAAACCCAAGTCACGAAACCAGATTGAAAAGTAAAAAGTTAACCAGATTTTGGGTTACATTCGATGTTGGAGTAAATCTGTTCTCAAAAATTCGATTATCATTCGATTTTCACTGAAATTGGTGATCAATTTTCAAGATTATTTTTCAATTGTGATTTACGTTAACTATCGACTAGTGATCAATCAATGTTCATTCAATTATCGTGTTTAAAACTCTCACAATGTCAACGTTTCTGATTGTTTCTTGTTCAAATTTACCTTCTCCCTGTTTCTTGTAAGCTATAACACACAATCAATTAATGATGAACATGATGATAATGAAGATTATGCTTTCACCACATGAAAACTCTGTTGCAACAAAACATGGTAAATGAGGATTAACTTGAAGTGATAGTCTTGTAGTTACCATGGTTTTTTGGGTTTGGTCCTCAAAAAATGAAAGTATATCATTAACTTGAGTTATTTTTGACTCTTTACTCTTAACTGTGGCACTATTTTGCACACAACAGACAAACATGGATAATGAAAAGCTCATTCAAAGTGATCATTTTCATTGATCTTTTCCTTTCCCTTCATTTCATCATCACTTTTATCATTCCCATCATCATCACCATCATAATGATCAGAGAGAAAGGCAACGACCACAATGAAAGTGATGAACTCAAACATGGTTCAAGATCCAAGCATATAAGACAATAAAGTTCAATAATTGCCAAGTTTACCTCAAATTGTATAATGACCATTTTAATGACCATTATGACTGTAATTACCAGACAAAGTTTCCGATCAAAAAGGTAACACAAAATGTTAATGTAAATACACGTAAATACATGCGTTTCATCAACCCAATCCATAGTATTAACATCAATCTGCCAACCTGAAAATTAAATTTTTGATCAATCAAAACTTGAGGTAAAATAATCATTCATTCCGGTATAAATAGTGAAAGTCTCAAGACAAAATACTTTGAATACTATCAAGTGAATGAAAAAACTTATTCTAAGGGTTCGATTGGGTGAAAAGATTTAACATTGAACAGCATTTTAAGGTATTGACAAATTTACCTTAATATGTTTATTGGACCTTATCTGTTAAGCATGAGTAATTGGGATTCTTACATGATTTTATTCATAGTCTATCTTGTTATCTTCAATGAACTTTTATTTACCTAAATCTCTAAATAAGTCAAGATGAGCAGATTGAATAGTTGATCATTTTAAACTTGGAACAGAATTACAGAGATTTAAACAGCTACAAACAAAATGGCATAATCTGTTTACCACTAAGATTCACAGCGAGATTTGCCTTGAAATATTCATTGAAATGAGTTGCGAGTCAGCTGCTTGAGATTAACACTTTTTGTGCCAATCTTTTTGGATTGTTTGGCCTTTTCAATGTCTTCTGATTGACTTGAATTGAGTAACAATAATATCAAGCTTTTAACATTAATATTGAAATAAAGAGAAAGTTGAAAAGTAAGACAACATCGAGTGGAAAGATGAAAGTTTTGTCAAAATGGCAAGTTAATTTAAGATTTTAAGTCTTCAAATTTGCATTTTTAGTCTCATCCTCGTTTCAGATGAACCAATCTAATTTAGCAAATTTTTTACTCTTGAAATTGCGTAGTTGTGATCAAAATAGACCAAGAAAACTCGTCATCTTGAACATAATAACAATAAAGTGTATGACTTGAAATGAACAGTTGAGAAACAAAAATGATATTTCATTGAGCAATTCATCAAATTGACAGTGAAATACTCAGATAACTTTCACGTTAAGTTGATCCATTTATGTTTTTTTTCATCTTAAAAAATGTCACTCCATTGGATTTGTAAATTGTGATCAACTTAAATCAAAGTCTCGATACGTTGAGTTGATTGATCTCATCACGAGAGTTTCATTGTATTTTTATTATCTCTTTTGTAGCCTCACTAATTAATACCCTTAAAATGATCAAGATAATTGTTTCATAATAATGTTCAATAGTAAAGTTGCTATTAACAATAATCAAACATTTAAGAACACCAGGCAATATCAGAGTTGATTAGAATTGATTAGATTAATAGATCAGATCGGAAGGTATTTAAAGGTTAATTCATTTTTACGCAGCAAAATTCAGTCGAATCTGAAATTTCCATAAAAATCAGGTTCAGCCAATTACAATACAATAATGATCTCATTAAAACACAGAATAGGGTTAATTATGATCACTTACTATTAATAACTGTGACTAAAGCTTGAAAAATCAACAATTATAGCTCAAGATGACACTTTTGACAATTTGTTTTGGCCTTTTTTGATTATCCAAATACACGGTAAACAATTTTTGTTAATCATTTTAATTGTGGTTAAATAAAAACTATTGTATTTTGTATTTAAATTTGTTTTGGTTTCATTATAAATCAGCATTGAATCTAAAATAAAATTAATTAAGGTATACATCTTGCTTGATTTGGCATTTTAACCATTCTTCTAGTACAAAAACAAAACATTAATTGTGAGTTAATCATTTGGTTCAAGTCGAAACAATTAAAACTAATCAACAATTTTGGGATTTACATGATTGTGAACTAAAATTGAATCGCAGTTTGGTCACTGGCTTGACGTCAAGTCAATGTTGATGTTATTTTGATGTTTAAATGATAATGATAATTCAACTGGTTGATAACTAAACATAATGTGGGATCAATTAATCTAAAAAAATGACGTTAACAATTTACTGATATTTAAAAATGAATGTATATTAAAAACAATCAAAATCTACTTGTTTCAACTAGAAATGTGATTCTCTAAATACAAAAAATTAGCCATAACTTTTGATTAACAAACTATTAACCAAAAAATCGATATAAACATCAACTCACATGAGAGACCGTAATTGTGTTGAGCCAATGTAAACTGAAGGTTTTTGGTAGGACAAAACAAATGACTAATGATTACCAGTTTTCAAATAATTTAACAAACAGCAATTGTAGATTACAATTCATTTGACTACTTTTGAACTTTTCAATTCTATTTCTGATTTCATCTTTTCTTTGCCATCCACCCTGATCCAATAATTGATTAAATTTAATTTTCTCTCTTTTTCTTGATTTCGTTTCTTGCTAAAGTTGATTGATATCCAATGTCCAAATGGTCAATTGCAGCAATTATCAGCATCAACAACATGTAAAAATGAAATGGTCAATCTTGTTATGGTTACAACTGATTATCGGGTGAAAGATGATTACAAGTCGACCCTTGAGTCCGTTTTCAATGGATTGGTGGTTAATCGAGACTTTAAATCGAGTAAAAGCAATCTGGTTGATGAGGTTAATCAATTGGTTGCCAATAAAACAAATAATATGATTAGGAAAGCTTTAGATGGTCCCATAGATCCAAATACAAAATTAATCATTTTAAATGCATTCTCATTTGAAGGAGATTGGGTTCATCCGTTTCCAAAGTCTCTTATCATTCAACGGCCTTTCTATGGAATCGATCAAATCACTTTATCCTCATCAAAATCTTCTCAATCTTCATTTCAAACAACTTTACCGTCCTTGATGGCTTCAAGTGTTAGGAATTTGACATCGGATCGTTTTCCTTTCATGACAACTTCATTGAGAACCAATTATGCTGAAATTAAGGAGAAAGACATGAAAATAATTCAACTTGATTATTTGGGTAACGCTTCAATGATCATTTTGTTACCGAATCAAAGGGACTCATTACTTAATTTGGTTAGAAATTTAACTGTACAAGAAATTGATTCCTACATCGAGAGTAGATTGACACAAAGTGATATTGACATAGAAATACCAAAATTTACATTTGAAGTACAATATGATCTGATGGAAAGGTTAGAGAACCTGCGATTGTCCATTTTAAAAGCAGATTACACAGGCATAGCGGAGAGGATTCAGGTTGTTGAAGAAGCTAAAGTTGACAAAATTGATAAAGACGATACCTTCATAGGTCGTGTTGATGTAAGTGCTGAAGGTGGTGATGGTAAAAATGAAAGTAATCTAAATAATAAGGAGAAGAGTAAGAATAGTCTAGACAGTAATGCTAGCAGTGATGATAGCCTTAGACATAGAAACGGTAATGATGACGCTATCAGGAGTACTGGTAATGGTAGTAGTCATAGTAATACAAGTGATAAAAAGGATTTATCGAGAACACTTGTTCAAGATCGAGGCCATCTTAGTTTGACTTCAGCAATTCACAAATCTGTTATCAAAGTTGATGAAAAAGGTACCAAAGCTGCTGCTTTCACTGGTTTCGGATTTCACCCGCTGTCAACAATTTCCGGGCAAGCACAATTTATTGCTGATCATCCTTTTCTTTTCTTTATTCGGGATCGATCAAAACGAGTCAATATCTTCACTGGTGCAGTTAATAAGCTAACTGGTTGATGAGAGAATCACCTTAATTCAATAGACACTTATGAGCCTGTCGTGCCTTTGTCTTGAGCCGAGACTTAGGACGGTACTCAGCAAGATATGATAATTGCCGAGCATTTATTGCTCCTCTCCTCTTTTGACGAATCAAATCTATGGCATCTTCATATTGCATACCCAGTTCAATCAATGCTAGAGCAACTAACACTGGAGCTCTACCAAGACCAGCAACACAGTGTACTGCAATACAGCTGTTGGGATCCTCTCGAAATCTCGTCTTTAATAAGTCAAACCATGCCTCAACTACATGCTGAGGTGGTGGTGATCCATCATCAAATTGCCAATCATGTATATTGATGCCCTCCTTTGCTAATAAATCAGTCCTATAAGTTGGTTCACAGACACGAACAACATCTCGAATATTTCTTTTTTTGAGTTCCTGGTGAAAGAGAAAGAAAAAAAAATGAAACAGGGTGCGAAAGAAGAGTAGGAAGCAAAGAAAAAGAGGACAACAAGGTTATTTAATGTACAATTGATGATGAAAAGAGCAAGATATTTATAGCAGAAATGATTGAGACCACAGATAGGAAATGGATATACATAGAGTGTAAAATTAAACATATTTGAAGCACTAAACAAACGAGGCTGAGGGTTTAACCTTATGACAAAATGGCCATAAAATTATCGCTAGATCAAAAATTGAACTCTTAATTATTTTTACGGGGTTAGGTCAGGTTAATATATTGGTTTATAGGAGTGTTAACATAGATTGAAATGATTAAAACAGAAATGTAAAGAAATAGGAATAAGGAGGAGATTTAGGACACTATAATTACCTCTATGAAAATGTTCAAAGTGTTGTCTGTTGGCCTGTCCATGATGAGAAATCTCATATCTTTGTAGCTAATATCCGATGGACCTGGGCGAACCAGGGGCGAAATTATTGAAGAAATGTTATCCTTCTGAACCATGGTGAACTTTAAAACAGAGACTAGTGAAGAATAAGCACAGTTTGATGTGAAAATGAAGAGAGCTGTTGCTGTTGACTTACACAATCCTCATTGAGAATTAAAGAGGACAAAAAATGTGCACTTGAACACCAATAATTTGAATTTTATGGAAGAGTTTAAAGTTTCATTAAAAAAGTAAATGATAATTGAAGAAGAGTAGTAAAATTGTTAATCCATCTGATGATTAAAAGTTTATCAAAGCTTAACAACCATAAATTAATCTGTTAAATAATGACACTGAAATCTTATATGGATAAAATCCACTGCAATCCTATGATCAAATGATGATAACATTCACTTCTCACTGAATTATCAGTTACTGATTAATCTGGAAATCGATTATTGCTACCCATGCGAATGATTGCTTTTGCATCGAATCATGCTAGATGCATGTATTTTATTTCATTTCAATCTAATTGACAATCGAGCCTGATAATTGTGATAAGAACTGATTTATCATAAATAATTGCTCAAGAAGCTACCAGATGCTGTTTTAGATTAACACAACACAGAATAAATGTGCGCTCCAAGAGGGAATAAAGTAATTAACTGACTTTTTGAGACTGCTAGTTAAACAATTAACAAACGTTTTATCGATTCTATCATGTTAGACTTAACCTTGGCCACTTTAAATCAAATATTTTTTCAAGGGTAGTTTGATCAATGCAGAAATAGCTGAGATCTTGATTAATAATCTTGCTAGTCAATCGGGATTTTCAAGATAACAATTTTTATTCAAGACCATTTAACCATCAAAAATCGAATAATAGAAATCAAAGTTGGACATATTCATAAAATGGTATTCAAATATCGGCTCATTACATGGCTCATATGTACAATTGGAATATAAATTGTCATCCTTAAAATGCGAATAATTGGAACAATTGAAATATATTTTAATGAATTAATAAACAATGATTTTTCAGGTCACTTTCCAGACATTTTTGAAGTTATTTTGTCGATACTTGTTGGAATGACTTGTTTGATCAATTGAATAGATGAAAGTGAAGTTTAAAAATTGTTATTAAACTATAATTTATCAGCAATGAAGCAGTTTACAATGAAAATCAGTTTAATGAGGCAAAGTTGGGTAATTTTGACATGGGATATAATTTAGCAGATTTTACAATTACCTAACATTAACCGAATTGGTAAGATCATAGGTTACTATTAAAGAAGAGGGGGTCTACGTCCAGGCCACGCTTCTTTGGCATATTTCTTCTTCTTAGGAAGACCCATTCCACCGATACTTTCGATCGGTTCAACAGCAGTTAGCTGTTTTGCTGGGAGCTCAGGAATTTTTTCGGGACTCGTTTCAAGATCCACATCAGGGGCTGAATTTGGTAATGGTATACCAAGTTTGAGGGAAAGTGAAGTTGAAAAAATTGGATTTAAAGCAGATGAATGATGAGATGTTGAGTCGATTTGAGGTTTCAAGATATGAGATGATTTAACTTCATTCTGATTCAATCCCAATGATGAGTCTAGTTTCATCTTCTTTCTGGGAATAACCGTTGTTTGGACTAAATTTCGAAATTTTCCAACACTTGGATCAATATCTTCTGGGTTTATTATTTCTTCTTCTTCTTTAAATCTTACTAATATTGTACGAGGGCCAGCCCGAACTTTGTCACTTTCTTTTATTCCCATCATGCTTATACGCTTATTATGAACAGTGTTGAATTCAGTCAAGTTCTGCAGAAAATAAAAAAATAATTAGTAATATAGATGGTAAATTCATATTCTAGCTTATTGGTTCATTGTAACTTATATCGATGTAATTTCCGTCAATTATGTCATTACTTACATCTAGTTCTAGTTCCGAATCAGGCAAGTTGAGATGTCCATAGTCGACATTTTCTGAATTTGCATCACCATCAGAGTTAGATATATTGCTAGCGTTTGGTTTTTCGCGAAGATAATAATATCGAGTAGATGCTCCAAAATGAAATGTACTGTTTACAGGTAATTGAGTTGGTTTATGAGCTTCAAGACGAACATTGCCGATAAAAGATCCATGCGCTTAATGGAAACAAAACGATCATTAGACTCGGATATGGACTATTCAAAGCAATTTAGTTAACTTACTGCTGCCAAGATCTACTAAAAAAGCTCTACTGAGATGTTTATGATAAACCAAAGCAGCATGGATCCTCGAACAAGATTGGTGATCAATACAAATATCATTCAGAGTCGGGTTTCGTCCAAAATGATAGCATTTTTTCTCATCGATCATGATTTTCTGCGAAAGGGAAACAAATGGAAATTAAATTTGTATCAAAAGCCAATATAGAAAAGCTAAGCACTTTATAAAGTTTTACATTGACCACTTTTGACAACAATCCTCGATAAGAGAAGAGTTAAATCGATCTTGCACATATCGTATACCTGATGTTAATTGCCTAAAAAGTGAACAACCAATGTAATTAATTGTTCACCAGTAACACCAATCATCTTCTATGTGCCTTCATTTATAATGCATAAATGATAACAACTAATCAATCTATTGAGAAATAGATACGAACCTGAAACAATTTGCCTTCTTTATAAACATCTAAGTGGAACCCTGATGGAGGTATTCCAGCCCTGTGTTAAAAAAGACGAAATCACAATGAGAATAGAGTTTACATTGAATTGTTATTTGAAAAACTTACCAATTAGGAACTTGATAATGTGATGAAGTAGGAATCGATTCTGTCGGTGTTGACATTTCTTGAAAAAACGAGCCAAAAAACTAAACCATAATATACTTAAACAGAGTTTAAACCACAAGTGACTTATGAGCCGTGCAAATGGTAAACAAATCCAGCTTGTATGCAAGAGATCGAGAAAGCGCCAAAATTGAATTTTTTACCAAAATCAATAAGCTCTTTATAAATAAAAGAACTTATTAGTTAAGTTCTTAAGCTGATGAACTCTTGAAAAATAGAGTAAAAAGATGAAAATTAAAAGTAAAAATTATTTAAATTATTAAGCACAAACAGAAAAAACTTACAAGTGTTCATAAAAAGTTCACCAATGAAAGCTAAGAAAAAAATTTGTGTGAATCAAAATGTACCTGTTTTGAAGTGAATTTAATTAATAACATCTATGAATAATATCACAAGATGATTTGTAATAAAAAATGGACATGGATAATGTATGGATAATGTAACAATCATAAAATGATATAATAATGCAATTATGTTATGAAAGATGAACGATGAAAAATGAAACATTGATTTAAATTAAGTATTAGGATTGTAACAAATCTTGTTTGGCAAGATCACCAAAATATGCTGTAACTGTTTTGGGTTTATCATTAATTAAATTTTGTTCAATTTCAATGAATTCTCCAGGTTGTAAAAGTGAATTTAAATCATCTCTGTCAATATTTCTTGGTAATAGGAAAGCAATGTTTGGAGTAATATATTTTTTAGCAGCATTATAAATGTTGAATCCATCTGGTGTCATAGATGATAACGAATAGTTGTCTTGTTTCAAATAATCTGGTCCACCCCATGGAGGACTTAAGAAGATACAATCAACATGTATTTTGATTGTTTTAATGATATTGAAGAAATCACCCACCATGAAAGCAATACGATGAGATACATCATAAATTGAAGCATTATGTTTGGCCATTGATACTTTTTTTGGATCAATATCACTGGCAATAATGAAAACATTTTTTGAAAATGAAGCAAATTGAATAATATTTCCACCAACACCACAAAAAGGATCCATTATTACTCTGTAATTATCATCTTTAACACATCTTGAAGCAATATGTAAAGCAATCATTTCTGGAGTCACTGAATACCATGATTCTTTATCAAGTTTGATACCTTGATCAAAGCGAGAAAATAAACGATATCTTTGATGCCAATATTTACATAGACTTTTTTTTACCTTTCCATGTTGTTGTTGTTTTTTCTTTGATTTATCATATTTTTTAGATGATGAAAAATGTGATGGTAAACCCATTGTTTTCATAACAGCCTTTTCTTGTTCACTAATTTCATCAGCAATGATTTCAATAGATTCACAATTTGATTCTTTATCCATAAATCTAGTATAAGAGAGAGAGAGAGAGAGAGAGAGAGAGAGAGAGAGATTAATTAAAAAGTTGGAAGGAATTAGAAAAAACAAAAAAATCATATGTTTTGGTTTATCATAAAAATAATGAATATGAATAAAGAAAAGGCAATTCAAATTTGGCGCATTTTCTTGTTTGAACCCAGAAACATGCAAAAAAGCGTTGACAAGAAGAACCAATAAGAATAGAGCTTACCACAACGAGGACTCAAACAATAAGCCAGTTTCATATTTAAGCGGGTAATGTAAAATTTGTTAGTTCACTTCAGTTTGGTTAATCAGTCTTTGCAAATCATATTTGTCTTTGAATTTTTATTCAAGTTGTTTCTACTTCTTACTCATCTTTTAGTGAAAAATGGCCCGAACCAAGCAAACTGCTCGTAAATCAACTGGTGGTAAAGCTCCACGAAAACAATTGGCAACCAAGGCTGCTCGTAAATCTGCTCCAGCCACCGGTGGTGTTAAGAAACCTCATCGATACCGACCTGGTACAGTTGCTTTGAGAGAGATTCGTCGTTATCAAAAGTCAACTGAATTGTTGATCCGTAAATTACCTTTCCAACGATTGGTGAGAGAAATTGCTCAAGATTTCAAGACTGATCTTCGTTTCCAATCTTCAGCTGTTATGGCTTTGCAAGAAGCTTCTGAAGCTTACCTGGTTGGTCTCTTTGAAGACACTAACTTATGTGCTATCCACGCTAAACGAGTTACTATTATGCCTAAGGATATTCAATTGGCTAGACGTATTCGAGGAGAACGTGCTTAAGTGTACTGATTCATTTCCTCATGCATCCATTCATCTATCCTTTCACCTCTCACCCTCTCTCCATCCCACCTTTCCTCATCATGATCATATTCATTTGATCTCATTATAATACAAAAACGGCCCTTATCAGGGCCAAATACTTATTTGTTAAAAGATTGTTATAACAGTTTCTATTTTTTAAACAACTTGACTTTATTGACTTAAAATGACATTACATTGACATTGATTCAAGATCATATTTTAGATTGTGAGTAATAACGTATATTTTAATTAATAAAGGTGTCTACTTATTATAAATATTCATTGAAGTTTACTTGTTAATTTTTCTTTTCTCTGACTCTCGGTTCTTGTTACATTTACAGCCTTGTTGCTCAATGCTTGTGAGTATATTTTGTCAGCCAATTGTTAGTGATTAACTATCAAAATTGAAGAATATTCAGAGAATCTCATCATTGTTTACTTCATAGAGATCGAGACAAGGCTCGAGAAAGAGAAAGAATTGCTGATGATGACAATGAACCAAAGGAAAAAGATAAGTTGGAGCGGGAAGTTGAAGCAATCAAGGAACGATATCTTGGTGCTGCAAGAAAGAAATAGAAACTTCGTCGATTAAATGAAAGAAAATTTGTCTTTGATTGGGATGCTGGATACAAGTGATGATTATAATCCAATTTATAAAGATGGACATACTATTCAATTGTATAAAAAGAGATATTTCATTCATTTTTTCATTCATTCTAACTCATAATTTATATTCTTATATTATTTACTAATATTCGAAGAACAAGAGCAACTACATGTATGTTTAATAAATAAATTTATTAACGAAATGGATAAGACATGAACTGATGATTATGAATCAAATACGCGTCAAAGACAAGTTAAAGACAAGATTAGATTAAACAGAATTATAAAAACTTCTTTTCTCAAATATGTATTGGCCCTGAAAAGGGCCGTTTTTTGGTTATATGAAGTATATAATGTAAAGGATGATCATAATGAAAGATGAAGAGGATGATGATTATGTTATTATGATGGTTGTTAAAGGTGATTAAGCTTTCTTGTCACTCTTTTTTGGTAAAAGAACAGCTTGAATGTTTGGTAAAACACCACCTTGAGCAATGGTAACACCAGCAAGAAGCTTGTTCAATTCTTCGTCGTTTCTGATGGCAAGTTGAAGATGACGGGGGATGATACGAGTCTTCTTGTTATCTCTGGCAGCATTACCAGCCAATTCTAAAACTTCAGCAGCCAAATATTCAAGAACGGCAGCCAGGTAAACTGGAGCACCAGCACCAACTCGTTCAGCATAATTTCCCTTTCTTAGGAGACGATGAATCCTACCAACAGGGAATTGAAGACCTGCACGAGATGATCGTGACTTTGCCTTTGACTTGACTTTTCCTCCTTTACCACGTCCAGACATGATTAGTTGATATTATTGAATAGAGTTGGGTGAAAATTCACAAAGAAAATGAAACAAAATTTGATAAACTTAAAAGTAAGAATGAATTACTTTAATCAGCTGAGATTGAGTGAAAACAACAACATCAAGTTAGTTTATATACTTTACGCTAAAGGTGTTTAAGTCACCAACCAATAAGAATGAGCGTAGTTATAGTAACAACCAATAGGAGTAAAGATGAGTCCTCGTTTAGGTAAACTTATAGTTAAACACCCTATACTGAAGTATAAAAAGTAAAGTGATGGCTTTAGTTGGTCATCTTTTGAAATTTGAGTAAAGTTACCTCCATAGTAATTTGTATTTTGAAATTTTGTTTTCATTTTTGAATCAAGTTTAATCAACTTATCATTTAGTAATTATGCCTCCTCAACCCTCAGGTAAAGCTGTTAAGAAAGCCGGTAAGGCCCAAAAAGCTGTACGAGCCACTGACAAGAAGAAGAAGAAGAAGCGACGAAAGGAATCCTTCTCTATCTACATCTACAAAGTGTTGAAACAAGTTCATCCCGACACTGGTATCTCATCCAAAGCCATGTCCATCATGAATTCCTTTGTTAATGATATTTTCGAAAGAATTGCTGCTGAGGCTTCTCGATTGGCCCACTACAACAAGCGATCAACCATCACATCCAGGGAGATCCAAACCGCTGTCCGACTTCTCCTTCCCGGTGAATTGGCTAAGCACGCTGTATCAGAAGGAACCAAAGCTGTCACCAAATACACTTCTTCTAAATAAACAATTCCATCATAATAATTATCATCATCCTTCATCCTTCATCATGATCACCTAATTTACCTCATATAACCAAAAAACGGCCCTTTTCAGGGCCAATACATATTTGAGAAAAGAAGTTTTATTATTGCTTTCATTTTTTGTTTTTATCTTGAGACTTACATTGAAATTTATGAATATCAATTGATTTACACTTTTACATATTCTTCGGTGATTCTTGAATAAAATAATTTATTGACTTGACTTACTGATTTTTCTGGTTATTGTGTGATTGTTTCTTCCAATGGATGGCGTTGAGCTCAGTTTTGGGTAATTTTGGGTTATCAGCTGTGAAACATGTTTGTTGCTTGTATGTTTGTCACTCAATTTTGTTGAGTTTATTGTGTCAATTGTTAGTGATCATATCAAAATTGTGCGATATTTATTGAAAGTGTTATCATTGTTTACTGTGCATCATAGTTGTGTTCTTATTCATCATCAATCATGGCTACGGCAGCTGCAACACTAACCGAATCTGAAGAGGATAAATTAAAACAACAACAAGGAACAGCATCTAAATTAGCTCCAAATGTTGATATTAAACCTAAGTTTTTAACCAGAGAAGAACGTGAAAAATTGGCAATTCAACGTCGAGAAGAACAGGCTGCTGCTATGAAGAAAAAGATTGAGGAAGCAAATCGACAACGACAACAATATTTGGAAAAATTAAGGAAAGAGATGAGAGATGATCGAATGGATGATTCAAGGGATAGACGAGATCGAAGAGGAGATGATAGACGTGGTAGAGATCGTGACAGAGATCGAGAAAAGGAAAGAGATCGAGATAGAGACAGAGAAAGAGAAAGAGAAAGAATTGCTGATGATGATGACAATGAACCAAAGGAAAAGGATAAAAAGCGGGAAGTTGATGCAATCAAGGAACGATATCTTGGTGCTGCAAGAAAGAAAAAGAGACTTCGTCGATTAAATGAAAGAAAATTTGTCTTTGATTGGGATGCTGGTGAAGATACAAGTGATGATTATAATCCAATTTATAAAGATAGACATACTATTCAATTATATGGAAGAGGTCATATTGCTGGTATTGATTTTAAGCAACAGAAGAAAGAACAATCAAGATTTTATGGTGAATTATTGGAACGTCGACGAACTGATGAAGAGAAAGAACAAGAAAAATATAGATTAGAAAAGATGAAAAAGAAGGAAGAGAAACAAACTTGGGATGATCGTCATTGGACTCAAAAAGGTTTAACTGAAATGAAAGAAAGAGATTGGAGAATATTTAGAGAAGATTACAATATTGCAATTAAAGGTGGAAAAATCCCGAATCCAATAAGAAACTGGGATGAATCAGGATTACCTAAAGAAATAATTGAAATTATTAATGAACTTAAATACAAAGAACCAACTCCTATTCAAAGACAAGCTATACCAATTGGATTACAGAATAGAGATATTATTGGTGTTGCTGAAACTGGTTCTGGTAAAACTGCTGCATTCTTGATTCCATTGCTTGTTTGGATAACTGCACAACCAAAGATAGTCCGTCAAGAGGAGATTGACCAAGGACCATATGCAATTATTTTAGCTCCTACTCGTGAATTGGCTCAACAAATTGAAGAAGAAACTCTTAAATTTGCTAAAGCATTAGAAATACGAACTGTTTCAGTAATTGGAGGTTCTTCTCGAGAAGAGCAAGGTTTCAAATTGCGATTAGGTTGTGAAATTGTTATTGCAACTCCTGGTAGATTAATCGATGTACTTGAAAATCGTTATTTGGTTCTAAGTCGATGTACTTATGTTGTTCTCGATGAAGCTGATCGTATGATTGATATGGGTTTTGAACCTGATTTGAAAAAAATTCTCGACTTTATGCCTGTAACAAATTTAAAACCAGATACTGATGATGCTGAAGATGAAGATAAATTGATTGCCAATTTTAATTCAAAACATAAATATCGACAAACTGTCATGTTTACAGCAACAATGCCTCCAAGTGTTGAAAGATTGGCACGAGCCTATCTACGTCGTCCTGCAATGGTCACCATTGGTTTAGCTGGTAAACCTGTTGAAAGAGTTGAACAAGTTGTATATCTTGTTGCTGAATCAGATAAACGAAAGAAACTCATGCAAACTTTGTCAGCTGGTGTTGAACCTCCAATCATGATATTTGTCAATCAAAAGAAAGGAGCTGATGTATTGGCTCGTAGTTTGGAAAAAATTGGTTACAATGCTTGTACTCTTCATGGTGGTAAAGGTCAAGAACAGAGAGAATTTGCTTTATCTTCTTTGAAATCTGGTGAGAAAGATATTCTTGTAGCTACTGATGTTGCAGGTAGAGGTTTGGATGTTAAAAATGTTACTCTTGTCATTAATTATGATATGGCTAAAAGTATTGAAGATTATATTCATCGTATTGGTCGTACTGGTCGTGCTGGTTTAACGGGTAAAGCTGTTTCTTTCTGTACAAAAGACGATTCTCACCTGTTCTATGATCTCAAACAACTGTTGCAACAAAGTCCAGTATCATCATGTCCCCCTGAATTAGCTAATCATCCTGATGCTCAACATAAACCAGGAGCATCCACAGGACAGAAAAAGAGAAAAGATGAAACTATTTTTGTTTGATCAACATACAATTTGTATAATCTAACTAACTAACTTATCTGATCATAAACAGCATTTTATAAATGCTCCAATTTATAAAATAATGTCTCTTTCATGATTAATAAACTTATTCTTTTACAAATATTCGTATTTCTACATTATTTCGTATCGCATGTATCATTTCATATATCATCATGGTTTCTAATTTTTTTACTGCAAACTCAAAGAAATAAGTAATCAGCAGCAAAATTTTTAGTTCTGTTGTTAAATCATCAAGAGCAACAACTTTACAAAACCAATCATTTGAAAACCATCATAAGTTATCTCAATGGTTTTAGCATTAGGTTCAAGTTTGACACTTAAGCAATCAACTCTGTTTCTCTGCACTCATCAGGAACTTTTTGAATTGATTTCCATTAATCGTTTATTGTAAATAAAAAACACAAAACAAAAGCGCTATGTTGAAGTCGAGTCTTTTTTCCATGCATTATATGATTTTATACAAGAGTTACATGATTTCAATTTCCCGGTAAATTTGGTTGCATGAAATTCTCCTTCTGCTTTTACTGTACAAATTCAACTCAAAAAATGAACCTGTATGTGTTTGTGTATAACACTGTATATAATAACTCTACTAAAAATCAACTTTAATTATTTTTTTTCTTTTCATTACCTAAATTTTGTCCCACTATTATTGAAATTTTTGTTTAAACGTTATGCAAATCAAAAAATACTCTCCAGGCCTAATTATAAGTCCATCTAAACAATCAACTTCAATGTTCAATTCTAATCTTCAACATCTGTTTTTCCTTATATCCTGTTCAACTTGTTCTTGGTTACTTTGGATTGACTGACTTTATTACTCTTCTCCTCTTATATTTATATTGTTTTAATACGATTGGAATTTATTTAATTTGCTAGCAAATTTATTATTCTTCATCGATTTTTGACTAAAAATGTCTCATTCTCGTAACTCAAATTCAGTTCAAAGTCAAACTGAGCTAACTGACGAGGATTCCGATGATGATGGTGAACAAACCTATCCTAGAGGAAGGATTGGTGCAGCACCAAACTATAAGTATGGCCAGGGTAAAGTGAATAATAATAAAAACTGTGGTGATGATAATGATGACAGTGACCATGATGGTCAAACTGACTCTTCATCTGATGCGGAAGTGTCATCAATAGATTCGGAGTTAGATTCATTCGATTCTGAAGATATAGACTTGGATGAAGATAATAATGCTGAGGATGATGGTACAAATGATGAATGTCAATCAGATGATGAATCTAACTGTGAATTATGTTCCCAAGCAAAGGCTAAAAGAAATAATTCTAATGTTGACCAAACAGAATATGCATCAAATGGGTCAGCATCATCAACCTCCACTAAAGCATCAAAATTAAACACCAGAGAGATTACCAAAGTAAATACTAAATCATTTGGTATGAAAAATGTGCGAAGTAATCAAGTGCAATCTTATATACGTGATTCTACCAATAATGTCAATTTGTATCCGGTTAAACATTGGATGGTCATTAATAAAACTGTATTCGTACGGTGGACAAATGGACTATACTATTTAGGTGTCATTGAAAAAATAGAAGATGACAGAGGATTATGTTTAATTCGATATGAAGATGATTCGCGATATTGGACCCATTTTAAAGATATTCATACCCAATTATCAGCCAATACGATTCTCTCTGATTCAGATATAATCTGCAGTGAGTGTCGTGACGGTTCCTCTAAGTCACCCAATGAGATAGTCATTTGTGATGTGTGCAATCAAGGTTATCATCAACTATGCCATAAACCTCAAATACCTGATTCCGTATTAGAACCTGATGCTCCATGGACATGTCGAACCTGCTTATATGCCCTTGGAGCTCGAGAAGGGGGAGCAGAAAGGGATACTGCAGTTGGTGAAGCCATGAAATTAACAAAGACTGTTTTTCATTATGATTTGTCATCATTAACTTGGAATGATGCACATCAATCAAATAGAGAAAACATTTATTGTTATTGTGGTGGTCCTGGAAGGTATCATTCACGAATGCTTCAATGCCATAAATGTCTCCAATGGTTCCATGAAGCCTGTATTCAAGTAATCGACTCACCTTTTCTATATGGAGATCATTTTTATCAATTCACTTGTGGTGTTTGCAATAAAGGAGAAGAAATCGTTGAAAGACTTTCCATGCGTTGGAGTGATCTTGTTGCCATTGTGTTAAATAATCTAACTCTTAGGCATCGTAAACGATTTTTTGATCTTTCCTCTGAAATTGTTCCCTTCGTCATTCAGAATAACTCAAAATTTAAAACCAAAGGATATAACCTGGTAAAAATGAGTGAAGATGATCTGTCTCAAAAGATTCTCTCCGTTTTGATTAAGTACAAGAAAAAATTTATTTGTGATCGTGATCGAGAGAAATTGACTCATTGGGCATTACGAGCTCCTTGGCCGTTTCCTAAACCATTATTCTTTGCTCCTAAATCATATTGGTCAAATTGTGATAAACTGAAAAATCAGACCAACAACAACAATCACCCACAGTCAATCAGTAACTCTGCTCGATCAAGGTCTCCCCCAGCGTTTCCTCTAATTTATGGAGCTTGTCGGAAAGGTGCCGCCATTTATCCTAAGCCAGCAAGTATGAGACATCTAGTGAGACATAAAGAGAGGAAAAGATCTCGTCGAAAATCTCAGGAGAAAAGAAAATCAAAATGTTTACCCGGCACTAGTAATAGTAGTAATGATTCAAATGATAAAATATCTTCACATAATTTTAGCATTGATTCTACAAAGGAGATTATTGGATCGTCCTCGTCAAGTCTACCAGATAAAGAGATAAATGTTGACAGTGATAAAAATAAAGAGCATTTAAGGACAAAAATCAAAATAACGACTAATCACCATCGACGGATAAAAATACCACGCTCTGAGTTAAGAGGTCATTTATCATCTGATGTCGATTTTATGAATGACGGTTCATCTCACCAAAATGTTGATACTGATAATGATGGAGATGATGGCAATCGTGACACTGGAACTGATGATGCTTGCCTAGAGGAAGTAATACCATTGCCTGAAAACTTTGAGGGACAAAATAATCCTTTTTTTGATATCAGTGAACAAAGTGAATCATCCACCTCTTCAACATCTATTGTTAACTCAGCTGATAAAAGAGCTGTCAGCCATTCATCATCATCTCGAATTTCAAATAACAATGAAACATGCAATTTTAATAATCAACATGAAAGTGGATATCAAATCATTAGAAGTGGTACTTGCTCTAAATTAACCTTAAAACGAATTACGGGAAATGCACTGGATAAAGAATCTCCAAATAAACAATTAGCAAAATCACCTGAAACTGAAACTCCTGTTCGTGTGGACACAGCAAACGAGTCAAGTCCTAGAAAGTGTATCATAAAAGCTCAAAGGCTAACAGCTGATGGAAAATTAGAGTATTTACTCGAATGGGAATGATAAAATTCCCAGAATTGAAACTAAACTGGAAATCAAATACGAAATAACTTCATGGGAAAAACAATGAACTAATAATACGACTATCATCATATCAACAGCCAAAGACTCTTCACTGTTAGTCTTACTAGAAGGCATCTTTATGTCTTCTTGAAAGATCTTGACAAATGATTTTAATTTAATTTAAATTCAATAATCTCTTTATTTCTCTTTGTTGAGCTTCATCTTTGCTCTTTAACTTTATTTCTTACTGTACCTAACTGTTCGAAGCTGAATATGAATATGGCTCGTAGAGCTCACAATGGACCTTATTCTTACTTGAATGGACTTTCCTCATCTTTCTCTTCTGTTGATACCAACTCAACCTGTCAAAGTGATTTTGATCGAGAATCAAATGAATATAATGACCAGCAATATGGAGATGTATCAAATTGCGAAACGATAAAAAATTATAATTTGTCCAAATTTCATACACAATTTATATTAAGATAGCATGTCTTATTCAGTTCCAATTAAATTATAACCAAACAAAACTTATTTCTCAAATCTATGACTACCCAATGAAATCATTGTATGCATATATTGATTAAATAAATAAATGTTTCAACTAAATGATCGTCTCAATTTTACTATTAACATTACTTTTTGGACGACTTCATTATAAGTCACAAGACTGCTTGCATTGATAAATTATGATCTTAAATCAATACTAACATAGTTAACGGGCAAAACTTGATCTAACTCTATTTTGTAAAACCCTAATCGTTATGTTTCAGATACTTAAACATAAGCAGTTTTAAATTTTTCCGATTATGCATAATCATTGAAATCTTTTGAAGCTTGATTCAAACTAAACAAATGCTACAGTCATTTTACTTGGGGCGATGTTTTAGTACCAATGCATTTTGTTTATCAGACATTTATTTTGCATTTTCAATCTGGGATGATTAAAATGAATGGATTAAGTTAAGCTGTTCTACTTTTCTGGCCATTTTTTAAATCTCGTATCTCCAATTGATCCAAGTCGATCCAAGTTTCAACTTTGAATGCAATTTCATCGTAATTTTTTAATACTCAGCCTTTGCAATTCCTCCAAGTCTCAACTTGAAAGTCAAATTTTATGTATTCTTCTTTCACTGCAAATAAAACAAAATTTGATATTAAAGCGGTTTTTCATTCCAAGTGAAATGACTTTGTTTAACCCGTCAGAATCTTGACAATCAGTTTTTTTCATTCAACAGGCAAATTAGCATCATTTAAAACCCGTTTCATATTTGACAATTTTTTCGCCTGATACTGTAAAATGAAGATAGTAATGATGAATAGTCTCATATTGTTTAGAAAGTGAACTTTTAATGAGATTCAATAGTTATTAAGTTAAATTTTAATGGTAATAATGATGAGTTAGCTTGTTTTCAGGTAAACTACAAATGAAGCTTAAATTGCAAGTAAATGTCTTTATAGTTGAATGAATTTTTATGCAAGATTATTGGAGCAAAGAGGGAAAATGAAGAGAAAGCTGATTATCATAGACAACCGGTAAAGACAGAAGATGATGAAGTTTAAGATGAAGATAAAGATGAAGATTGAAATTGGGAAAGAAAAGAGAGAGAGAAAACAAAGTCATTATCTGATTGAAAAGAAAGTGAAAAAGACAGTATACAGATGATGGTGAAAATTAAGCAATGAAATCGTCACTGAATTAAGACTGATTGGGAATAAAGAGTTTACTTTAACAAGATTAACGGTAGAGTAAGTTTACAAAAAAAATGTTTACCCGAAGTCAAATACATTTGAGGCTTTTCACTGTATTCAAGGTAAATAAGATGAAGATGAAAATTGTCAATATGATAAAGGTGTGTTTATATTAATAATATTGATGGTTATTGTTAATAAAGCATGAAAGTGACATTGATTTCAAACCTAACCTTTTTTAGCCTTACTTTATGTTCACTTTCTGTTGCTGTTTAAAAATTGCTAAATTTTCTTCACGATCATCGTTTTCATTTGGATCAAGTCTTGCCATTTGAAAAATAATTTGTGTTGATTATGTGGCAGAAATATGTTAACAGGCTCAATTTAAATAAAGTTGAACGATGATGAATTACAAATAACCTCAAGCTGAAGTAATTTTAACGATAATGAATTTATAAGGCAAATTAATTGAATAAAAATTGTAAAATTGTTAAACATCAAGTTTCATTGGTTGTTGTTCGAGGATAAGGTGTGTGGAATAAGACTTTCAATAAAACAAGACTTTTCTTTTCAGTTCTCTTTCTTCTTCTTCTTTCTCTGGTTTAGTTATTTTTCTGTCGGGGTCATTTTTTTAAATTAAATCTAATTGTTGAACTTGTTGCAGCAGCTAATTTAATCGTGGACATGGCAACTATGTATGTTAAAGATGATGCAGGTATGTTGTCAAATCAAATCTAAATTTATCAATGATAATTTTTTGAATGGTAGATTCATTTATTTGTTGATTCCTTTTTCATTCATGTGTGTATTGGAGAGTATGTATGGTTACTGTGCCAAGTGTTACTCTTTCTTCTCGTTAAATGCACGTTTTTGCAACGAGATTGAAATAAATTGAGTTTTAATTTATTGGTTTGTATTTTTGTCCAATTATTTGTCTATTATTCTTTTGTTTAGAACACAAGCAAGATGTTTTATCTGTAACTCAGCTGAGTATGGTTTATTTGTTGGCACGTTATTTTTCATTTCAAAATCCATTTATTTACCAAACCACATTTTCTTTTGTCTCATTTCAGGCAGCACTTTCATTGCAGCATCTCAGAGACCAGATGGATCATGGAGGAAACCAAGAAGAGTTAAGGAAGGATTTGTTCCTCAAGAAGAAGTACCTCTCTATGAATCCAAAGGCAAGAAATATGCTAAAGAGCGTGAAACTACTCTTCCTCCTGGTTTAGATCAAGAAGTATGGGAAGAAATGAAAGCCCAACAAGCCCGTAAAAAGAACCAAGATGTTGTAAAACCAAGTAATCCGGGTAAAGCTAGTAACAACGTTAACAGTAATAAAGGATCTAATGTTAAGAATAAGGATGCTGGTAGTAAAAACAATGGTAAACCAAAACAAGGTAAAAGTGGTAGCTCTACAACAACTGGAAAATCTAATAACCATGCGGTCGATCAAACAAATGAAACCTATGTATCTACGGCACTTACAGCACCTTTAATAATACCTAAGATTACTGGAGATGACAGCGAATGGGTAACAGTAACATCAAAGAAAAAGAAAAAAGCAAAGAGCAAAGAAGAAGCTGATAAATCTGGAGGAGCTGCTAGTGGTAAGGAATCGGCCAATGCCTCTGTTATTAAACTTAATAATTCAGTTAGAATAGTAGAAACAGAAAAAGGAATTAAGGTAACTAATGAAGCGGGTCAACCATTGACAACGGATCCAGCCAAAAAGCTGAGAAATCTGAAGAAAAAATTGAAAGACATAGAGAAACTCAAAACCATGGAGCCTAAAAAGTTGGAAAAGGAACAAAAAGAAAAGATCAAGACTGAAAATGAAGTTAAAGCAATGATTCATCAATTGGAAGTATCACTTCACTTATAAGACTGCATCTTGGAAAATTCAAATCTTGTTGATCAAAAGGTCTACTTTTTTCGCTGATAGCAAATAATGTAACCAATCAATTATCTAATAACACTAAAATTAATCTTTTTTAACAATATTAATGGAAATGTCCAATTAGCCGAGTTTGAATAAAAAAACAAAAATGATTATTTTATTTGCTCTTTTCTGACTGATTTATTAAACAAAAACAAGACAGAACTCAAGTGGCACATATAAATAGCGTGATAATATTAGCGTTGATTCTAATAATTAATCCATTAATGTTTTACCTTACCTTGATTTTTTCAACTTTTTCTAACCTCCATTTACAACAATCAACATCTAGTAATTATTGCTGATGAGTTGATTTCATTAGAAAGTGAGGGAGGTAAAAACATGGTTATTTAAACTATTTTAGATACATTTCAAGTCATTAAATCGAAATCTGTTTTTTGGGTTTTAAAGTTGATGTATTAACTCAAGGTTAAAAATCTCATCACTTTCTATTGATCTCAGGTCTTACCTTTGGTGGGCTGTTGATAAACATAATGATGATTTTTATGATGATAATAGCAATAAACAATAAAGAATAGTAACAGTTTTAATGAAGATATAATAGTTGAACGGATGATAAACTTCAAGCTGGTAACATCAAAGAGTAAGGTGACATGTAAAAGTGTGAGTTTTAGCTTCTAAGTTGGAAGTTCTAACTTGCTTACAAGTTTTTTTTATATATCTAAATATCCCGCCCAATTAATGTTTTTGTTGATTGTTGATGAATTAACTTTGTTGGTATACACATTTGGTAGGTTGATTAGGGTTCGTTTGATTATGTCAATATACCAAAATTGAGTGTGAACAGTGAAGGCAGATTGATCATTGATGCGTTCACCGTTAAGGGTTAAATACCTGAAATCATTTGAATTTTCTTTTATTTGTCATCTTTACTTTGAAGGTACAACCAGAATAAGAGAATCAACAATTGTGATCAACAATTGTTTGGAATTGTTTACAAATTTAGTTAATAATAGAGTGGTCAGACTGATTATCTGCTATTTGTTTTACTGTAGTTAAAATGTTACCGTGTTTAACGTTCATCTTAATTGGACTTTCATGTGGTGTTAATGGTGGATATCTTCGGCGTCGTGATCACCATTTGGATACCCTATTACCAAGATCAAGTGGACCTTTGGATGAAAACTGTGGTTGTGACGAGGATGGCAATCAACGTCATCAACATCGGCATCTTCATGAAAAATTGCTCTCACTCAATTCATCACCCAAAGTATTACTGCCAAGGAGTCAAAGTTTGAATGTAAAACCCAATGAACCTCTCAACAATGGTAATTTTGTATTTCCTTTGAGACCTGAAAGTGTTTCTTTGCGCGAATCAGTTTTAACCACGTCCGAAGCTCGACCATCGAGAGAGTTTAACTTTCCAAATGTCAGCCCAAGACAGGCAAAAGTTAATGAATATTTTTACAAAAGTGACCCAGGCCATGAATTAATGTCTCCATACACTTTGAAAGGTAAAGATGGAAGATTATACTCAAATTATCGACCTGATAGCCAAGTTCCTGATGAACATTTACCTACTGCAGCTGCCGGTGTTGTACCTCAATATATGCCCACACCAGAAGCCAATCATCAATCACCAATGAACCGACGAGTCGCTCGATCTTTGATGCCCTCTGAGATGTTCATGGGTCCACCACCTCCATCTAACCCTCAAGCTCGACCAGAAATGGAACTACCAGTCAAACGAAATGACGCAAGTGAATTAATGTATCCAAGTGATTTTGGTTTTGCTTCAGCCTCATTTCCTCGACCAAACTCTCCTGCCTCTGGAGTGCCACCTCCACCCATGTGGAACTCATTTTCCCAAATGTCTTTACCCCAATGGTCATCATCAAATCTTTCACCCGTCCCAGTTAGATTACAAGGTTTATCAGCCAATGGTCTTTCAAGTAATCCTCTTCTTTCTGGTGCATCGCCAGTTGCTTCTCCTGGTAGTGTCTCCGCTCAATCAAACCCAAATGTTTCACCTAATTCTGGTAATTCTGGTGTTGCTTTACCCGGTCAACATCCCCAGATGAACATGCACAATTGGTACAATTTTCTTAATCAACCCTTCTATGGTCCTCCCATGATGAATCCTTTCCAAACTATGGGTGCGAACCCGATGGACCCTTCACAGCCAGCAGGCTCACCAGCCAAATCAACAAACGGTTCGTCAACCGAGAAAGAAAAAAACTCTACAACTGAAGAAAGCAGTTCATCTAATGATGAAAGTGCCAAGCCCAATAACCGTCGACAACGATTACTCAACCAGTTAAACAATTTAAGTCGAGTTCCGCTTGAAAATTTGAGAAACTTTTTCCAACGTGTAACATCAACAACTTCAACCACAGAATCTCCGAAAGACAATGAATCGTAAGATTAGATGATTCAACTTTACAATTAATTTTACCTCATTATTTCAATGAGCATTACATTTACAAATTACCAAAAAACAAAAGCAAAGCAAAACAAATCAATGACTAGATTCTTCTTAATATAGAACCACCAAAGATGCATGATTTATACGTAATATGTTGATCATATTAATTGCCTTCATTGTTCCTCACACATACATCCAAGTATGTACAAATGTACATTGAATATATGTGTTTACATTAATCAATTCATCTGTTCTCTGTGCCATTTAGCTGAATTATCGACATCCTCATGTGATACAATTCAGCATTTGTTTTGCTTTTCTTATTTTCAGTTAGCTAATTTTCTTAATTTTATTGTGATTGTTTACCCGTCCATAAGCATCTTGTTTTGTTCATCCTCTAATTGCTCATTTAATATTTTCAAATCACTTCTATTAACAATTAATTGCGGCTTCTTACTGTGTAAACATTTAATCTTGCTTAACCCCTTAATTGTGCTTGTCCTTAGTCTTTAATTTGTTCTTATTTTAATGTTTTCACCAATTTTCACAATTTTCATCATCCTTCAATCATCACCTAATCATCACATCATGCTTCCTGTTATTTCATTTGACTGTTTCAATCTTCACTTAAAACAATTAATTTTATTTGCGTTATTTACATTATTATGCCTTTTCTACTAACATAACCTTTCATCTTGATTTAATTTTTATTTTACCATTATAGCTTAATTACTAGTTAACTATTGTAAACGAGTACTTGTATCAATAAGTATAATTAACTGTGTGACTGGAAGAGTATTGTATGTCTTTTTGAGAAATCAAATTTATCAATAAAATAAAGATTATCAAAAACTGTTGAAGCTTGGAGTTTCACTTTCATTCAGACTTATTTCAACTACTGGCCATGTCTAGTCGATCAATAATGATTTGTGAATAGTTGTCTGTTAATGATGATTAACTTTAACGTCTAGTGAATGTACAATGAATAAATGGCTATAAGATGGTTAAAAAAAGACCCGAATCAACTAAATTGAACTTTGATTGAATAACTAACATTAAAATGTATTGCGGTTAAATGAAGGAGCATTTAAATTGAACATTCAAAAAAAAGATTGATGCAAAGTAAGTGATATTATCTTATATTATCAGTTGATGAATGTGAATTGGATTCACAATTGGTTAATTAAGCATTACTTTCTCAAATAGATGGTGATGATGAGAAAGTAAAACAAAATTAACGGTTAACGTTGATTGTGTATTTACAGGGTTCACAACTTATACAGTATATTAGGTGGTATAAGTTGAATAAAAAACGGTGAAACTTTTTTTTATAATTTCGCTCTCAATGTTAATCAAGAGAAATGAAGACAATTAAGTTTCTCAAAATAATTCAGCAAACCTGTTGGTGTTTTTCATTCATTATAGCCTTTCACTTGTTTACTTGATTATCTTTTGCTTGATTAAACTAATTTTGAATGATTATGATTGCGACAGGTATATGCATGTTGATGAGCTTGAATGGAATTGGAACGAAAGGCGGTAAATGATAAAACATGATATTAAAACAAAATAATCATTAATCTTTAATTTTAATGTGCATTCAATTGCAGTTGTGTCTCATGAGATGCGAGAATCGTCATCATCATCATTATCATCAGCTTCATTGTCATCTTGGTCGTCTGAGTCTTGGTCAGGGAAGAGTACATTTGAAATAATAGGCTGTACACAGGTAGGCTTTGTTTTCATGTAATATCGATGGTCAAGAGATCGTGTTCTATCAGCACCCATGGAGAAAGAGTGAATTTTCACAAATCGATCTAAACTACAAGAGACCACTTTTCCGAGATTGGCTTCTATTGGTACATATTTTATATCTTTTATTGCACCTCCGCCAAAACTTTTAAATACACCTAAATGTCTACAGGTATGAGAGTTGAACCGTAAATCGACTGCCATCATTCGACCCATTGTGGTACCTAGAATTAACTTTTGTGTAGGGGAACATTTAACGGCTGGAGTTGGTGTTGCACATATCTTGGTGAACGATGGAGGATTAGAATCATTGTTGAAGATTTGATCTTTGAAATTTAATTGCCAGATAGATTTTCGACTTGAAACTTTAAGATCATAGATACGAACAACAGGATCAGTGCGAGAGCAAGTTGCAATCATTGATGGCGAAGTGATCAAAGTTGATGAGTTGATTGATGACTGTTTACCAGAAAATGGGCCAATCCAGTCTAAATCAGAGGTCCAAACTTTATGCTTTATACCAAGCCAATCACGATTTTGTGATTTAGCGGTAAAAATACACTGTTTAGTGTTTAAATCAAAAACTCGCATATCAAAATTTTTACCACCAATAGCAACTCGATCATCTTGAACTTTAAAACAAGTCAAACAGACATTTGATGGCTGCCAGTTAGGTGAAAATATTGTAGTGATAGTAGAGGCTGAACCTTGAATAAGAAGACATATTGTATGGTTACAAATAGTTTTAAGAATTATTAGTCAAAATGGCAAAATGATAATACACTCACTGTCTTTCTCCTTATTTTCTTTAGATTTTGAATGCGACTTTTTAATCTTTTTGGATGCCCTTGGACCACATGCATCACCATCATCACTATGATCGGCTTCTTTTAGATCTGCACCGATTCCTAATACTTTACATGCTTTTGCACTACTCCGACTCGATATAGCAATCAAATCTGTTTCGATGTTTTGTATATTAACCGTCCCATTATCATAACAAGAAATTATTTTATTGCCATTGAGTGGTAAGGAACCAACTAGATTTCCTTCAACTGGATTCGCAATCGTAGCAAACATTTGATTATAAGAATTGTAAAGATATATATGATTTGGTCGACTTGCTATGAGATAAATAAAATTAGACTCTTCGTAGGGTACATCTTCGAAATCATCAGAGTAGTTGTGTCCAATACTATCATCAATTTCATCTGCTTCATCTGATAAATTATGAAAATAATCCGGTACAGCTAAAGGTGTGATAGAAAGAACTGATTTATCTGGTGAAGGTTCACCAATGAATTCTCGATTCAAGGTTAACAATGTCTTTTTATCCTTGGTTTGTTTCTCTTTAGCATGTAGATCTAATCGTTTGATGAATCCAAGTTCATCTCCAACCAAAACTGCACTTAGTAAGTTTGTCATTTTACGGCAATTCTAAAAAATAGGAATGAAAAACTTGAAAGGGTAAAATAACCAAGTACCATAAGAAAAACGTGCTGAGTTGCAAAAAAGTAAACAAATGGCTATGATTGAAAAAACAAACCTTTTTAAATGATAAAATCGGACCACTAGTGTCTAACAAAAAATAATTAACCTTAAGAGAACACGGAACTTTAATTTAATGAATTTTCTCCAAATAAAGTAACTCAACGTTGAATCAATTTGCACACAACAATTCAAAAAATTTAAATTTTACATCCATGGAACTACGAAGCATTCAATGCTTAGCATTGCCTCATTGCTTGGTTACTAAGGGACTTTATAGAAATTGCAATAGTTCTTTTGAGTCAAGAATCTCGGCGCTTTTGCTGAAACATATTTTAAATCTAATTGCTAATGATAAAAAATTGATTTTAATCAAATAATTTAAAAAACATATAAAAGAGCAGGTTAATTTAATCGATACAATAAGACATGAAAAAGAGCCTTAGAGCAAGACTCATCGAAATAAATCACTTCAGATGGAGTATCTTGAAAAATTAACTTTATTGAGAGTTCAAGAAGACATTCGATTAGTTTATAAGGCCAGTCGAAAAATATTTTTATGGATCTCACAGATCGAATTCACCAGAGGCAATTTTCTTCCGTACTTGGTATCTTTTACATAAATCCAATGGAGTTTGCTTCTCCTGAAATAGTAAAAAAACGAAATTAAAATTTAAATCCTGTGATCCAATATTTAACAAAAAAGATTAATTACTTTGTTCAAAATTTCAAGATCTCCGCCAGATTCAATGAGTGCTTTGCATTCGGCCAATCGTTCCTCCTCGCAAGCACAGTGCAAAGGGGTATTCCCGAAGTTATCTTGAATATTGACTTGAATGTGAGGAGATGATAATAGTAAATTAACAATTTTAGTGTTTCCTTTGGATGCAGCTCGATGTAAAGGAGTTGATCCGTATTTGTCTTGGGGATTGACATCAGCCTTGCTGTTCAAAAGTAATTCACAAATTTCAAAATGAGATTTAGATGCAGCATAATGCAAGACAGTTTGTCCATTAATGTTTGGTCGGTTTATGTCGGCACCAGATCCAATGAGTTCCTTAACAATTTCAATATTACCCGCTGAGCAAGCAATCATTAACGGTGTCCAACCTAACTTTTATAGTGACATTATAATATTAAAAAAATGAATATTTTTGTTGAGATAATGAAACTTATACCAGTTTTAAACAGGGCCCAGCTCAAAATAAACAAGAACTTAAAATGATAAGAGTATTAAAGTATTGAAAAACAATAAGTCGTATTATCAAAATATAAAACCCCTCAAACAAAAGCTTTCCTATAAAAAGTGGTATAAATTAAAAAACTCAATCTTAATTCCTTTTTCTGATAACTTACCTCATCAGTTGCATCCAATTCAGTTTTAGGATCTTTGAGAATTTCTTTCACTTTGGTTAAATCGCCTTCAGAGGCAGCAACATGTAAAAGCGTTCTATCTTCTGAAGACTATGAGAGTCGAAGATAAAGGAACAAGAAAATACAATAATTAAGTTTATTAAAGAGTTGAAAATTTTATTGTGCTTCAGTCATTAAACGAAGATAGTATCGAAGCAACAAATTGACAATAAAGTATACTCACCATAGTTATTATGAGATGTCGTTCACAGTTTTCAGATTTATTCAATTTTTAAATTTATTTCAAACCGATAATTTCAAGTACTGTATTTGAAGTCATTAGAATCAAAGAACAGAGAAAGCAAAACAGATCGCGAAAAGCAATGAGCAAAAAGAGAAACATAAACTTCAATGCGTTCTAGAGATGGGCGATTAGCGATTATTCAGGTAATCGATTACAATCGATGCTCAATCAAACTAGAAAAATATTGAATTTTAAAGCATTCACTGAATGTATATTCCTTCTGATCACCACAAAAAAACACAATGAATGACTTCGACAAAGTCAACAAAAATGCATCACACCAGGTCCACAATCCATCCAATGCTCGATTCAGCCAAACTTAATATTCTGCATATTTATCGAGTTTGTTTATTTTCCCAGTCTGCTCATATTTCATTCAGTATCATACTGATTATTTTTCTAGGTTTGTTTTTGTTAGTTATCTTTTCCTAATGATTTGTTCTCAGATTATTTGTTCATTAGAGTTTTGGTTTCAGTAGTTTATTTGCCTTTTAAACATGAAAACTTGCCAAAGAGCTGAGTTCGCCGTCCTGCCAAACGATGTTACTCATTCAATTTTATGCCGATAAACAAAAAAAACACTGGTAATGATTTTTATGGGAGAAAAGATTGTTCAAATAATAGTAGCACAACACAAAATAAATAAAAAATAAATGAAAAACAATTTATAATTAATTAAAAAATGCTAAAAAATTAACCATTCTTGAACTTTGTTCAAATAACAACAGATGGCATTATCTGGTTGCAAACTGCAACTTGCATTTTTTTCTGGATGTGTGGATTTAAATTTCAATTTCATCAACTCGATTATCCAGGATTCAGAATTTTGATCATCTGGGTTAAATTAATAACCAAATCAACATATTAAGTGCAAGAAAATGGCACAATTCAGTCTCTGACATTTCTGTGATTTAATAATCTTTTTTCCTATTTAACCTGCAATCTTTTTCTTTCAACCTTTTTATCTCTTGTGTTTTTTGTAATGAGCTGTGCCTGTGAAATCCTTAGAATCATGTTGCTGCTTTTAATAATCAAATTGACACTATTAAAGTCCAGCTACGCTTTATATGAAGATCAAATTCACAAGTGGGATTGGAGACAGCAGTTCATTGGAATCGATGTAGACAGCTGTATGAGATCTAACAGTGAAACTAAAGATCTCATTTTCTGCACCACCGGTGAAACAAATGTTATCTCAGCTATCAATAGAAAAGGAGAAATAGCTTGGAGAAATATTCAAGAGGAACAAGGTCGACTAATTGGCTCCTCTTTGCATAAAACTGATGGTTTAATTACAGTTAGTCTATATAAAACGAAAAACGGGAGTAAAATTTTCATACGAAAATGGTCACAAGATGACTATGGTTTTTTAATCGCAGAAAATAGTCATTTCCTCCAAGGTAGCCAAAATTGTTTGGTGTCCATTGATGCATCTAAAAGTTTGGTCAATGTATTATGTGGTGAATCGGGTAGTCAACTTAAAAAATTCCAGTTCTTAGTGAATAAAGATCAGCCAAATGCTAAACCAGAGGAACAAGAATGGACAAATCTTGATGGAAGTCCAACAGATGTAAACCTTGAAAATGATTGTATATTTGTTGGAGTAGACAATCTTGTTTGCTTAACATCATTTTCTCTACACTATATCGCGCTGAGAGACTCGAGATGGTCCAATCAACCACTTCCAGAAGCCTTACCGGGCGATAAACGGTATGTTCTTGAAAGAATATTGAATCAAAATGGTGCTGATGTTGGTTACTTTGGCTTGAAAATTGTTCGAAACACGAAGGAGACTGAAAGATTTTACCTCTACAAAGTAGCTTCTGATGAAGATAAATCAGGTGGACTACAATGGCTAACAACATTCCCTAAAATTCAAAAGGTCTCAATTTTGACCAGCGCCAACGAGCCATCCCATCCTCAATTCTATGGTGTTAGTTCAACTAAAACTGGTATTGAAATTTCAAAATTTGGACTTGATTGGAAAGTAGAGAAATCTGTTTCGACAAATTTCGATTGTAAATCTCATGCAAACAGCTTGCATCGATTTTCAATTGTTCAATTTGGATCCGAGATTGAATTTATTGTGACATTCGATGACCAGCGGCTTGCTTCCTTTGATTCTAAAGGAAATATGAAATGGTCTCGCGAGGAAGGTCTTTCGTCTATTATATGGTCGCAATTCGTATCTTTACCCTATTTTTCAGCATCATCAGCTAAACATGATTTTCGATCACCAAATGATTTTCTATCCTTGTCTTCATTCAAGAATCGTATTTACTCACAATTTGTTTCCATCCAAGAGTATATCATATCATTATATGAATCATTTTTAACCTCTGAAAAGAAAACATTAGAAGCTGTTGACGAAGAATCAAGGGAAAAATCATTAGTCTCTGATGTTTTTGGTTTCCACAAATTACTTTTCATCGTCACCAAACGAGGTAAACTATTTGTTTTGGACAATGTTCGAAACGGAAAAATCATATGGACCCATTTTGATGCTAAATTGAAAGATGACATAATTGAAGAACAAAAAAGAATTGATTCCATCGAGATGGAACGTGGTAGAAAATGTGATAAAATTCCCGTAATCTCTGTATACCTGCAACGTCACAATCTTTTCACTCCAAAAGTGACCATAGTTTCACCGAAAGGCTACTTAATCTCATATAACCCATTAGAAGGCCGAGTAGAAGATAGTTTGGATTTGAACACTCGTATTAAATTGTCCATGTTGATGCATCATGCTGATGATCAAGGTATAAAAGGAATAATATTGATGAATGAAGCAGACAAAGTTACATTTTATCCAGAATCAACTAGAGAAACGTTTTTATCTCATAAAAATAATTACTACATGCTGGTCTCCAAGCAAACTAGTGAACAAATTTCAGGCTATTCATTGAGACATCTGCAACCAACTTCTCCAGGCTCTTCACATGAGGATATTGCTCAGCGAGTGTGGAGTTTAAGTTTACCCACCTTAATAGGATCATGTCTTCAAGTTGGCTGGAAAGAAGTTGATGAACACGTTCATAGTCAAGGTAAAGTGTTAGCTGATCGAGCTGTGCTTTACAAATATCTCAATCCCAATCTAGTGGCTCTTATCAACCGAGGTGAAGAATCAACTGATGAAGAATCTGGTAAAATTAATGTGGTCCAATTTTATCTACTCGATGCCATTACTGGTTCCATTTACTATTCCGTTGTGCATCGACGAGCTTCTGATCCTGTACATTTAGTTCATTCTGAAAACTTTATCATTTACTCTTTCTACAATGAGAAACAAAGAAGAATTGAGATAAGCTCATTGGAATTATTTGAAGGTAAAGAGATGCCTCCTCCACCGCCAGTTCGAACACCACCTAAGATAGTGGAACACTTGTCATTTATTTTCCCTACCGGTATCAGAGCAATGAGAGAAACACAAACAATTCGTGGAATTACTAATAAACATATTCTCATTGCACTTACTTCAGGAGGTATTCTTTCTCTACCCAAAATTTTCTTTGACCCACGACGAGCTTCATTTGCCACCTCAAAGTACGCTTCTTCAGCAGCAGCCATGGAGGAAGGTGGTGTCTATCTTCCGCCTTACATACCAGAATTACCTATTCCATCAGAGGGAATTATTAACTACAATCAATCGGTGGCTGATGTCAACCATATTTATGTCGGTGTTTCCTCACTCGAGTCAACTTGCCTTTTATTTATCACTGGTTTGGACATATATTATACTCGAGTTACTCCATCAAAAACATTCGACATACTTAAAGATGATTTTGATCATCTTTTAATAATAATTGTTCTCGCAGCTCTTTTGTTATTCTCTATAGCAACAAAATACCTGGCATCAAGAAAAACGCTCAATGCTGCCTGGAAATAGTGAAGTTGACTAGTATAACTTTCAAAATTTTCACCATTTAATTACAAAATATTGAAAAAACAACATAAATTAAAATATTCTGAATAGTCTTGAAAATTTGCCTGAAAACCAAATTGTAATAACTTAATTTAAACACTCGAACATCATTTGAACTATCCGAGTAAGACTGAAAATTTTTCAATAAACACGAAAGTGATTTTTTCATATAATCTCTGAACCAAAATTCATATAAATTTACAATCTTAAACCTTTTCTTCAAGTTTTTTAAACTGATTAAAATAGAAAAAATCAAACTAAAATTTATAATCTGGGTTAACGAACACTTGCATTACTAGTTAAACCATTTTCAGATTAGTAATGAATAGGCGGATTAAAATAGTCAAGTTAACCATCAGATGCCACATTGTTTTAAACTTTTGCTCGCGGCCTTTCAGTGAACATAAGCCGTTTAGGTCAACCACAATCTGTATAAAAGTCCAAGATTTTCGCGTTTTGTTATCATATGTATCTGTATTATTCATCAGTAAACTTCATTCGTGCCAGTTCAACCTTCTGGTAAGTTGTTCTTGTTTGATTGTTATGATTGATCTATTAACAATTTCTCTATTCTTTCACAGATCCTCAGTTCTTCATTTAAACAATCCAGTGAAATCATCTACCAGTGCAATACACAATGGAACAGTGCTTGACCATCACTTTGCTAGTTCATCCTCACACAGGACAAATAATCGCCGTAAACCAAGCTGTGCTTCCATATCCGGCACCATACGTGCCTTATGTACCATACGTTCAATACATACCCTACTACCGTGTTATGGGCGAAATTCCACACGAAGAATCAACAGAGGAAGAAGAAGAAGAAGAAGATGATAGTGACGATGAAGAAGATGAGGAAGAGATCGACTCCGAGCCAGAAGAACAATTCGAGTCAACTGTTGACTCAGTATATTCAACGTATAACTCAGAAGTATTTTCTGAATATTCATCTGTCGAAGAGTTATCTTCGCTTGAAGGTTCATTTGTAAGCTCTTATGAGAGCTCTTATTCGAGCTTTGAAAGCTCTTCCGAAGTTTCGTTTGATGGAACAGATAGTTCTTACGATGCCAGCGATGAAGCCGAAAATGAAGACTCTGATGAAGAAACTGAAGACGACGACGAGGAAGATGACGATGAAGACGATGAATACGACAATTATAGAGAACCAATCATGTATATAATATGTAAGAGATGTGGTGGATGCCGCAGCTTCTATTGAAAGTTCAACTCAAAAGGCCAAAAAAAGAAAAAACCCGTGTGATTAGAGTAACAAAGATGAAAATATATATTGCAAAAAGCCAAATACTCTGTAGATTTATATATACATAGCCTGACAATTTCTTGTATTTATTTTAAGCATTTGTAAACATTCAAAAATTTTTTTAGTCCTTAAATAAAGATAAATTCACAATAATACGTTTCTTAAATTTCATTTAAAAAATCTGTTTATTAAAGGTTGTGAACAAATTTCTTGTGGTAAGATTTAACAAAATCTTGAAAAGCATTTGGTTGAACTGGGTGATCAAAACAACTTAGTTTTTTTGAACCCCTTTTCAATCTAGATAAAATTAGCAATCATGTTCAACTTGTCGGGTAAGTCATACATTAAAATTCGCAGCTTCCTTAACTTAATCTTCTCTTTTCCTTATCCTTTAAATCAGTACTACCATATAGCATTGTTATAAAAAATGCATTACAAAAATAAATCACATCCTTTTTTTCATTCAAGTCAATGAAAAAGTTAGAAAGACTTTTTCGAGGGAAGGTTCTTGTAACTAGCACCTTCAGCTGGTTTGAAAACATAAAAATCTACTGAAATCCTAGATTTTGTCATCATGTTATTGATTGTCGATTCAACCTTATTGGCACTAACTAGGGTTACGGTGCAACCACCAAAACCTCCACCAGTTATCCTTGACCCATAAACTCCCTCAGATTCAAGAGCAATTTCACAAAGCTCATCTATTTCAGGAACAGAAACTTTATAATCATCTCTTAAAGAGCAGTGACTCTGGGTCATTAAAGCTCCAAAGATAACGTAATCACTTTTTTTAAGAGCTTCTGAAGCACTCAAAGCTCTTTCAATCTCGGTTATTACATGCCTAGAATATTGATATTGTTCTAAGGGTAAAACTGTTTGACTCGTCTCTAATTCTTTCATTGAAACATCTCGTAAACTACTTTTACCCAACATCTGAGCTACTTGTTCACAATTTTTTCGTCTGGATGAATATTCACTTCCAGCTAGCTCGTGGCGAATATTTGAGTTGGCAACTAAAATGACTATATCATCTGAAACCAAAGGAACCAATTCAGTTGATAAAGACCGGCAGTCAATGAGTAAAGCGTGATCTTTTTTTCCCATAACAACCACGAATTGATCCATGATTCCACAAGGTACACCAGCAAAAGTATGTTCAGCATTCTGACAAAGCAAAGCTATTTCTTGTTTACTATAGCGAAATGGAATAGATAATATATTAGTACTTTCATAAAATGCAAAAATTCATAGCTACCTTATTCCAAGATCACTTCCACTCAGGCCTTGTAGGAAATTGAAGAAGGCAACTTCAAGAGCTGCTGAACTTGAAAGTCCGGCGCCAATAGGTATGGAACTCAAAATGAGAGCATCAAAAGGCTTTTTGATTCCTTTAAAAACAAATTAGACAGAAAATTGTAATGAGTGCAAAATGATTCCTCGTGAAAGATCTTACCTGGAAAAGTAGAGATAACTCCTTTGACGTAATTAGACCAAGACGGGGGTCCGATTGTCAAGCTGTCAAACTTTAATTCAACTCGTTTTGGACTTTCCAATTTGTTTGAAAGTGACTCAATCCGACATATTTGAAATGAGTTTGGAGCTCCAATGACAACAGTGTAAACTGGTATCGCCTGGTAAGAATTTTGGATAAAATGAAAACAAAGGAACATTTAGAGCATAAAGCAAAAATGCATATAAATACAGAACAATCAAAAAATTGTATCAAAAAGTCCATGAAAAATCGTTAACAAGTGATGACAAAATAAGAATAGGTTAGAAGATAGTACAAGTATTTTTCATTTTGGAAAAAGTTAAAAAATGAAAGAAATGTAAATAATGAAAGAAGTTGTGTAAAAACTAACCATAGGAAGAACAAGTCCATCATTGTAATCAACATGATCACCAATCAGATTAACTCGACCAGGAGAGAATCCAACAACCGTAGCTTCAGCCTGGAAAATTTTCTCAAACTCTTCAATACCCTGTTTAATCAAATCATCAAGCGAAGGAACAACCTGAGCACCTGCAATCTGAACCATGATGAACAATACTCAAGTCAAATATACAAATATATAATGAAAATATACCAACAGTCAAATTGTAGATTAAAAATTGATGAGAAACATTTGCAAAATAAAACAATCACAATTGAAAAACAGCGTAAAGAATGGCTAAAACCAGATCGGATACAAAACAAAGCTCGCTTCAAGATTTTGCTGTAACCATTGGATACATTACTATGGATACATCCATTCTTTTCATGTCTTTCAAATGAAACTCATCATGAAAAAATTGATATAATTCAACGATATTGCAACTTCAACTGAACAAGTCAAGTCAGCATAGATACTAAGAGCATATCTCATCTAAAGAATGAAAAAAGGTGTGAAAAAAAACACTTTTATAAACGATTGGGAACAGGATTTATCGGTTAAATTTTAATCAGAATCATGATGATTGACCTCATGTGAACCGACGATAGCTCAGTTGGTAGAGCGGAGGACTGTAGATGTTCAATAGTGATCCTTAGGTCGCTGGTTCGACTCCGGCTCGTCGGAAACTTTTTGATCAAATGAATCATTTTTTTATTAGCGGGTGTACAATAAATTTATTCAAATGCAATAAAAAAGCGCTGATCACGAGAAGCAAAGTTAAATAACAATGGTGATTTTGATAAAGAGATGAGAGATGATAGAAAGCGAAAGAGATTTATAGAGAAACGAAAGTGAGAGAGAGAGAGTTTTAGGGTGAAAATGAAATGATAGAATTTTTTTTACAGATTTTGTTTCACCATCTTCATCAACCTTATGATTTCTTTGCTTTCCTTTGCAGTTATTATAGAAATTTTTTTAACGTGCGAAAAAATGTATTCTTTACTCATTGACTTGTTTCCTTCGAATGTAGATTTTTTATCTTTCCAATAACTTCCATGTTTGCTGAGACAAAAAAAAGAATCGTTCGAAGGGGATCTTCACAACGTAAGATTCACATTGATGGCCTTTCCATCAAAAAGACAAAAAATGCATCAAATAAATGCTTAATAACATAAATATTAGAAACCTTGAACGTTCAGCAGAATATAATTTATACATTTATCGGGTTATAATTTTGTAAGTTGCTTTATAACTTTTCTTCACGACAGATAACCATAAGTCATCATTAGACCTTAATTTAATCATCTAAATCAGTTTACAACGTTCTTGCTTTTCCGATGGCCGATCCAGATTCTTTGTTCTCGGTATTGATTGTTCAGATCTTTGAATTACTCTGCCAAATTTCAATATTAAATTTGCTTTAATCTGCTCTTTTCCGGTCATTTCTTTCCGTGATAACACCTAAGCACTGTGCGATTGTTCTTGACTCTTCACGACCTTCAACCATACAGAGCTCACTTAAATAAGGTTCTAAACTTTGCAAAAGCCTGTAAAACAAGAAAAAAAACAAAGATATGTTAATTTTGAAATTATAGTGATCAAAATAAATCCTTACAATCTGAGTTTAGATGAAACTTGAGCCAGATTTCTAAGGATTAATGCTGCTGTTAAACGTATGCTCGTTGATATTGGAGTCAAAGGTGTGATTGGCGGAGGCTTGGGAACTTCCTATGATGGAGAAAAATAAAGGTTCAACATTTAGTGATGTGATTTAATTGCATTTATTATGATTAAAATTGTATTTAATGAATCACATACCACGTAATTAATGGCATGTCTTCGGATGGCTAATAGGGCAGCATTAGAAGCGTAACCTGGGTGAGCTGGTGGCACAACTGGCGATGGTACGTTAACTCCGGACTCTCGACGAATAGCTGATTGCTGCAGGGCAGCAGCATTGCAATGAAAATCCTATTAAATGAAATAGAAACGAGTTAAGTCGTTTATCCAAATGGATTAGGTGAATAGAAAGACTTACATTAATATGAGTTAGCAATGATAATTTAGGTCTAGAAGATAAACAGCCAGGTCCTCTTCCCTCAGGGCCTCCCCATTTACAAGTCATTTTTTCTGATGAATTTCCATAAATATTGACATGCTCTTTATGTACATGCCAATAAACTTGAGATGGACGACTGAAAACTCTGAAATAAAAAAATAAAAGCATGAGAAATTTAACAGGTTAAAATTGGAAATTTCCAACACTTACTTTTTACACTCGTGCCATTCACAGTAGAATTGTAAGTTTTTATGATTAACTGTGGTGGATTTAACTGTCGATTTAGATTTTAAAGTTGTTCGTTGGACAGTAACTGAAGCATTTGTGCTTGCAGTTCCATTGACAGCATTAGGTGGATTTGTATTTGTTTCTGAATCAGTCATGGCTAATGATGATTTATTTGAATTCAAAGATGTTGAAACTTCTTTTCCTTGTTGAGCATTGGAAGAAGGTATTACACTTGTTCCATTTGTTTTGATTTTATTTGCCTGCTTATCCACAAGTAGTTCAGTTTTGATTTCTGTTTTCACAGGTGTTATACTAAGGGAATTGATACTATTGTTACTCTTTACTTTTTTATTGGTTTGAGGTTTATCATCTTCTTCGCTAGATCTTTTTGAGACCACTTTGGTTGCACAATCAACTTGCTTAATGTCATTAATTACTGTAAAGTCATTAGATATTTTGGAAGTTGATTTACTAACTTGTATCAAATTTGAGGATACTTCTCCATTACTTAGCTCATTTTTCGAGATTGTAGTTGATTTAATTTCTATTGGATCGATTTGAATAGGTTTTCCACTCAAAGTATTCTGAGCTGCAACTGATTCAGTGGTGAAAGGAGTTAATTTATTTGAGCTTGGAACAGTAGAAACTGTTGTAGCACTGTTCACAATATCAGAGCTATTCATCAATGACTGTGTCGTTGGCGGTTGTTGAATAACATTAGTTTGTTGCACCGGTCGAGTTTGGTTTAGCTGTTGTACTGTAACAGATTTTTGGAGATTATTTGCGACAGCTTGTGAAGTGACTTGTCCTCCAGATTGCTGTTGTTGGACATTCGGCACATTTTTGATGGGTAAAGAAGATTTTGTAGTAGTCAATATGTACACCTTATTAGATTGTGAACCAGACATACTAGTGATGGGAGTTGATGTTTGAGAAGAAGTATTTAATATCGGTGGATTGAAGGGGCTATTTGATGAAGAGGTGGTTACTGATGTGATGGTAGTTACACATGAATTTGTTACATTAGATTGATTGATAGTTCCAGCCATAGTAGAGAAATCAGGAAGTTTTCCTTTATCTAAAAGAACATTAAGCAAAGGCGATGATTTTACTGTATTAGATCTATTGGAAGCAGCATTAGTAATTTGATTAGGTGATCCTGATGGGTTTTCACTCACAATACCACTACCAAGAACAGCTTTTAATAAAATATCGTTTGAGTTAGATGAAACAGTTGATGGATTTACAATTGGAGCGGTGGTAGTAACAGTGGATACTGTTGAGACCTGTGTGCTGGATGCAATGGTTTGTGATGAATTGGCTGTTAAAGGTGCTTTGGTGGAGTTTGTTAAGACGGTAGAGATCGCGTTACGAGGTGCTGAATCTTTTTGATTAGCTATTGCAACTGGAACTGAGGCAACCCCATTGACTGTTGTGTTAGTTGGTTGAACAGCTCTCTGTTGAGTTAGAAACCCAGGAGGTAGGATTAAACGAACAGGAGTTCCCCCTGCAACTCCTTGAGGCATTCCAACAAGTCCAGTTTGCTGTTGATTACCAACTATAGTCCTAACTAATAAAAATTGCTGAGGTTGATTAGGCTGAAGAGTTTGCCCAGGTTGTGTCGGAGTTGTGAATAACACAGACCCAGTCTGTAAAGCTTGACCAGTTGTTATGCATGTTGTTTGAGGCTGTAAAATATTCGCAGTTGATGTCTGAGTTAAGGGATTAGCCGTAACAAAAACTTGTTGAGTATTAGCTGATGCCCCACTTGACACTGCTGGGATTAAAGGTGGTGCTGTATTGGCGATAGCTGGTGTAATTGTGACGCTTGTGGATAAAGATGTTGTGCTGTTTGCTATGCTGGTAGGAAGTGTTGTGCTTGTCACAATGATGCTATTTGAATTGTTTGATGTTGCTGATGATGATGAATTTGACGAGGATGAGTGTGAGGATGATGCTGGAGTTTGTGAAGGTGTGATTGAAGTAATGACCGATGTTGGTATAGAGCTACTGAGCGAACTAGAATCTTTAGATCTAGAATGAGACTGGGTAGAATTAGAGAAAGCTGTTTTGTTAGCGCTAGGCTGAAGATCAGTTGGATCAGGATCAGGTTCTTGTGGCTTTTGTTGTTGAGTAAAGGTACTGTTGAGATTGTTGATGGTACAAGGAATGATTGTTGTGGTTGTATCAGATTTACTTCCATTGCCATTGTTATTATTAGATGAGCTGGGAGAAGCAGAAGCCGGAGTAACTGTAACAGATCCAGTAGTAATGGAGGAAAAGGAGGCGCAAAGTGAGGGTGAAGAAGGTGATGATCCTAGGCCACTATTGGTTCTCAATTTGTTTGCCAAAAGATTTTTAATTAAAGTTGAAGTCGATGTCCCAGGATTTGGTACTGGAGGCAAAGATCCAGCTTTAGGAGGCGCACAAAGCTGAGCTTTGAGGATAGGAGATGATAGTCCGCCTGGCCCTTTAATAGGCCGACGAACAAGTCCATCGATTATTGGACCAGTCATGGTAATAGATGGAAAACACCTTTTTGTGAGGATCGCAAAATTTTGTGCTGGAATAACAACCTTACGTTCACATCGAATACATTCTCTAACGTAATCCTCATAAATTTCATTAAGCTTTAAAAGAGTACCCTGATTGGGTTTGGCTTCGAAAGTTGCTCGAAGCCAAGTTACAACATAAGTTTCATTGTCAACTGCTGATGTAACAAGAGTTGCAGTTGTGGTAGACTTTTGATTTGGTGTCTTAGGCAATTCCACGGGTTTAGGCCTTTCATCAACTATCTTGATTCGCGCTAGAGCACTCTTGGAGAAAAATTGCGAAGCTTCACAATTGAGGAGCATCACAAGTATTTCTGCGAAAAGAATAAAAAATGTTTAATCAGAGATTATAAAGATAAGAGAGTATAAGATTTATGAAATGAAATGCGGGAACTTACTTATGAGATATTTACTATCTTCGACTAACAGTTTGGGATACGATTCCGAGAGAGCAAGAAGTAAATCAAGTGATGAAATTACTATGCTTACATCATGTTGACAGGTTAATAACTCTGTTAATCTTTGGATGAACTGAAGGGAAGAAAAGAAAAATATAAAGTTGCATGAGAAACAATTGAAAAAAATAAAAAAGTGTTTTAACTTACTTCACTATCAAAAAGTTGTGTTGCTATATATTCATTGGGCTCATCGTTATACCTTGAAACTACTTTACATATAATTTCGAGACTTCGATTTATATGATTTATGTCATTAGAAGAGATTATCTTATTAACACAATATCTATTAATTAAATCTAAAAATGTCAAATATTGCGGGTTAACGCTATTAATGGCGATATGCGATGAAATATTAGAGATGATATCTAAACCAAGGTTTTGGTAATATTGATCTTTGCACGAGATTAACAGAACTAGGAATTTCAAGAGATTGAGAGTAGCAAAATGGTATGAGTAGCCGCTGGTGCTTGATTCATCATTAATATTAGGTATAGGACTTTCAGCGATGTTGAATGAAAGATTTCTTATTATTTCTGAGACATTTTTTATCAAATTATAGATTCTTTGATGGTTCCTTGGTTCGTGTTTTTTAACGTCCACTAAATAGTCAAGATCTTCACAGAAGTCATCATCATCTTCGGTTCTCATGTAAGAATCACCATTTTCATCACACGAAGAACCAAAAACTAGATTCATAACTCTTATATCTTGACGTAACCCAGACCAGAACCTTTGAAGACAATTACATTTTTGTTGATTATTTGGATCCTCATCTTTGACACGGATGTTGCAGAAAACTCTACCATCACCAATTTGCTTCACCAAATCACTATTTTCATCATCACAACAACAAGAGTATGATTCAACACAATCAATCAGAATATCAATAAATTTGAAATCTGATATCCAAGTTGATTCCTTAGAATTGGCTAGAATTGTTGATACACGAAGACCAAAGTCAATCTCATTTCTGAGACCACTCATCAAACTACAATAGAGCTTGTTTAATGGATTAATTGGAGGTAATTGTACCTTAGTGATGATCTTTTCCATAAATTCTCCATGCATATCTTCACCGGACGGTTCTTGGGAATCATGGGAGACAAAATTTGAATGGTCAATACGAGATCCTTTGTATCTACCTTCTTCATTTTGTTTTCTCATACGCTTAACGAAGCCTTCTAAAAGTGTTTCCTTTGGTGTACGACTCCTTAATGAATCATATCCAGACATTTTTGTTTCAATAACTAAAGTTGACAAATGATTAGAGGGAAAACAAATGTCAAATAAGAAAGAGTAAGCAGAAAAAACACGAAAAGTGAGACAGAAAAAAATAAATAACAAAAACAAGCAAAAAAGGATTAAAAAGAGGAAGAGTAAGAAAAAAAAGAATAAGACAGAAATGGTTATCAAGAAGAGGGTTCAAATGTAAAAGGGTTGCCAAAAAAGCTGTTACTCAAATTAATCCACTTACCGATAACAGAATATAACCCAAGTCAACTTGTGAATGATGACTGGTAATTAAAGTTGACGATAAAAATGAAAAACAATTGAATTAATTCAATAAACAATTCAACTTTACACCATTACTCCATTACTATAAATTTCTCTTTCTATCTTTCTCTCCCTCTACAACTAAAATCAGTCTTTCTATTCTCTTTCCCTCTTTTCAACAAAAGACGAAAACCAAAACCACATTTTGTTTAGTGAGATACAGATGGCATTACAAAAGACTGCGCCTTTTTTAAACTGCCGATAGCTTTAATTATTTCTTAATTATTCACAATAAAATGTCATAATGAAATAATAAAATTTTCTTATCTTTTATAGTAAAATAATCAATTGTTTTCAAACTTACAGATACCAAACAATCTTAATAGTTAACTGATTCAATTGAAGAGATTATATTAAATGGTGCTGTTTAATGTGGTGACGACCCCTAATATGAAGGAAACCGGAAGCAGCCATTCAGCACTATGTAGCAGCATTTTCTTGAAAATGAATGTTTGATAGTAATTTTTCTAAGTTTTTACTCTGATTAATTGATTATCTAAATTTATCTTTGTTTGGACCTTGTTTCACTCTTGTTTTATTATGCCAGTTTACTTCCAGCGACTCGAGAATGCTCTTAAAAGAGCCAACGGTGAGTATTTATTTTTTAAATGGTTCAATATTTCCATTTCCCCTTTGTACCGGAACATTTCCATTCTCAATATTGATCGCTGTTTATCGTATCCCATGTTTGTTTTACAGAGTTTATTGATGTCGGTAAGAAGACACGTGCACTGGAAATTCTTTGTGATGTTTTGCGTTCACGTAAACATCGGGCCTGGAAAAAGGAACATGAGGATATCATGATGAAGTACCTTGAGCTCTGCGTTGAATTACGCATGAGTTTCGTGGCTAAAGAAGGAATTTACCAATACAAGATTATATGTCAACAAGCATATATCAAGTCTTTCGAAGATACTGTTAGGAAATATTTACAGATGGCTGAAGCTGAGGCTGAAGCCGCTCGTGAAAAGTCTCACTCCACTGGAGTTGATGATGTTGATGATTTGGACGACTTGCAAACACCGGAATCTCTTTTAATGGGTACAGTCAGCTCTGAGGATAGTCAAGATCGGACAGATCGTGTTATTTTATTACCATGGGTCAGGTTTTTATGGGAATCATATCGACATTGTTTAGATATCTTAAGGAATAATCCAAGAACTGAACGCTTATACCATGATATAGCTCACAAGGCTTTCCAATTCTGTATTAAATTTAATCGAAAAGCTGAATTTCGAAAGCTTAGTGAAAACCTACATCTTCACCTTGATTTACTCAAAAAACAACAACAAATGATCAACATTAATCAAGTTTCCCATCAACAACAAAACTTCATAAATCTTAACAATCCTGACAGTCAAGCCATGCACCTAGAAACACGCCTTGTTCAACTTGATTCTGCCATTCAAATGGAACTCTGGCAGGAAGCTTACAGAGCAACAGATGATATCAAGAAGTTTGGCTTAATGAACTTATCTAAGAAGCTTCCAAAGCCGCAACTTATGGCCAATTATTATCAAAAATTAGCTCTTGTATTTTGGAAAGCTAACTGTCCTCTTTTCCATGCTGCTGCCCTTTTCAAACTTTTCACACTGACTAAAGAATTACGTAAAAATATTACTCCAGAGGATGTACAAAAAATGGCCTCTCGTGTTGTTTGTGCCACTCTTTCTATACCTATACCTCCAACTCGTCCCGAGATTGATAAACTTGTTGACACTGAAGAAAATGTGATTGAAAATCATCAGCGTAATCTTGCTTCGCTTTTGGGTTTAACCTCTGCCCCTACACGATCATCTTTGATCAAAGATCTTAAAAGAATGGGAGTATTACAGCACGCTTTTCCAACTCTACAGAGTCTATATCAATGGTTGGAAGTTGAATTTCATCCATTGCTCTTATCAAAAAGAGTCGAGGAGTGTATAAAATTCATAGAATCTTGTGAAATCAGTGGTGATCTCAGTCAGTATACTACTGCTCTTAAGGACGTTACTATTATTCGACTGTTGAAAGAGATAAGCCAAGTTTATGAAAGTATTGAATATTCTCGCCTTATCGAGCTGTGTCCTGCTATCGATAAAATTCATCTAGAACATATGATTGTGTCTGCTGCGCGTCGTAATGATCTGCAAGTTCGTATTGATCATCGTGGTGAATGCTTCTACTTTGGTACTGAATTAAGAGCTTCTCATGGCGAAGAAATCATTGAAGGGCCTCATCTCCAGAGTATGCCAAGTGAACAACTCCGCCAGCAGTTAGTTACCATGTATTCAGTTCTTCAGAAAGCTCGAGCGATGATGGAACCTGATAAGTTGAAGCAACAAAAGACCGAAGTAAAACGACGAATGATGGCTACTTATGAAGCTAATAAGAAGGCTGATCATAAGGCTATCTTGGAGCGTCATGATTACATTGAAAGGAGAAAAGTTGAACTGGAACAAATCGGTATTGAACGGGAAAAGAAGGAAAAAGAGCTTTTAGAAGAAAAACAACGAGAGTTGAGATTAGCAGAAGAAGAAAGATTAGCCAAGGAAGCCGAAGAACGACAGCGTCAAATGAAACTGAAAGAAGATCTTGAATTGAAAAAGAGAATGGCTCTTGATCAATTGGAAAGAATGAAAACAACTGACCCTAAACTCCTCGAAGGTCTTAACGAAGACGAATTAGGTAAATTGAAAATTGAAGACATTAAAAGTCGACAAATGAAACAATTAGAAAAGGAGCGAATTGACCAGATAACTCGTCAAAGAAACTATGAACGAAAAATTGATCACTTCGAACGAGCTAAGAGACAAGAAGAAATTCCATTATTGCTTCAAGCATACGATGAATGGCGTAAAAGAGATGAAGAAGAATGGATTGAAATGGAAAACGAAAGAATCGCTGCTTTACATGCTGAAAGGGGACAAGCAATTCAACACAAAGAAAGATTAAATCGAATGCAAGATGATCGTGATTCATTCGTCAATCAAGTACGAGACCGTCGTCATAAGTCTTACGTTGAACAATATAGTGAATGGAAGAAACAATTCGATGAAGCTAAGGTCGTTAAATTAGCTGAACGAAAAGAAAAACGAAAGGTCGAGCGTAGAGAAACCTATTACAGGGAAAAGAAAGAAGCTGAAGAGAAGCGTAAAGCTGAAATTGAAAGAAAACGCAAAGAAGAAGAGCGCAAGAAAAAAGAAGAAGAAGATAAAGAAAAGAATAAAAGACTCGAAGAGATCGCTAAAAAGCAACAAGCCAAGGAAAAAGAAATTGAAGAAAGAATGGCACGAGAAAGGGCACAGGAAAGAGAATTGGCTCGAGAAAAAGATGCACCTAGAAAAGAAGAGAAAGTTATCGAACGTAAGCCACCTCCACCATCTGAAGGAGACTCTGTCGATAACTGGAGAGGAGGCTCTGACAGTCGTGAACCGTCTCGATTTTCACACCCTAGTGAGTCTAAAGAACGAACTAGGTATGTTGGCCGTAGTTCTAAAGATTCGTATGCTCCTCGTGACTCTGGCAGGGACAGGGACAGAGACAGGGAAAGGGACAGAGGGACGGAACAGGAGGATCTTGGTGGTTGGAGAAGAGCTAGAAATGATGACTCTTCGAAAGGATTTGACAAACGACGTCAATTTGAAGATCGACCTCGTCCATCTCCACTATACTCCAGACGTCAAGAACAGGAAAAAGAACCTGATGATGCTGGAGATTCTCGTTCTAAATCATATAAATCCGCTAGACCCACCTGGAGACAGGATAGAGATGAAGGTGATCGTGACAAAGAACGTCCTAGAATTAATTTAAAGAGCGATAAACCAAGTCCTCGACCTGCTCCTAAAAAATAATTTACTTTATTGAAAAACAAGAAAAAATTATTATTATTAAGGATATCAAATGAAATGATAGATTGGTATTGATTTCAAACTTATTCAGTTTTTTGTATAATATAAAAATTAATTGCACTTTATTTACCGTGTTTACCAATTTTTTCATAAAAAACGCGGATCGTGATTTCAAAAACACAATCTTTCAGTCGAACAGAATATCAAGCAGAGTTAGTCGCAATGTTCCAATGTTATGGCTATAGTAAACAGTTCTTAGCGAAGTTTTGAAATTTATGGTTGAGAGTTAGAAAATTTTTCCAAACCACATAAATAGACTTTTAATGATAAAAATTAAATTAACTTGAGCGATTGCTGATTTATACATGAAAGATTGATATTTAATATATCAAAATAACTGGATTTATTCATGGAAATGTTTCTTTCCTTTATAATAAAGAACTTAAAGAAAATAATGATTTGGTATAATTTGTTTATCATCCAATTCGCGTTAGTACAGATTATATGATTTCTGCAGACCAAGAAGCTCTTTCAATTCCCTTCGATTTAACAATGACCAAAAAGGATTTAAAATTATTTACAAAACGAATAGTAATCTTTTGTCTCAGTAGCGCTGCAACTCTAATATTGTTACACAACTTTCATTTTGAACTTATATCCAATAGCACAAGCGAGTTTCGAAAATTTATGGATAAGTGAAATTAAGTTGAGGCTGTAAACGACGATTCACAATATTGAAGGCAATCGTTACAAGGATTTGGTCAAACTAAGAATTATGGTAATATAACAGCATAGTTATACACAAGACGACGATGTTGATTGAATTCCATATCAAAAGAAGTCTAAATTTAGGGTCTAAGTCGCCTAATAAAAGAAAAGAAAAAAAATTATTATAATTAAAATTGCAATCGATAGGAGATAATTGATGAGAAAAAATGAAATTCATGTCATACTATTAGTTTGCATCTTTTTATTCTCTGTCCTATGCTGATGAGCTAAAAAAGGCCTGAAATATTAACAATATAGCAATTACAGTAGTCAGAAATTGTATAAGCCAAACACAATTTCTTGTTAATGCTTCAGATTTAGATGACACAGACTAGTTTCAGACTGAAACGAATCAAGTAATTCAAGATGTGTCTGAAGTAACAAAGAATAAAAACATTCAACAAATATCAAACAATGAAAATCGCAAATCCATATACGTATCTATGATTACATAAAGCCGCATATGGAAGAAAGAATAAAATGACAGAATTTATACCTAATCTATACCAGTAAATCAAGACAGCATGAGATCCAGTGATAGAGAAGACAATTAACAAGGCAGCTGTATTGATGAAACTAAGCTTGAAAAACAATGTACCAGTTAGCACGATAATCAATAATACACAGGCTGCTGATAATCCAATTGAAATGATCCTGTCCTGTGGAGATGAAAGAATTAAGAAGGTCAGAAATATTGATACCATAGACAATAATTATTAAAAAAATAAATAACCTTTTGACTCGTGCTATCACCAAACAAAGGTAGTCGTTCATTACTCCCCTGGCTGCCATGTGAAAATATGGGATCAGCTTCAGATACTCGAGGTACCCGTGGAGCCGATATGTCAGGAATACTCATCTGAATTAATCACTAAACTGGTCACAACAAACAAATAAAAAGTCTTGAAGATGACAGACAAATATTGAAAATTAATACAACAGATTTAAAAAAACTTGACGATGAAAAGTTGAAACACGCAACTTGTAGTTTAAAAATTCTGTGTCATCAGCTGATATTATGTTAGGGGTGTGTGATAATTACACCCAGTAATTTTTTTTGTCATTTTATCTATTAATCCATTGTAATTAGCTTATTATTTAAAATATTATTAACGATATCGTACTATTGTTCAGTTACTAACCTAACGATTGAAAATGAATCAGAGTGAAAATAGCATCTTATCAGTGATAAGTTATCACTCGATCTGAATCACAAAAATCTCAATAAAGCTGCTGCCATCTCTTAAAAAATGTGTCGCATTTCAAATCGCGTTTTTCATTGTTTGTTTCAAATTTCACTTAATTTCTGACTAAATTTCATGAAATGAGCACAAATTTTACTTCTTTGTGTCAAAACCGTCGCACTTAGCCATGCAAAATTACCAGCTAACACCATGATGTACTGTATATCCAATAAAACATGAAATCATTGCAATTACCTAATACTGTTGCATTCAAACAACTTGGCTTCATGAACAGTTTGAATTTTCAGTAAAAACTCATTCTTTCAATAGTTTTGATGTAATTAGATTTTTGAGTTATTAAATTTAAATTTTGGAAGTTTATTGATGATTCGGTCGATTTGTAATGATTGTTTGCGATTTTTTCATGCATTATGAGAGTTGATTGGCCTTTTAAATAATGTTTCTTAATTATATGAACATGTTACTAAAATATAAAGTGATCAACAGTTGATCTTAAACTCCAAAGTGCACGAAAGGTTAATTAATGTTTAAGTCATGTTCCGGTTTCTCCAACTTGTAAAATAGACCGAACAAAGAGTCTCTCTGTTTTCACTGTCTGCCTACTCCTCTTTCTCCTTTCAGCTTTCTTGTCGCTTTCTGCTTTTGCTTATGGTTTTTATTTTCTCATTCGTGAAAAAATGATAGCTAAATATTAATTAATATTCGTTATTTTTTTTATGTTTACTTGAACATCCTTTTCATTAATTATATTTTTGTGAACCAAATATGGAAAAATTGGTTGAACAATTTGAACAATTAAAGGTTACAACATCTTCCCGATGTGTTGATGATGACCCTTCCATCAAAGAGTTGATTGAGACCTACTCAAAGGTTTGTTTTTTTTAGATTTTTTATTTTATATCTAATCTAAATAATATATTTTTCCTTATTTTGTTTCAGGCTGTACTTGATTGTACATTCTTCCATGAGAACTACTTAACTGAGAACAATTTTTGCCTTGAATCAACAGAGGAAGACATTGCTACCACATTAAGCCTTCTTAATGCAATTGTGTCTCTTTGTGCATCAGTAGATAGCTCAACAGTAGCTAATACATCATCCTCATCCTCATCTTCTTCATCTTCTTCAGATAGCAGTGACTTCGGTAGGAATGTCCTTCCTATGTCATCATCTTTCCAAGGAAAAACATCTTCAGGTGATCCTTATAGAAGCGTTGTTAATGTTTTAGGAATTGAGTTTGGTGAATGTGTACTTTGGAGGCAAGGATCACTACTGTATGCTTTCTGTTCTGCCAAACTCTCATCTGATCCAACATGGGTTAGCAGTCGTCAAATGACTTTACTAAAACATTTAAAAGATGGTATAAATTATTTTCACTTGATGCTAAGCCTTCGTCGTAATTTATTATCTAATTTGGATGAAATAGATGCTTCATACATTCGTAACCTCCATGCACCCCGACAACTTGCCAACGCTTTTAACCACCATCAATACCAAGACAACATTGCATATGTTAGTGCTAAAGATTTAAACCCTAGCAATATGAATGAGTTGGGTAAACTGTTGGGACAGAAAGAACAAATAGTTGGAGCTTTAGGACAAGAACTCGACGAGTTGCAACAAGTTTTAGATCAACAAGAGGTATCGACCAATATTCATTTTTATATCCTTTACTTCACCATACTTTACACCATTATATCGTATTTTCTCTCTCTTTACAGCTTCTAAATATAGAGGCGCGACGTGAGATCCAACAAAAAATGTTAAGCAATCCAGAATGCCGTGATGATCTCGAGCGAGCATTGGATGAAATTGATGCCAACCAACAAAAAGTTAAAGTTCAACAAGAGGCAAATGTCGAGAAAAAAGGCCAAATTGAGAATTGTCTTCGTCAATTGCGGAAACAACAAGATGAACTTAACAAACAGTCAATTGTATCCAATCCCTTCACAAGTGGAACAAGTAGTAGTGATATGTCGATGTCAGATGGAACAAATGTCAATACCTTTGATTTAATTGACATGGGAGTTTTAAGTGATACTCATATGCTCGCTATGATGTACTGTGGTGATATGGCTTTCTGGTTTTGTAAATATTCGCGAGACTGGAGTCTAATAGATCATTCAGGAGAGATATTCGGAGAAATCCGTCGAATCGGAATCTCATATCTCAAAATTTATATCAAAGCAGTGGAAAAAGTTCTCAAGTTTTCTGGTTGGAACTGTGATAGAGCTAAAGAGCTTCTAAACCATTTTAATGATCTTTAATATTACACGAAAGAATACTTCCGATTTCCAGGAAGTAAAAGATAAACGGATAAAGTGAAAACAAAAAATGAATCGTAAATGAAAATTTATGATTTTGAGCGATTTATCTTTTTATCGAACTTGTTTTGTTTTTTATTTTCAACTAATATTTAATTTGACTGCATACTCTTTTCCACTAACAGTACCAGAGTAACAGAGTATTACTTGAAGCACTATAAATCTTATTGTAAATTAGAATTGACATTTTCTATCCACAAGATAGAATAAGATTTTTTTTCTTTCGTACGATCTTGTGCTTTATAAAAAAGTAATCCTTCAAAATTTGCTTCTCAATCTCAACCCACCCAATAATACATTTGAATTGAATAATTTAACTTTATTTTGAATCAATTCTTGTAATTTTAAAATATCCTTTGTCAATGATTAGATTGCCAACAGTAACTTCAAAAATCTGAATTTAATCATTGTTAACATATAGTTTTTCGGTAACATAATATTTTAACCTTCAATTTGTAATCCAAGTCTACCCAGTGAGTAACATTTTTGGTAACATATCAATTTTGATTATCAATACCATGCTTTATTTTGAAGGTAAAATTCAATGTTGATCAATCAAATTTTATAATATTCAGGTTTGAGCTGTTATTGAGCGAATTATGTAAGTTTACTCGATTTTGACCGTTAATTTTCGGAGTAAAATTACTACAGATGAATGGTATTGGCTTTTAAATTTACTTTGATTTTACGTGAATCAAAGAACCAAGTTATTCAGGCGAAAGTAAATAAAATCGTGAATCGTTATTCATCAATAAATTAATTTAATCTGTGTTGCATGTTAAATGTAATACTTTTCATAATTGATTTGATTAATTATAATAAATGTTCCTTTTTCATTTTCCTTACCACAAAATGAAATAAAAACAAAAATACTTCTTTTTGATAAAGATACATTATTTTTCCATCATTGTAAATCAAACATAAATTAATCACTACAATAACACTTTTCATTGAGCTTTGATTTGCCCAAATAATACAATTAATTTTGATGCATATGAATAATCATATACAATTTATACATAAATAGCCTTAAAATCAGGCTTACTCAATTCTAGATTAGTTAAAATCATGAATAACCTTTTCTCCGGTGACAATTTTTGCGTATTTTCAGTAATTATTATTTAGTTGCTTTCAGTGAACAACCAGGATAAGCATAATATTGCTGAGATAAAAATCATTAATGGTGACTTTCGTTCATTTGCCAGGCCAAAAATTGCTTTGATTAGGCTTTGACTGGTTTTGATGAAGTCAAAAATAAAAATGTAAAGCATTTGATGGATGAAGTCCGTCAACAGATATGAACTTGGCGACTATCTTGCGACAACATCGTAACTCCGTTTGATCTCTATCATACAAAACTGGCAATACCATTTAATTTGACCATCAGATGATTGGATTGTCTCATATTGTGTTTTAGATAGACCAGCACAAATAAGGCAATAAACGCAACCACAGCGTTCACAAATTAAAATGATGTCCTCATTGAAAATACCCATAAAGGTTTTCTCGCAGATACCACACTGGGACGATAATCCAGATTGTCCAGAACCCATTTTTGATGGAAATTTGATAAGATAATTCCTTTAGATGATAATCTTTACCGAATAAATTCAAAGAATCCAAGGATTTCAGACTCAATAAAAATCGTGTTTAGCAGGTTATCACTGAAAATTGTAAGTTTGTTCAATTTTTATGTTATTGCTGTTGAAATAGTTGATTTGACTCTGAGTTAATCAACATTTTAAACATTTGCAATGATTATAATGATAATACTGAAGGTTTATTTTCATTTCGCATTTCTCATGTTATAGCTATATTTCAATCTACGCATTCACATATTCAGTCTTGATCTTTTCTTCCCTTAACTGAGTATTTTCCAGGCTTGGCAGGTTTGAATTCAACTCGATCGATACTCTCTTTTCATCAGATTATCTTACAAGGGAGGTACCCGAGGTCATCCGAACCGATTTCAATGATTAGTGTGTCATTGAATTCGTCTTATTAAAAAACAATATAGTTCGTCGTCTTTTGAGTAGCAAATGGACAGAAGGTTCGAAAAGCGCCATTTATTGTCGATCTCTATGCATAGACCAATGTGAAAGCAATTATATGAAACCATTGTGATGAGCTTTTTTGTTTAACTCATTTTGTTTTGTATGCTCTTTACCATACTTTACATGTAAAAAATTGAATTTTAATTCGGTTTTTCTCGTTAATCTTTAATTTGCTACCCGTAAGATTTCGAGACAGTTAAACACTCATAATACCTAATTGGTTTATGATAAAAATATTAATTTTTATTCGGATGACCTCGGGTACTTCCCTCGTTAGATGGAACTGTATCAGTCTTGCAACTTTAAATTCATTGAATCTGCTGATATTCAACCAGTTGCTCAATCAGTATCAACCCACTGAGTCAATCACCATGATAAAATATGATTTGATTAGAAATATTTGCCAACAATTAAACAAAGCTATCAAATATGATAAATGATATCTCAATTTATTTGAAAATACAAGGAAGAACGAGAAAAGATAGGAATAATGGACGATTTCTTTCGAATTTTTCCCGATTAAATGGCAAAACTCTGGTAACAGTTGATAGATAAATTTGCGAAATGGTCAATTCTTAGTTTCAATTGGGACAGTTGCTTTGATCAACACGGCTAAGAGCTGATGAACTCAAACCCAATCGGTCAACATAACTGTGGAGAGCATCCATCGTTGATTGAGGTAAATCTGGGGTTCGACTCAGAATCCAAATTGAATCTGTAAAAGGATAATTACGAATAAAATAAATATGTAAAATGAAAAAACAATCGGACATCCAATTCATGGAATCAGAAAACTTACCAACTCGGAAAAGGCCAAATAAATCAGAACAAGAGACGACTATGGCATAGTTGGTGTAATCGGTATCAGCAATCCAGTATGGAGCCTCAGGAGAATCTATTTTTCAGTTAATTCGTAAATTAATTAAATTAATCGATATTCCATAGACTATTGACTGGAAATGGAATCGAGAATCACTTACATTTAAAGGCAACTTTAAGATAACTTGGCTTTGATCTATCAGCAACTCGACCCGAGCCTTCGATGGTAACTTTTTGTCCCCTAATTGGAAAAAGGAAAGACACATTAAAATAACTGATAGCACATTAAATGTAAACAATTAACTTACCATTTGGAAATTCCACGATTAACTACACCAACTGTACCGTCAGATTTAGCTAGATATTCAGCTGTAATACATCGTAATCCAATCTCAAAAACATTGAATGACCTCTCAAGCTCGTACCAGATTCCAGCGTACTTTAAAATTATCACAGTTATTGATTATAATTTATGTCTAAGAATATGATTAATTTAAACATGTACTCACCTTGTTTATATCGAATTTAGCTGTGTTGTTCATGGCATTTGAGGTGATTTTTGGACATCCTCCTGGACTTGGTCGTTGTCCATTAACAAAAGTAACTCCAATGGCAAGGCAAACAATGAAAACATTGAATCTTGAATCCATTTTGTCTATCTAAAACTTAAAACAGATTATAAAATCAGTTAGTTAACTCAATTAAAACTGGAAGAGGAGTTTTGAAGCAAGTCAATTGTGAACAAGTGAAACAATCAACCGATGAACAATGCGCTTTAATACTGACTATCAACTGAATCTTTCCAACGGTTTAAATAACATCAACCAGAAAGCCTAAGACTACGCAACGTTTAGATCTATCAACAAACTTAGGATTGATGATTGACTTATTTGTTATTGTTTGAACTGACTTATCACAATTATACAAATAGATTAACAATTAAATTAATTGAGAACGTCATCATTTATTCCCTTGTTTTTCCATTCTGTCAATTTGTTCATGAATAAAATGAAGCAAGCAAAGCTAAAAAACCATTGTTACCTAAGTGATTTGGGTCAAGACAATGGCAAGAAATTAAACATTCAACCAAGGTTAATTTAACAAACGCCTATTCTAAGTCATTATTAACCTTACTTTTATCAGAATTGAAGTGTTTTACCTTCTTAGGTTACTTCTAGGTCAATCGATATCACGATATGACAATTGTTACACCTTAATTTATGTAAAATAAAGCTTCATTGATTTAAATTTGATTTGCCTTGTATAAATGATAACCCATTGAGTAACCCATTGTGAACTAGATCTGTGCTTGATTTCAACTCGATGGACTTATCAAAGTCATTGGAAATAAATTTTGATAGTGATTCACCATTTAGTTACATCAATCGTTCCTAAACAATCAGCCAGATAATCAGCATGAATTTATTATGGCAAATATTAACAAGCCGGTGTCAAAATGGTGTTAAAAACTTAGATTTCATCGACAAATCAAACTCATGCCTTGTCACATTATCTCATTGTTTTGCTTACTTTACTTCTAGACTCATCATTTGTTATTATAATATTTAACATTATTGCTATTAAACAATAGATAATTCAACAATAGAATCCAAAATTAAAATAAACTTCAACATCTTGCCTTACAATCTGCAAATTTTTTCCATGTTTATTCCTTAGTCTTTATCTTTCATTAATTTACAATGAGTTTTTTTCATCTAAAATGCAAGCCATTCTAAATCACAATCAAAATTTTCTTATTAGTAAAGATCAATATCTGATAATTAAATACCTGATGAATGGTAAAATTGATATAAATAGACGAGAAAATGGTGAAAATTGCTTACGCCAAATTTGTAACATTTTGTGCTACTCGGACTTATATTTCCTTGATTTTAGCGGCAATAATTAGCTCTTTAGGACTATTTTACAGTTACTCGATTGATACATTGGTCAATCAATCTATTATTTCATTAATCACTCTTTCCAAAAATGACTCTGATTATTTCCAAGCTTGGCTTAAACCAGAGACTCGTTTAAATATGAATGTTTACATTTTCAATGTTACCAATGCTGACCAATTTGTGGAAGATTGTACCGATTTCAACTTGACCGAAAAAGGTCCTTTTTCGTACAAGTAAGCAATCTTTCTTCAAGTCCATATTTTTCCATTCTTTTAATTTAATTCATCATTAATCGTGATTATTGGGTATCTTGATTAACGACAGAATGTTTAGTGGTCGCAAAATACTTCGCAGTCCTGAGGATGAAGAAAATGCAACGCTGACTTATTATGATTTTAAAAATTTTCAACTCAATGTGAATGGAACTCATGGCAATTTAAACGATCCATTTGTCACAATTGATGTACCGACATTGGTAAGATGTTTTGACTTCTTTTGATCTTAATATTAATCTTGCTTTTTCCTGGTCCTTTTTTCCATAAAAGGTTTTAAATCAATACTTGAAAGATAATATTAATGATACTTGGATTGATGCTTTGGTTAAATTTATATTAACACTTAATGGGCAATCTTTGTTTCAAAAAATTTCAGCCGATGAGCTATTATTCAAAGGTAAACGAATCTCTATCCTGGACACATTGAAATCAGGTTGGGAACTTTTGCATCCAAATCAACCATTTCCTAACGTTGGTTTGAAGGACAATACATTTTCTTTGTTTAAATCTCACAATGTCACATACTTTGGTCCATTTGAAATTTACGCAAATGGAGCCAAAATGGGACACTTCAAATCTTGGCATGGTCTATTGTAAGTTGATTGGTATTAGCTTCCATTTAGAATAATTAGGCGAATTCCTTCTTTTAAATTTTGATTCAGATCGCTGGACAGATGGTTTGGAGAGGAATGCAATAAGATCCGTGGAACTGATGGCACCTTTTTTCCTCCCTTTGTTGATAAAACTCGCAAATTATACGTTTTTGTGCCCAATTTCTGCAGGTAAATAATTATTCAAATAATTAGTGTGTTAGTTTGTTCTAATAATTATTCCATATCAATTGACTTGTTAAGATCAATATATTTCATCTTTGAGAAAGAGGTTTTTCTCAAAGGAATCAAGCTTTACCGTTTTATTTTGGATCCTGATATTTTTGTCTCCAAATTGAAGAAACCATCAAATAAATGTTTTTGTTCACCACGGAATAATTCAACTTGCTCAATTGATGGTGTAACTGATCTTAATCCATGCTTACGTGCTCCAATTTGGTTATCTCTGCCTCATTTTTTAAATGCTAAACCAGATATTAGGATCAAAACTGCAGGGTTATCGCCCAATTCAAGTAAACATGCCACATTCCTAGATATTGAACCTGTAAGAAACAAATTATGTTAATATTAACAGTTATTCAAATGAAATTGATAAAATTTCACCATTAGATTTAAACTGATATGAAATATTACATTATACTAGACTTTAGGTCTTCCTCTTCGAGCACGGATAAGATTTCAAGCCAACGTAGAAATTAAAAAACAAAAATTTTACACGTACGTATTAATATCTACGGTTTTGACTTAATATCTAATTTTGTTCACTCTTCAATCGGATTTCTCTCTTTTACTAGTGGTGATGATATAAAATGTGATAAAATTTTACCTTTGATATGGTTTGAATATTCTGGAGAAATCAGTACAAGAGATGCTGCAGTTTTGCGGGAAAATGTTGTTAAGGTTATCGACCATGCGACTCTTTACAAGCCAATTTATTTGATCTCTGGCTTCATGTTTGCTATCGTCGCAGTTGCACTTGGATATTTCAAGTACCATCAGGTAATTAGAAATCTTTTCCCCAATTTTATGGTTTAGCTATTCAAATTGATCAGCTACGGCAACTGTCTAGTTGTTTGGTTGAGTAAGATTTATTCACAGCGGCAATGATTTTTCAATTGTGTAAAATACTGATCCATAGGTTTATTTTCTTGAAACTGCCAGATTTGTCCTACTAACTGCAGCGCCCGATTCAGGAAATTCATCAGCAGATTCCGAGGTAAAATTGACAAGCCAATTTTCAAAAAATCTAAGGAATCTAACCAGATTTTATGAGCAATGTAAGCAATCTCTGTTGAAATACACCAGAAGAACTTGATCCTGTCGTTCAAAAATGTAAATATTGTTGAAAAGTTTGAACATCACGTAAAAATTCCTTGTTATAACACCAACATGTAAAAATAGCCACCAGAAACTTATTCTTCCTATGTTGTAAGTAAAGACTTGAGTGAACTTGAAAAGATTTGCAAGAGCTGGAACGCACTGGAAACCTGTCTGTTGTAAAAAAACAAATGTTGAAGGTTGAATTTGTACATTTAACATTCTTTCATTAATGAGAGAATTATAAATCCCCATAAAAATTAAATCGTTAAATTAAGAATACATGAAATCTAATGTTTCATCAAAAGAGTATCCGAGAAAAATCAGCACAATTTTTAGAAAGAATCCCAGTAATTTGAGATGGTGGAGCAACTTGATAAGAAAATAACTTAAAACTGGCACACTGATTCTAAGAGATCATCACAATGAGATTAAAGATGTTTCAATTCAATATAAAAATAACAAATTATATTTGTTTATTACAATGTTTGTTCTGTAAGCATTAACCATTTCCCTGATTATTTCGCAAATTTATTGCTTTTTTGAAACATCAGATGGCGCCTCCTGCACAATTTTAAACAGTTTTTTGGGCGCAACCTACATTTCGTCAACAGAATGAAAAATTTTCAAATCAATCATTAAATTGTATTTTGACTAAATTTCAGATACGATCAAGATTACCTTTCGTGAGATTCTGTGAAGTGTCTAACTAGGTACACTGATTACAATAAATAAATATTGCAATCTCTAATAACTTATTAGTAATGAGCTCTGCATCCGAAAAAATATTTTGAGTCAAGCAATCAGAGTTAGTCTGGAGGTAAGATTAATTTTGCTTGTTGATAACTTTTTTCAAGAACAATTAGCTATGCGATATATCGTGATTATTAAATTAAATATAAATGACAAAATTTGTTCATGACAACCCATTCACCGCCACATCAGATGTGAAAATCAGAATGATAAACATGGAAAATTTTGCAAACAGTAGAATAAGCTCGCTCGTTTTCTCGTAGCATTGTATCACCTTTTCAAATACATTGAAAACTCGATTATGCAAATACGACTTCTCTAGTGAAGTGGATAACATTTTATGGGCCAATATTAAGATCATTAGATGATTACCAATATGTTGAGAAAGTTACTGGAACTGGACAATAGCTGGATAACAACCAGCCTTCAAGTCAACCGTCATTTGGATTATCTTTGGTTTTTTAGTTTTGGTCACTGTCACTTGTTAATTGCTCTTCGCTAATCAATATTGTTTTTGATCGATCCATGACCAGGAAAAGCGTACCAGAAAATTCGTCCAGCTCAGGCACAATGAAAGCCTAACTGAAAAAAAAGCGATTACCGTCATCAAACTGTATCTTGTTCTTGTAATTTACCTTCGCCTATTAGTTAAATGAAATACAAACAATAAGATTTGTAGGTGGGAAGGTGAGAACCATTTTTACGTTTCTCAGGTGTTTAGCCTGAGGGATATCGAAACTCAGCATGAAGCCCATGAAAAGCAAGTAAAGAAGAGCAAAAAGAAAGCAAAATAACAAATAAAAAAAGGCCAACAACCAAAGAAGGGTTCATTGGAAACATTTGACAATACGGTTTAGCCTTTTTAATGCAGTAAATTAGCCCTCGAGGTTAATTGTCCAAACTTTGGACACTAGCAATATCGACTAGTATCTAAAACGAACCTTAAATAAATACCTTTAGTTAACCTTCCCACTCTATTAATCATTTTGCCCTTTCTTTTTTTTCACTTATTATTATCATCATTTACTTGACTCAACTTCCCAGTTAGTTACTATAGCTACTCATCATAATCTACTAGTGATGTTAAAACGTCTTTTTGCTTTTCAATTTTGTTTTTGTTTTCATCTGTATCCACAATCTTCTTTTATCCTCATCCTGAATCACCATCTTCAGTCTTTTTTACAACTTACAATGTAAACCATTTTAACGATCAAATTGACGTTCACATTCAAAAGTCTAAAGCTCTTTTACATCTTTAGCTTTTTATCCTCTTACCTCTTTCTTCCTCTTCTTACCTCATTTTATAATTTCAAAAGTATTTTGTTAACATAGCAAATAATCGTCATGATGATAATAGTAATAGCTAACTAACAAACTATTACTCTATTTTAATAGTTTCTTACCTTTAGTTTGTTTTTTCTTTACTTGACCTAAGGTCATCTCAAAGGTGAAATAAGTATCCTCATTTTTCTCACTTTCGCAGTTGGCTCCCTACAGTTTACAAGCTAACAGTTAACCTGTAAAAAGTCAAAGTTAATCAATTGGTAAGTTACAAGGTTTTTCTTTCTCTTCTTCTTTTCCTTCATCATCTTCTTTTCTGTCCTCTCTAAGTCGCATTCTTGGCCGTTTTTTGAACAACAAGCAAAGCTTTAACCAAGTTAGATTGTGTTATATCGATGAAGCTCAAAAATGATGAAGATGATGAAGAAACAACTAGAAATGAGAGGGAAAGATGAAAAAGCCTCAAGCCTCAATAACTTTCACATCTCACCTTGAGGGTTGTCTTGTTTTCATAGCAGGGGTTAACATAGTTCAATTTAAAATAAACAACAGCCAACAGTCAATCCCATTTTCGTTCATCTTGTTCGTTGCCATCTTCCTCATCTTTAACCAGTAAACAATAATCACACCAGAGTTAGGCTGCAAAGAAAGAAAAAAAACGAAAAGTAAAAGATAAACCAAGGTGTTTCTTTTTTCACCTCTAGATACTTACGCATCAATAATAATAATGATCAATAATACTTCATCGTTTAACATTTTGCAAATTAAGTTTACACATTTTTCACATATTTTAATTTTCAACCTTTTTCCTCACTTAATACAAATACCATTTGGCAATTACTGTAACAATTTCAATGTAACTCATATGTTTAAAGATCAAGATCAGATTAAAGATACCTAAATCCGATCCAATCCCAAATAGGTCGATCTATCAATTAGTCAATCAATTAATCGATCGTGATAGACAAAAGAAACAAAATTTTTTGAATGTTTCACAAAATAATTATTTTCTTATCTATTTTTGCAACTTATCATCGTTATCAACTCTATCCAGATAATTAACTCTTTGGATTTTATTTCAACAACTGTATCAAGATCAACAAAAATATTCAGTTTATAAACCAGACTTTGGAGTAAAAAGCAAAACCAAATATTAAACGTAAAAAAATATAGATGTTAAAATAAAACGAGATAATCAAAGGTGGAGTTAAATTTATACAATTTATATCTTCCATTATAAAGTGATTGGTCAGTGACAATAATAACTATAATAATAATGTTAATATTGTAACAAAAAGAAGCTTCCAAACTCTAATTAAAACCAGAGTGAAACAAAAGGTAAGCCGAGAAACAAAAAGTAAACCCAAAAAAACAAAAGTTAAATAATTCTCATACAAATACAAGGTAACCAATGTTCCCTTGCAATAATTACAACCATTTTAATCAAGCTAATCATAGTAATCATCATAACCATACTACTCATCATCATATTAACCAGTAAATATCCAGTGTTCAAACTATAATCCTGTCAAATGGCCATTCAAATATGGAGACATTATTTGTACTAAATTGATAACTCTGCTTGGTTACCAGAATTGGTTAAAAAAAGACTATCCAAAACAAATTATTGCAATGTTACCAATTACATTGTAACTAAACTCATTGAACCAATAAAAGATATGATATTAAAATGATATTAATGATTCTAATGATTCTAATGATTCTGATGATAATAATAAACCTTTTTCATTCATTTCTTGTGTGTGAAAATGTCCAGTGGATATAAAAAAAAGGAAACAGAAACAGTAAAAGTTCTGTCCATTTTCAGTGTAATTTAATTAATGTTACCTTTGTAATGATAACTAATCACGAATTGAATTGTCCAGCCAAAAAAGCACACTATTTACTCATCATTCTGGTTAAACCATTTTCTGGTTCAAATTAATAGTTTAAATTGTAACCAATGTAACCATGGTAATATTAATATTGATATATTGAAATTAGTTTTCATTCCCAATTTTGTTATATCAACATTTTATCATGTCAATTTGTTTATGTAGTTAACTGTATATTGACAATTAAGTATATTTTTGTAATCAAATTGTTTCCCATTGAAGCCAATGTTTCATTTGCAATGTTTTCACATGAAAAGTCAAAATCTAATGACAGAAAGGTGTTTGTTATTATTTAAATCAAATATTGATTAATTGAGTAATTTACATAAAAATGATTGTATTTTTCGGTCAATTTAAAGCTGTTGTTAAATGTGACAAAAATACTGAAAAAGGTAACAAAAAAGTCAACAAAATGTTGTTTGCTTTTAACATTTTACCAAGAAAATTGATATTTTTTCTGATCGTGTTTACATTCAATTAAATATTTGCAATCAAATTAAACCATTAAGAAGCGTTCATAATTTAAGAAATGTTTAAATTTTTTCAATGTAACATTCAATAGCAAAAAAAATCGTTAAAAGATTTGATTTCAACAATCAATTCAACAGAAAATGATTTTTTCGGAAAATTTCAATTTTCCATTTTTTGGCTTCAATTTTGATGTTTTACAATTCAATTTGCTAATTGATAACCAATAATATCGACTTTATTGTTGTGATTTACTGTCCTTTCAATTGACGTCATTTATAAATGTTTAATTGTTGATATCGAATCGCAGGATTGATAGCAATTAAAACATGTTATTATTTCACTTAAAACAAGTCGATTTCAACTGACATCAATATTTTGTAAATTATCAAAATCGTTTTTTAGGATAAAATTGTCATTGAAATTACAATTGATCACTTGATTGTCCAGAAACAGTGAGCATGAAACGACTCCGTAATCAAGTGATTCCAAGTGATTATCAATCATTCACTGAATGAACCAATGAAACCGGTTACCAATTGATCAGAATTGACTGTGAAATTTCAAATTCATTCATCAATTGATGCAACTTTGGATAGAGTTGAAGTTGAAAGGTTGCTAAACAACTGTTTTACCGATTGTTTAACTTTACCAAATACAATCAAAGATTACTGTGATCAGATGAATGAATTCTAACTTGAATTAACCAAACAATGGCGAGATTCTGAGAAGAAGCCTAAAGCTATTTTACTCAAAATTAGAATGCAATTAATTGAAAATGCGAGGCGAAAATTGGTTTATTTGGTAATTTCTGGTCACAGGTTAACCGGCTTGATTCACTTTTGACAAGTTAATTCAGTTGAAACGCGAAAAGGTTTAACTCCTCCTTTCAGATTAAACGATGGTCCAAGTGTATTAAGATACAGGTTTGGACAGAACAGTGCATTTGAGGAATGTTACAAATCTAAAGTTGAACACTTGAAATGGTTGGATAATGCAAGATTGATAAGCGTATGAAAAGCGTAGCGTATTAGTATCAAGTTACCATGGAAAGTCTGGATTGTTTTCATATTATCTTCATCATCTTGATCATCTTCAAGAAATGATGAGAAATCATTTCAGTGATTGTTCACCTTCCAAATACAAGCGTACCTAATTGAAGCTCATCTTCAGATGAACATTTTTATAAGAAGATTAGTTGAAGATAACTTTTCAAATAACCAACCCAAAGTTTACTGTGATTGATCCATCAAAATTAACTCAACTCAATATTTTGAGCAACTTTCAGCATCTCATGAAGCTGTTTCAATTCAGGCCAAAGTCAAGATTCAATGTCAGGGTTGAGAAGGGAAGAAAAAGGTAAAAACGAAAAGAAAAAGCTCTTTGTCGGAATCCTAATAATCAAAGTGTCAAAATAGCGCTTATGGGATCGTTTGGGTTTGTTTCAAGATGAAAACAATCGCAATGGTAATTGACCTGAAAGTGTTCTTGAAGTCTCAATTAAGAGAGTAAAACATTGCAATTTGCAACAATTTAAATACACCGATGAAAAAAGATTCAAACGTTTCTTTCATTCGTAAAAATGAGTTTAATTTCAACCGAGTGAAATTGATTTTATACGATAATTTAGTTCTTGATTTTTACTGGAAATGGTTAGCTTACAATTGAAACTGTTTTCTGGTAGTCGTTACTAATTTCACTGTAATTATCAATTACATTGAATTAATAACACTCTTGTGTTCAGGGATTTTGTATTTTATTTGAACGCAATTGTATCGATAGAATGTTAGAGAATCGAAATTTCATTAATGATGATTAACTTGAATGTATCATTAAGTTATTTGTTCAAAACAATTGGATTGATACAAAAAAGTATATAAATGTAACAATATAACAATATTTTGCAAACAACGACAAAGCTTCCAATTGTCAACACGACTGTTTGTTCATTCAATAAAAGGTGTTTTCAAACTTAATGATAAATTTGATAAATTTGTACATTGATTTTGGACAAATTTCGTGTAAAATTTTTTAATGGAAATTGGTTGACTTGAGGCTTTTTAGATGAATTTAAACGCTGATAGTTGCATAGTCAATGAGATGAATTGAGACAGAATCAATAAGCTAAATAAAGCAAGTAGTCATCTAGATAAACTGATTTCTGGACTTTGTTTGCTCAGATGATTGACTCTCAAATTGTTTGCAAATCAAACGTGCGATTCACGACAATCTGTAGATCGATCATTTGCTGTTTGTTTCATTCCTTAATAACTCAACAAATACAACTTGAAATGCAAAAAGATTGTTTAAATCCGTGAATTGATCAAAATCTTGAAAGTTATTTTTCCTTTTCGTTAATAGCAAACTTAGAACCTGAAAAAGCTAATGATTTACAGTTAATGATGTTATTAATGAAAAGCGCCTTTTGCAAAGCAAATTGTTAATTGTTAATGCAAGTTGTTGAAGACAATTATTTGTTTTAATAACATAAATAATGTTTAAAACGCGAGTCTCTGAAGTAAACGTGAAAAATTGAAGACAACAATAATGGCCAATTTACTGACCTAATTCGCGTTACCTTTTGTTTTGTACGTTTTTTTATTGTTAACCAAATCTTTAAATTGTTAACAATTACTTCCGTTGATAGGTTGAGCCAATGTTGATGATTGGCGCAAAAAGGCAACAAAAAGAGGATTCAAAATGTTAACTTGTACGTGTTACTCGTGATGAGAGCCAAGTATTAATTGAAAGCAACAATTGCAATAAAGGAAGAGAAACGCTGAAACATGTTAATATAACATTGATTACATTGAACACATGTCTATGGATGAATAAACAGGAATACCTTGTAATACCTGAACTAGTTGAAAAGGCGTACCTTTCCATTGGTTTCCTATTATTAGCTTAAATTATTAACCTTTGCCTTTTGGTAAATCATTTTGTTGAACCAAACATTTTGTCTCAGCCTGAAGCAATTTGCTGTCAATTTTACTTTCACACAACCTTTCCTTATGTTCATCCTGATCATGTAACATCTTTTCACTCCTTAAGCTGATCATTATGACACCTTTAAAGTATCAAAGTTTGACAATTGATTTGAAAGAAGAGATGAAAATGAACAAATTGATGTAAAATGTTTCATTATTCATAACTAATTAGTTTTTTTAATGTAAATTTGTTGTTTAAAATGATTAATTTCATTTTGCAATTCATTTCAATTGCTATTTTTGATGAATCAATTCTTTCGGGAAACTTTTTCTTTCTTTTTCGTCTTTTGATCATTTCACGTTTCATCACTTAATTTCAATTAAAATGATTACAATTGTCTTTTACCTTCAATCAACTAATTGTAACAATTGTAACAAATCACCTTCTAAATGGATTTACAATTGAACGTGATTCGAATCTTGTCTCATGAAAAGTGAAAACAATCAATTGAAAAGAGTAATTCATCGATTTTAATATTAACATTTTGCTTTCCCTCGAATCAATATTTACTCATGAAATGATCAAATGAGGAATGAAATTTTTGAATATAACAAGAGGACAAAAAGTGCTGGTCAATGAAAGGCAAATGTTAATGATAACATTAATAATGGCAAAGGAATCCATTAAATTCATCAATCAAAGGGAACAAAAGTTACAAAAGCTTTGAACAAATCGAGTTTCGATTGAGTTACAAATTTATTTGCAAAAAGCATTATCAATGAAATCATTAACAGGTAAACGATCAATAATTAAGATCAATATTTTGAAACAGGAAAGTGGACTTTGCAATGGAAAAGCGAGAAAAATGTTCAAAAAATTTGGATTCTCTTCATACATGAATCTGGTTTTGTTTTTGGGTTTTGCCATTATTTTTCATTCTAATTGTGATTACTTTAGATTGTTGACTGTTTTCGGGTCGCTTTTCATAATTGATTAACCTTTTGTCAATAATTGAATTAAACAGTTTGAAGACAACAACAAGGGGAAATGTTAGCAGCTGAATGTTGATTGATTAAGGTAAAGGTGAGAGACAAAAGGCAGAAGCAAATTGAACCTTAGGCTAAATAATGTTGCTATTATTACTCGGGTTGGGCTTGAAATGACTTTCAAATTGAACGTTAATTGAAAATTATTCAAGACAATTTGAATGCCATTTTGGTCATTGGAACACATTTCACAGCATTTGCCGCTTCACCTTAAGGTGTGCAATTTCATTCCTTTTTTTCGCCTTTTCAGTTTTTAACATAAAACATTGAAACAAAATTGTTTATTGTTATTACAAGTCATTTAATTTACTTTACACTTATTTGTTTGCTAATTGTTTACCAGTTTTGCAGCTCATTTGAATATAAATTGACGTCTAAGTTGAGCCACTTTAATATTGCAATCAAAACTCAGGATTAAATTTGTAATTCTCATTGCATGTTGAGTCGTAAAAATTATTCAAAATCACAGGGTTAGGCTGGATGAAGGTTGTTTCAACTAATTCCTAGTTCAAGTTGAACAAGAATCGAGTTTCTCTTTGACTGATTGACATGAGATTTTGATGATAAAATTTGAACACTTTCAAACCATTTGAATATATTACAGAAAATTGTATCAAATTGATTGAAACATTAACATTCAATCTGACTCTGAATCTTGACAAATTAAGTGTTGATCAGAAAAAAATGTTTAGAAACTTTGAAATGGTGAAAAGATGAAAATAAAGTTACATTGTTAATGTTAATTTTTAAAGTTAATTTGTTTTCCCAAAACTCAAGGATTATCATTTAAAGTGCATTTATTAACATTAAACATGAAGTAAGCCTTTCAGCTCTCTGTCTGAATTATCGGACAAAAAATTGAAGATTTTATCAGTTCAATGATGACCTAAAATCACGGAACATTAAGTGGATCGTTTATGTTGAACATCGATAATCCTTTACCGACTAAACATAAAACTATTGGCGTTTGAAACAAAAAACAAAAAGCTTATGTTGTTTCAACAAATTATTGTGTGTTTCTGCGCCTTATTATGCCATTATTATGCTCTATCATTATTATTATTATTATGTTATTATGATGTTATTATTATCACTTATTACGGGTAAGTCAAGTTTATTATTGAAAGAAACTGTGCAAACTAATCAATATTTGATTGTTTGGTAAGTTAATAGTTTTTTTGCCAGTGAATTTCAATCTATGGTTCATAAAATGAAAAGTTCAATAGATGTGAACCAAGGAAAGAGTGTTTGAAAGACAATAAAAAGCTATGAAAAGAAAGGTAAAAATGGTATAAAAAAAGCAAGAAGCCAAATACTATTTACCATGAAAAGTGAAAATCAATTGAAAGTTCAACAGTTTCGGGCTTCTAGACGGTCAAATTGTCCAATTATTTTAGTAAATTTAAGAAAATGTTTAACATCATTATTAACTAATAATATTGATTTTATTTCTTCTTTTCCTTCAATTTTACAGATTTTCTCATTCAGAGCTTTTATGTCAATATTGAAGAAACAGTTTTATTTAAAAGTTTCAAATGTTCACTAATGTCAATTTCAAGTTCATTACCAAAGCTTTCAATTTGTCTAACATTTAAATTGGCCTGAAATTTTCAGTGTTTTTGTGTGTAATAGCAGTTGGCAAAGTGAAGAGTCGAAATGATCTTGAACAGATTGGAGAGCAAGAAGAAAAGGCTAATTTTTGGACATTCGGCTTTTGTGTTGAGGCGACTTTTAAAGTGGCTACAAGTTGTTACCTCTAATGTTAAGCCTTGTGAATAGACGTAATCATCAAGTCTACTTGCGTGTTTATCAAATTACTGGTTACAGCCAATCAAGTGAGACCTTTGATGCTTCCATTGAGCAGTAAAATGCTTCGACTTTTTGGTTCTTTGAGTTTCAATTTATCCCTTAATGTTACTGCGCAGTTTTGGCCTTTGCTATAAAGTAAATATAGACTCAACAATGAAACCAGTAATGGTAACCCAAATAATAGGATAAAAAACAAATTTCAGTTTGTTTGCTAAACTAACTTCAATCTTGAGTGACATTTTTAAACGATACAAGTTGAAACAAAATATGATTGAAACATCAAACTATCCAGAAGCGAAATGAGTTCAAATTTTGATCAGTAAAACGTTTCATATCAAATAGTCAATTGACTTGAACCTCAAGTTAAGTCTGATGCTGGCTCAATGAATGTACCCTTTGAAAGGAAAGAAAAGGAGAAAATGAATTTTCTGAGAAAATTTGACAAAAAAAAACTATTAGAGTGACGATTCATGGTTTATTTTAAATGATAGGTTTCATGTTAAACAGGGATGTAATAACACTGTTGGTTGATTTAGTTAGAAACTGTGAAAATGTAAAGATTCACAAAGGACAACAATAATGATGACAATAATGATGATGATGATGATGAGAATAATAATCAAATTTTGAGCTTCTTTTTGTTCAACAAAAAACAACATTTAAACAGGTAATCTAATGATAAGCCTTTTTGTTTGAAGAGAAATGTTCATTTCTCTTCTTCTTCTTCTCTTGCTTTTGTCAATCATCATCATTATCTTGATGGTTCAACTTGTGTTCAAGTTGATCGTTTCTTTTGCGAACCACTCCGCCTTCTCGTCCTCCTCTCTCTCACCTTTTCATGTAATAATAATCATCATCTCCTGTTTCGCCTTTTTCATCCTCTCATTGAGGTAACAATTTGTGGTTACAATAACATCAAGTTCAACCTCTTCCTTGATCCTCTTTGATATCAACATCACGTTAAAATGTTAACAATGTTAAAAAGCATGTTAATAGATGAGGATCAAAAGATGGCAAAACTGGTTGCTACTCACTTGACGCACTTTTATTCAATCAACTAAACCTTTTCTCGGCTTTCATCATCATTATCATCATCATCCTGTTGTGGTTAAATGTCACTGAATCCCTCATAATTAACAGGTTACACCATTTCAACGGAAGAAGCAAAAGGCGAAACTGAATGTAACTTGGTAAAGCGTCTAATCATCTCAAGTAGTTCAATAAATGTTCAGTTTGCGGATTCAGTTCATTTGTTGTTGTTTTTTTTGTATCTCAACATTTTTCTTTGGTTCGGCGAGCGATAATTTTAAGGAAGGTGTTGATCGATGAAAATGATGATGAAAGAAGAAGATGGAAAATGATTGATTGTGTTTCAATTGATTCAACCTGCTTTCATTAACAAATGAAATGAACTTTTTTCACCAAATTTGTGTGTTTTTTCGTCATTTTTTTACTCTTTTACTCGTTCTTATACATCATATATTTATATACATCTATATTTATACGAGAGAATCAAATAATATCAAGAATTTTATCAAGTATTTTACAAGTTTATTCATCTTCATGGTGACTGAAGCTGATTGAAACAAGCTAAATCAAGGTTTAATTAGAGTTGATTATTTTAGTTGTGATTACACTTTTTGTGTTCATTCGGTTGACTTGAATCTAATATAAAACAGTTTGAAATGAGGTGAAAGGATTTCAAGGATTCTTCACTTTTTCGGTTCAGAATAGGTTATGACATTGGGTCGAGCAAAGTGTCATTCAGTTTTCATTCAGTTTGTCATTATTGTAATCAGTGTTGAGATTGTTCGGTATTCTACAAGAATAGGTTGAGAGTTGCAATTGAAAGTTAAACCGTGTTCAATATTAATGTACAACTTTGAAGACATTTTGCTTGAAATTTCGTAGCAATTCAATAGGACTCAATAGGAATTCATTTGACTACATTTTCAAAGAACTGATCTTAAGATGAATTGAGATAATGAACTTTTGTCCTAAAATTTGAGGCAAAAATCAAGGAGATTTGCTTGTTTTGCTTTTCTTATTTTTATTGTTTCCAATGAAACTCTATGGAAATGAGAAAAATTAAAGTTCTTGAAACTGAATGGAAACCAATCATTTACCTTTAGAACTTATTTATCTATTGGAAAGAATTGAGAGAAAATTTAAATCCAATTTCCTTTAATTAAAGAGAAAAGTTGTACATTGAATATTGAACACGGTGTAGATTGAATGGGAATCTATGAAACCTCAGAATGATGAGGAAGATTTGAAGAAAGGTGATGATAAGTGTAACCAAATGATGAAATCTGTGAGCGAAGATGACTTTTCTTTTACTTTGTCGGGTCCAATGAGATGTTCAATGCTGAACGATTTTTTATTGGTTAACGAAGAGACAACAGATGAAGATGATGTTGATGATGGAGGTGGATGAAGTGAGGTGAGTGGAAGTGGATGATGATGAAGATAATGGTGAAGAGCATTCAGTCTACTCAATGGTGTTGAATTGTCGGTAACTAGAGACGATGATGAGGTTGATGAAGAGGGTGACGATGATGTGGTTGCCGATGAGGCGACACTAGCTTCTGCGGCTGCTGCTGCTGCTGCGGCTGCTGCAGCGGCTGCTTGCACAGCACTTAGACCCAGTGAACTGAGTGGATGAGGGTGAGGAGTGTTGCCTGGATGAGCATGAGGATGAGCCAGACTGGGTGAACCATGAGTATGAAGTAGTGGGTGATGGGCATGAGGATGATGAGGATGAGATGGACTTGATCCAGGATTGGTATTACTGGATGTTGAATGGGATCCAGGAAGGTGATGGTGATGTTGATGATGCGGTGGACCTGGAGGTGGTTGCAGTGAGAGCGACAGTTGAGGTCGCGGTTGGGGTTGAAGTTGAAGTTGATGTTGAAGTTGGTGTTGCAATTGGTGTTGCAGTTGATGTTGAAGGGAATGTTGAAAGGACAATGGGTGAGGTTGCTGGTGATGGTGGGAATGATGATGTGGCTGGTGTTGAGCTAAAGGTGAATGATCAGGAGAACGATCTTGCGAGCGATCCTGTGATCGATCCGGTGAATCTTCAATACCATTTAACCTGAGCTTCATGTTTTCCGCAGCAATGGTACTCTGATAGTGTTTAGCATCAGCCATGGCCTCCTTAATACTCTTGGGCAGTTTAAACCTTTTCCTTCGCCTCAGATAACTTCCATTCTCAAACATATCCCCACAAGACGGGTGTAAAGCCCAATAGGAACCTTTACCAGGACGATCTGGACGTCGAGGTATTTTGATGAAACAATCGTTGAACGATAAATTGTGCCTCAACGAGTTTTGCCAGCGTTGAGTGTTTTTCCGATAATAAGGAAACCGATCCATAATAAATTTATAAATATCACTGAGAGTCAACATTTTTTCACCCGAAGATTGGATTGCCATAAAAGTTAAACTTATATACGAGTAAGGAGGCTTTTGATCACCATAAGTAGACCTTCCGGGTCTCGGCATGTCACCAGTTTAAAAAGCGCAAACCAAACTACGAAGAGATTGAAGATGTTGAAGATGTTGAACAAGATTAACGTTAAACAATCATTGATGTTAATCCATCGACACTGAATACACTCAACTATATCAACAAAAAGCACACTGTGAACACACTCAATAACTTGCTATAAGTAAACACAACTTGTAAACATGTATTCATTTGTAAGTTTATCGTAAAAACATTTTTTTTTCTCGACTTTCTTCTCTTCCCTCGACCGACACCAAAAGACAGAGAAGACAGTAAGAGAGAGAAAGGGAAGAGAGAGAGGTTTCAAGTTGAAGGAGGATGATAAAGGAGGAGTTTGAATGGAAAGAGAGAGACAAGAGTGAGAGAAGGCAATGGATGATGTGATGATAAAAGATGAAAGAAACGGTGAAAACTGAAAATTGAGGGAGAACAAAGTTATTCAAAGTTAACCAATGAAAATGCTGGAAACCGCCCCGTTATCCTCATCTTTATCATCATCCATTTTCATCATTCATCAGACCATGTATTCATTATATAGGATTTCATCTTCGCTCATTTGCTCATCATTTGAAGATTTTTCTTCTTCTTCTTCTTCCATTATTATCTTCACGATATATGATTACAATTTATCGTCATCATCATTGTTCACGTCATGTTGTGTGTTTTAAATTATTACAAAATGATTATTAATTTAATAGAGAGAAACAATCGACTCTTTTTATTGATCAACTTTCCATGTAAAACATGGAAAATCAATATTTTTCATGTTTGATTTTTTAATCTGAGTTCACTTTTTAAACATGAAACGGATCAAATTGATTCATCAGCAATTTGATTGCTAATGAATGTAATGTTGAAATGAATTGAATCTTTACAATTAGTAATGAAAATGATTGAACCATTTTTATGCGAATCAGCTTTTCATTTTTGTATTTTTAGTTGAATTTTGATTATTTAGGTGATTGTTGACAGTTGGGTGAAAAAAGTTATTGTTAACATTTTACCTTTTGCTTTGTTTATTGTAATCCAAATCAAATGTAATCATCTTTTTGTTAAAGTGTAAAGTTAAGTGTCATCAAGGTGTTCACCTTTTGTGTGTAAATGATTATGATTGTTGTAATGATTAGTGGTGATAAAGATGATGGTTTATAAAAGTGTAACAAGGAGAAAAATGAATGAATGAATGAATAAAAAGGATGAATTAAGTTGGAAATGATATTTTTAAGGTTGCCAATGCGAGAGCGCTTTTCTTCAATGGATTGCCGCACAAAAACACAACTGTATAATAAAATGTGAAATGTAAGAAGGTAAAAGTCACTTGAATGTGAAGAGTATAATAATAATATTATAATAATACAACAATGGAAGGAAAGCAAAAAGGTTAATTGAAAATGATTCTTGACTAAAGTAAAGGCATTATTTTGCGCTTACTAAAGGTAAAAAGTTAAATAGCGTTTGCTTGGTGCAGGTTAACAAAATGGCTCAGTTTGCAGGTTGGCAAAGGGGAAGACAAGGTAAGACAAGGTAAGGGACAAGGTAGAGAGGTAGAGACACATTAAGTGTAACAAACAAGAGTGCAAAAGCTCTTGTTTGTTATAATGCTGTTTGATGTTGTTTTTGTTCAATCAATTTTCACTCTTTTGTCGATTGTGAACAAAAGCAATGAAAGAAGTTGAAAGTTGCTTGAATCTGTTGGAGGCAAAAGGGGCTTGTTGAGAAGGAAGAAGAAGAAGAAGAAGAAGAAGAAATGATGATGAGAATGATGATGAAGATGATGAAGAAGAGTGACTGTTTAAAGAATAAAGGTGTAAAAAAGAGGCAATTCACAATGCAAAACATCTTGCAAAGGTTAACTTGAAACCCCCTGAGGCCTTAGCCTTTTGCCGACCTTTGCTCTAGATTATTATACTTGAAATGTAGATAACATTGAATTACATGTAAATGTATATATAAGGATCCACGCTTATTAGTAACCAAATTTTTCTTTTTCTTCCAATTTCTTCTTCTCTTCTTCTTCTTCTTCTTCTTTGGCTCTTCCCTCTTCACACCAACATTTATACACATTTGAACATGATACACACTTCGTTCAGTCTATGTAGTTGCTTCAGTTTTTTTTGAGGTAAAAACTAATGTTTTTTTGTGTAATCCATTGTGTCTGTTTATAACAAACATGTATTCAACTCACGAGTAAAATTGAATAGAGGAATGTTTTACTTGTTTTTCTTGCGCTTTCAAAGGCGATCTCATTGAAAAAGGGCATTTTTCTGCTTCTTTTTTTTCTCTTTACTTTAACCTATCAATTTACTTTTTCATGATATTGATAGTGATTGAGAAAACATTCCTTACCTGTGAATGAAACGGTTTCTTCTTCTTCTTCTTCTTTTCTAAGAAATCGTGATTTAGCATGGTGAAATGGACACAAAATGGCTTTTCGTTACTTTAAAAATAATGTTATGAACCAAATACAGCTTTAAACTTTTTACATTCATCTTTTTTTTACATTCATTTTTACAACCATCTTTACCATTCATTTTACTTTGCATTTTCAACCTCTCTTAGTGCCATTAATATGCTTATTATTTATGTATTTTTTGCTCTGACTCCTTGATTAGCCACAATCTTCACGGTTTGGTCACTCTTGACTTGCCTAGGCTAATTTGAATACAAAAACAAGGTTGGCGTTTTATGAACGTTTTATTAGCAACAACCGCAAGCCTTGTAACTGTCAATGTTAACAAAGTGTGCAAAAATGTAATGAGCAAATAAATTGCCATGTTTACTTGTTTAACGATATGACAAAAAAAAAACGAAACTCTAGCTTCTCTTGAATATAAAAAGGTGAACAAAATTTCATCTTCTTCATCTTCTTCTTGCCTTTCATCTTGTTCCATACTTGTTATTAATAAGATAAATTACGCGATTGTATTATCAAAAATCATGGGTTTCGCTTGGAGTAACCTTTATCATTACCAACAGTATTATTATTATGTATAAACATTGAGGTTACATTGGTTTCAACGTTTAATGTTTGATCTTGCTGATGGCGTTGTCTTAGGTTACCTTAAACATGACCAACAAGGGTAACAACGCCTTCACAATTTGACTGAATCAAATTGACTATTAATTTAACGCTTGGTTAACTTGATTCTTCCATTATCATCATAGCTTATAATATTTTTTTTCATCATTCCACTCTTTTTGGGTGCGTTTCTTGGCAGCCTTTAGTTTTGTTTTATGTAAATTAACTTTCATCTTGTAAATTTTACTCTTCATTTCTCACTTCAATTTTTACTCATTGTTTTTGTTGATTCATTTTTGCATTCTTTTCTCATGATATTTTATGATAAACAATTTCAACTTGAATCACTTTTTTTAACCTTTTTTGATCAATGAAAATATTCAAATTTGGTCAACTTTTTTCATCGCAATTTTTGTCTATTCACAACCTTTTTTGTTGGCCTTTGTTTTTCAACTCAAAATAAATATCATTCTCATGATGGGAAGAGCAGGATGATGATTCTCCTCCTTTTTTCTGCTTTGGTTTCACTTGTTCATCTCTTGTTTCATCTCGGCTCATCATTATCATTGTTGTTGTTATTTGATGTCTGTAGGTGCTATGCTTGGTTAGCTTATATTCATATAATAACTCATCGTAAGGGATTGAATTGTAACTCAGTTAATTCAACTGTAAACTGTAATATTGATGCTTTTGCTCTTCCTTTTACTTCCTCTCTTCTCTTCCCATCTTGTTCATCTTTTTAAACCTTCCCTTCTCTTCCTAATCAACATCTTCATGTTTTTTTGGCAACATGATAATTATCTAATGATGATCAAAAAGGCAAGATAAAGATGACACTATAAGATTCTTTTGTTGGTGTTCCCATGAAAAGTTTAGTTTATCAATTACTGTGTATCACAATGTTAGCTCATTTCTATTGTGCTTTCAGTTTGCATTTCAATTCATCCACAAATTTTCACTGAAAAGCTGAAAGTTGAACTTCATTTGAACAAATTTACAAATTTTCATGATTCGTTTATTTCAAGATGCAAGTTGAAAGTTTGATGAAAAGCTAAACTCAAAGGTAACTTGATAAATCATTGTTATTGTATTTCAATTCATTCACAAATTAAGTTAAATATCGCTAGAATTCTGTATCTGAATAGAATTTCTTTTTAAAATTTTTCCAGATTTTTCTTCGTTATTACAAGATGCAAGTAAGGGTCGACTCTCCAATTAACTTTATTCACATGTCAATCCTGGTTTAATATAAATACTGGTCAAGAAGATCAATAAATAAGATTCATCTCTTTCCTTATTGTGATCGGACATTGTTAATTGATTTCAAATCTCTCATCCCATCATCTCTCAACTCTTCTTCATTAGCTTCTGAACGAAATCTACTCTGAATAAGTTCAATTACTTGTGTTCATCATATCTCGATTTGTGTGTCTTGAAAACCTAAACCTGAATAAAATTGGTTAATAGAGCTTAATTGAAGGATATTGACAAGAATATTGTCCAAGTCATCCGAATAGAAATCAATCTTTTCATCATCGAACAATTAGGTTTTATGAATATTTAATCGTCTCAAAATGTTTCGATTAGCAAATTCAAAACAAATCAGAGAAACAGAATCAAAAATCAATGTTCCTACATGTTAAGGACAAAACAAAATGAAACAACAAGGCTCATCTCAATGGGCCCATGTCATAGCTTATCTCATTGATCTATGTGTACCAATAGACAATAAATGGCGTTTCCGAACGTTCTCTTCATTTGCGAAACAAAATACAACGAACCTACTGTTAGTTAAGTCGAATGAAATGACCACTAATCATTGAAATCAATTCGGATGACTTGAGACATTTCCTTTACAAGCATCTGATCTCAGATGAAAATCTCAGCTTAAAGGTAACTCAACATTTCATGCGAAATTACGAATAGAAAAAATTTTCATTCCATTCTTGGTATCGATTATTTTGCAAATTATGCTGATATTTGAAGTAAAGAGGAAAAGGCGATGAAAAAACTGAGATTCAAAAAATGTTCATCTCTTGACTTGTTCTCATATAGATAACAATTGAAAAGATGAAGATAATGATGAGTTGTATAACAATGAGAAAGTTGAATAAGATTGTGATTTGCGTTGCATTATTCACAATAAACAGGAGAAGATGAAAAAAAGAGGAAAAGATTGCTTCTTCTTCTTCTTGTAAAACTGAAAGGAAGTAATAGATAATCACATTATGACAATA